TCCATTCCCGTGGGGATGATTCATTCCCGTGGGAATAATAGCCTGGCCGGCCAGTTATTTTCGTCGGCCAGGACACGATGCTGGCAAGAAATTAGGAGGCCTCCCTCCCTTTTCCAGCGAAGCATCATCCATGCACAGCAGAACCGATAGATTCTAAGGCCTCATTTCAGGCCCCCTGCAACATTCCCTCCCTTTTTGCATGCTGATCTCCGAGCAGCATTCAATCATCCATTGCAGGGGGACTGCCGAGCGGCTCCGTCCAATGCACCTCTCTCGCTCCCAACAACGAATCCAGGGGCAGCCGCCACATGAAGAGATGAGCCCTCTCGGCCGTGGGGGAATACTTAGACGTGATGAGTGGACCAGGCTCATCGTGATGAGTGGGCAAGGCTCATCGAGACAGACAATAACCAACCGACAACTCCAAACTCCGGCCTACAGGGCTCTACGACCTCTTTTCATGCAGCTTCACCCTTGGATCAGCCACCGAGAAGCAAAGATTTGACATTGCGCGGCGCCGCGCCAGATCGGCCGTTGGGTTAAACGCTCATGGGGCATCTTCCTTTTCCTCCCGATACTCCAAATCTCTGTCAAAGGCACATCCGGCTTCATCCATTTCCTTCTCCCATTGGTAGAACTGCAGGAAGTGCTTGAGAGAAACGGACGGCGAGCGCCCCACCAAGCTCTCTTTCTTTGATCCCTTCTTCCGTGTAGGCTCCGCGAGGTATTCGAGTGTGATGCCATCCTCGTCGAGCTGCACCACTTTGACAGTGTGCTCGCGATTGAGCTCCTTGCAATGTCGAATTCGGATGACATCGTTCAATGACGGGAAGAGCAAGTCGTCCTGTTCAAGGTCAACAGCATCGCTCACACGGTTCTCGTAATCTTGCACAAGCTCATCACACGTGAGGTTGTCTTCGTCCTCCCAGGTCGCACTCGAGCGGGGCCACCATCGCCACTTGCACTTGTACTGTACCTTGCCCTCGTGATTCCTCCTGCCAATCACTGCTTCCACCTCGTGTTTCTCGACATGCTCAAATCGGTCATCTGGCTGAATGTCCTTGAGGCTCGGATCGGTCGCCACCGGGTCGAATACATCATTATTTAATTTCCGAGCGGCCAGCCGCTCGCTCTGCGTCCGTGCAGTCGGCACATGGTCTTCACCAACAGCAAACTTCTTCAACGAATCCTCCTGGTCGGGAGTCAGGAATGCATCCTGATTGAAGACCGTCTGCCGCCTGTCTCTTCTCAGTCGTCCATCGGGCACTTCCATGGTGTCGTCGGCGTTCGCATCCTCATCAAACGCTGAGGTTGCTGCTTTCAAACGATCGACATTTGTACTCTTTGCCGTGCTAGTGCCGCATGGGCGTACTTTGTAGGTGACTGGTCCCGTCTGGCTCTCAACGATGCCGACCGTTCGCCACGGTGAGGAGAGCTTCTTGCTGAGACCTTTCGGCACTTGATTGTTGTATATCCGTACCCTGTCTCCCGGTTTGAATTCCCTAGGTGGCGGTAAATCTCCTTCTCGTGCAGCCACTCGCTGCTTGGCTCTGTCCATGTTTATACGGGCCTTTTCATGAATGCCTTGGATGCCTTCGATTATTATCATGACAGCATCATGTGGATCGATCGCCCTCGCTGCCGTCTCATTCATCCCGACAAGTCGTGCAGTACTGCCAGGGTGCACTGCCTCTCGCCCAGTCAGCATCTTGAAGGGTGTGAAGCCAGTCGACTCATGCTCTGTTGTTCGATACGCATACAGGACCAGGGGAATCACCCTATCCCAGTTGGTCTGCAGCTTATTGAGGTATGGACGCATTCTGTCCTTCAAGGTCCGGTTGAAGCGCTCAATCATGCCATTCCCTTGCGGGTGCTGTGGCGTCGTCGTGGTGTGTTTGATTCTCAGCCTGATGGCAACTTCACGCATCAACTGATTGACGAAGTGCGAGCCGTTGTCAGTGATGATCTGCTCGGGGAGTCCATGTCTCGCGACAACCTCCATGAGAGCTCTGACCGTGTCGTCAGCTGTGGGTGCGCCACGAACAAGAACGACCTCTGGCCACTTTGTGAAGTAGTCTTGGACACACAATGCATACTGATAGCCATCTTTCGAGGGCTGGAAGGGACCAATATAATCCATCGCAATTGTCTGAAATGGTCTCTCGGCTGACGGTATCTGTATGCTCGCTCTCTTGCCCATTTTCAGGCTTCGTTTGCTCTGGCAGGCGGCACATCTCTCTATGTGCGTCCGCAGGTCATCATACATGGCACACCAGTAGTATTCCCTTGCCATGCGTTTGTATGCTCTTTCAATCGCTAGGTGACCACCCAACAGGTGCTCGTGGTGTAGCTTTAATGCTTCGGCACGAAGTGACTTGGGTACGAACAAGACGGGTGCGTATTCTTGATGCTTCGAGACAGCCCTCACCGTGCCGTCGTATAAGCAGAAGCTGTCAAGCTTTGACCAATACACTTTAGGGATCATGTCTCGCAGCTGATCTAACACTCCTTTGTCCGCGCTCTGCTGTTTTGCATTCAGGTATGCTTTGACACGCGAGACCTCTGCGCACTGGTCTTGGGCCTGAATGATTTCATCGGTGTGGTACAAGGGGCTATCGTCAAAGCACGTCACGTCGACAGCTCCCAGCTGATATTGATATTCATCATCGTCGTGAGACGGGACGCTCCCTTTTGGCCAGGCGGTCTGGACATCGCATCCACATCTGCGTGCTTCTTTCCAGGTCGATAGCGGAAGACAAAATCATAGTCTTGAAGCATCAGAGACCACCTCTGCAACTTGCGATTGCCGTCTTTTGCAAATCTCAATTCTCTGAGGGCTTTGTGATCCGAAATCAGCTCAAATCGTTGCCCAAACAGGTACGGGCGGAAGAAACGCACTGCGTAGTAGATGGCATGTGCCTCTCTCTCTGTGGCTGACCACTTGCGCTCAGATTCACCAAGGACAGCACTTGCATAATGGATCGGTCTCTCTTCTCCTGTCTTGTCTCTTGGCAAAGAATGGCTCCGACGGCGTAGTCACTTGCATCCGTTTTGAGCACGAATGGCTCTTTGAAATCCGGCAGACTCAGTATCGGTGCAGTGACCATCTTCTCTTTCAGTGTCTGAAGGGCTTTTCTCTCCGTGTCTCCCCACGCAAATGCAGTGTACTTCCTCGTGAGGTCAGTAAGCGGCCTCACCAAGTCAGCGTAGTTCTTTGCAAACCGCTTGTAATACTGAAAAACACCTATGAGGCTCCTCACCTCTTTCTTGTCTGTCTGTTCAGGCGTATTGATCATTTTCTCTACTTTCTTTGGGTCGGCTTGCAGTCCCTCGCCAGAGATGAGGAAGCCGAGTATGGATATCAGCCGTGCAAAGAAGGTGCATTTGCTGGGCTTCACTTTGATATTCGCCGATTGAAGCAATCTGAAGACTTCAATGATGTGTCTGCAATGATCTTCAAAGGTGCGCGAGAAGACGACAATGTCGTCAACGTACACGAATGCACTCTTCCACAGCACTGTCCTTAATGCCTTGTCCATAACCCTCTGGAACGTGGCGACACTGTTGCAAAGACCCATCGGCATACGAGCCCACTGCTTCTGTGTCTGTCCGTCGATCGAGAATGCCGTCTTGTGTCTGTCTTCGGGGCTAACCTCGACCTGCCAGAAGCCTGATGTCGCGTCGAGTGTCGTGAACCAAGACATGCCCTGGAGGGATTCAAAGCATCGATCGATTAATGGTGGGGCATAGCGAGACTTCTCTGTTATCTCATTCAACCATCGGTAATCGACACAGAGACGCCAGGTGCCGTCTTTCTTCTTAACCATGACAATGGCTGCATTGTATTCTGAGTCTGCGGGCTCGATGACGCCGGTGGACTCCAGCTCCTCTACTATCTGTGCGGCCGCCTCGTTCTCAACCCTTGCGAGTCTCCTCGCTTTCATGTATGGCGGATTCTTACACAGACGAATGCGATGCACGCCCAAGGAGGGATCGACGTGCCCTAGGTCGGTCTTATCTATCGAGAACATACCTGTTTCTTGTGCCTCTTTGATCACCCTCACCGCTTGTGTCTTCTGTTGTTCGGTCAGGCCCTTGCCCACCCGTATGTCATATTCAATCCCCTGTGCGCCAGGATAGCTACGCACATCCTCTGTCTCAGGCACTGTGCCCATAAGATGATCAAGCGACTCTCGATCGATCTCAGCAGGTACCACAGAGACATTGCGGTCAGCTGGCGCAATGGCGGCTGCTATTTGTTGCCCTGTCTGTCCTTGCTCGCCAGATGTATGGATCAATTCGGTCTCTTTCAGCTCTCTGAGTGGAAGGAACCATCCCAGTGGGCACCCTTTCCTTAAAACGGCTCTCCTACGTGAGGTATTGCAGATTCTCACGAGCACTCGTCGTCCCGGAGTAACTTCTACCGCATCGTTGTCAAAATCGAGCCACGCGCCTCGCATACTCGAGAGGGAGGGATGCCCTAATACGCGACCGACATCTCCTACTTGCCCTTCGGATCCATCGAGCCGTGCTCTCACCCATCGTTCAGTTCCCGCCGGTATTGGCGTCTTTGCTGTAACAATGAGGCAGCGCCTCACTCTCCTGGCCATGTTCGGTAAGGATGCCTTCGCGACACCAACAGCAGCGATTTCTGATTCGTTGCGTCTCTGCGGTTTCTGTATTTCGATAGACGGCCATTCTGGTCGTGATTTGAATCTAATGCATCCCTTGCCACAGTCAATATCGACACCCTCTTGTCTCAGAGACTTTGCGCCAACCAAGAGAACCCTCTGGGGATCATCGATGACACAATATTGAACAACAACCGGTCTGAAGGCTTTCTCTTCTTTGTGATTGGTCCCCTTAGGCATTATCGCCACGTCAACCAGCCCGTGAACAGCCACCATTCCATGATTCAGCACATTCAGCTTGATCCCAGCCGCCTGCAACTGAACCTTTCGATCGCCTGCTTCCCGCAGCTTATCAAGCATCTTACGACTCAACACACACAGGTCAGCGACCGTATCCATTAGAACATCACACGTCACACCATTCACGTTCATCGTTGCATGGATCTGCCAACGAATAGCGGAGACACGATTCTCCCTTTCGTCTGTTGCCTTTGCAGTACAACAGCTCGAAGGCCTACGTGGGTTACCATTGTCGTGATGCGTGCATGCGTCAACCAGCGATCTGTCGCCACACCAGCCAGTGTCTCCAGCCAGAGACCAACCGTTTTCGCTCAATGTGTGTACACTGTCAGGTTTCGTTCGATGAAGAACCTCGCCACAGGAAGGCGTCCCCTCCTGCCGTTCTTCCTCTCTCTTTGTCGGGGCTTTTAGGTTGCCTGCGGCCCGACCGAACGCGGCAACCTCTTCATCGAGCTCCATCGGTTGGCACCTCTCAACCGGATCGACCATGGTGGGCTTATGCGCAAGGCAGGCTGCCGCCGAAGCCGCCTTCCCCTCTTGCCAGCCACCGAGCTGATGGATCGACTTCATGTGCCACCGCTCAGGGTGGGCTTCATCCGTTGACTCGGCAGGGGCCTCAAGACCTCGTCTGCAAGTCAACGGGATCAACGCAACGTCCGACGGCCTCCCAACAGAAGGCACCGGAACCACATCCGATGGATCCGCATGTGAAGTCATCAAGATAGACGAAATCTCTACTGGATTCTTATGCGAGGACAGCGGAGCAGACGAAACATCCGATGACTTCTGATCGAAACCAACGGCATCCGCTGGTCTCGCACCAGAGACCAGCGTCGCAGAAACCTCTTCCAGCTGACGGCCGGAGCCGACAGCCAGGTGATGCTCACGTACACGGTCAGTCCGTGTGGCCGACTTTGTCACGGGCCCACGCAACTGCGCATCACTTCGATGTACCTTTCTACTGGTACGCAACGACTCATGGTGTGGTTGTCTCTCTCGCGCACAATCACACCTCTCGCCTGGTATGCTCAGGCCTCCCGATTCATCCAGATGCCGTCCGATCTCTGGGTGTAACGCAGCCCCTGACAGCCTCTCATGTGCTAGGGACCCACCAACCAAAAGCTTTTGCGGCATCGAAATGGCTGCTGGCTGACGCGACGTCTCTCTCCCTGGTGTGACTCGACTCTCGCCATCGTGTCTCGGCTTCAAAAACGAGCTCTTTATCAAACAATCATCAGTGTGTGTATGTAGGGCGCTAACAGCTCTCTTCATGTCCTCTCGCCCGCCCTGCAGCGGAGGACCTATTCGTCCCAGTTGCAGTTGCGCCGGTGGTGCCGGGAGCGCGTGAATGGCAACAGCATTCGGTTCCAACTTCACTGCATTTGCCCCAGTGGCTGGCGGCCTGAGTCGCTGTCCCTGGCTGTTGTGTCTCAGTCGTGTCCTGCAGTCCTTCCACTTGTGGCCATACTTCTTGCAATAATCGCATACGCCATCAAAGAACTGCCCTGGCTGGCTGCTCCTCAAGTATCCGTTGTTATTCTTCCACGTCGCATCGCGATTCCATCGTCCATTGCTGCTGTTGGGCCACGTGTTGGGCCCTTTGTGCTCTCTTGTCTCTCTGAACTGTGGTTGAGGGCGGCTATCCTTAATCTCCTTAATGTTTTTCATCACTTCTGTCGTCATGGCATTAACAGAGGCGAGCACCGATTCCAAGCCCTTGTGCTGTTCAATCGTGCCTTCGTGTTTGCCAGTCCCTTTCTCAGGCTGCTGCTCAATTGCATTCACCGCGAGACGTGCGAGTTTCTGTGGACGTGTCGCTTCGGCATCACTTTCATCGTCTTCTTCCTTCGGTCGCTTGCGTGTCCGGATGAGCCAGACCTCTGCGTTCAATCCGAGTTCCTTGATGGTACCGAACGTGCGTGGGTCGGTGTCTTTGCGATAGATTTCGGCCCTCAGGTCAGACTGCAAGCCGTCGATGAAGATCTCGACCGCCTCTGGCTCTGATTTTTGTGACTTCTGGTACAGCTCGTTAAACTCATCGAACGCAGTTTCGAACGTCTGTTTGGGCTTCTGTCGCCATGCCTTCATCTGCTCAGCTGTCACGAGAGTCTGTGACTTTTTCTGTCCAAATTCTGTCTTCAGGAAGGTAAGAAGATGCTCAAGTCGTGCGGCCTGACTTAAGGCCTGCCACACCTCTCCATGTTTATGCATCCAGCGTGTGACTCTGGTACGTGCAGTTTCCTGTAATGCGCTCATGATGAATGGCAGTATCCTGCCTCCTTTCAGGTTGAACATGCTCTCTGCCAGCCTGATGTCATCGATGAAGGCTTCAGCTGTGAGATCCGAGGTGCCGTTGAATGTCCGAAGGCTCACAGACGGCTTCTGCAGGTCCGACATCACCAGCTGCGCCGTGGGCTCACTCACGTGTTGGTCGCTTTGTCTGCCATTTGCGCTGCAAACAAGAGTTCTCATACTCGACGGCTGGCTGCGCAGCTCTATCACACTCTCTGTATCAGTCTCCTTACGCCTTGTCTCCTCTCCTGCAGACTTCCTCCCTTCACGCAGCTTCTGGAGGCGTTGAAGCCTCTTCTGTGCATTTTCCTTGGCAGTGTCCTTCCTCTTCTTCACATTGTTTCCTCCTTTTTGCTTCCCTTTATCAGCGCGTGCAATGGGCTGTGCCTGTGCCTTGGTTTGTCGTCCACTCCTCGTCTCTACCATGGTCTCAGCAATCGAGCCTCCCGGACGGTGTACCAACTGATATCGGCCCGGGGGTTGCTTGGGGGTTAGAAGACGCTATGAAATAGCGCTTACTCGCTGCTGGTTGACCTGTCGATGAGAGACAATCAAAATTGAGTGACGACAAGCACACGAATCAAGTCGACCTGATGTCACGTCCAACGCAGGCACCTAGTCAACGGAGATAGGGGTCGATGGCACACTGCCACACACGCACGAATCCAAAAACACGCAAATGTACACGTCTCAAAGCGAGGCAATGTCAGGTGTACCCCTGTACCCGTTCTTCCCCGTCTTTGTTCACTACACGTGGAGGCGCCAATCAGCAGAGGAGGCACGAGACACAAGGGGGGCTGGTGTGATAGAACCGTCGACCAACAAGCCCGACGAGCGATGTGTTGATGACCTCACGACCAAGAGACCTCGCCGGGGGAAAGGGTGGTGTCTCCGAAGGGAGCGGCTCTTGCGGTCTTGACGGCGAGCGTTGAAGTACCTCGGGGGCAGGGCAGAAGGCTTGGATGCTTGTTTGTTGAAGACAAGAAGGGAATCGAGAGCGATGATTTTGTTCCGACCAGATGAAGCAGAATGGGCGGAAATGACGACCATTCCCATGGGATTGATCATTGCCGCGGGAATGTTCCATTCCCGTGGGGATGATTCATTCCCGTGGGAATAATAGCCTGGCCGGCCAGTTATTTTCGTCGGCCAGGACACGATGCTGGCAAGAAATTAGGAGGCCTCCCTCCCTTTTCCAGCGAAGCATCATCCATGCACAGCAGAACCGATAGATTCTACGGCCTCATTTCAGGCCCCCTGCAACACAACGGGTCATCGAGCTGAATGACTGTGGGCGGGCTGCGGTGTGTCTGCTGGCCGACACTGGCGGACTCACCACGCTCCTTCTGGTCAGTTTGGGCCATTTCAAACTTTGAGGGCTTTGCGGAGGCCGTCTTGAGCATGAGTGTGTCGGGCGCCAGTTGCATCATCACCAATTCAGCTTCATCAAAGCCATCTGTCCGTTTGTGCGATTTGCGGCCGACACATCTTCACAGCCATGGGCTGGACCATTTGTTGTTCTCCTTTGGGTCAAAACTCACTGTCTTCGTCCCCTTCAGGGAGAGAGGGTTGTTGTGAGACTGCGAGCTGCCCCCCCCCCAAACCCCAAACCCCAACCCTGTGCTGCCGCTGGTAAGATTCTGCCTTGTATTTAGGCAGATATGCAGATCTGCTGCTCTGTCAACATGTCGCCACCATGATGATCTCTAACAGGATTTCGTTTCATGACGATGCAAGAGCCACCGCGTGAGGCTGACAGCGAAGACAGACGGAGGCAAATGATGGCTGCAGGGAAGAAGAAACAGCCATACTCATACTAAGGTAGAATCGTGCAGCGCATCCACAACTCACGCCTGCGGCATATGTTTCAGTTGACGGGATTGTGCGGCTTCAGGATGTCGCAGCCCGACTCACAGCGGGCACTGCGTAGATGTAGGGAGCGAAGCGGCCAAGGAGCAGGCAAGGCCGGGAGGGAGGGGGTTGCAATGAAGTCAATGTTGTGTTGTCCTTATGGCTGCCGCGCACAGGCTTGGCGGCTGACTTACCGTGGAAGGAGCGTCTGGCCAGAGAGGGCTGCTACGTGCAGAAGGTGACGAATGACGGCAACTGTCTATTTCGGGCCTTCGCCGACCAGCTCACCGGTGGGTAGGTGGTGCACACCTGCACAACTCACAACAGGACAGTGTCCGCTGTGTGTCCAGCCAGCGTGACTTCTGATTGCGCGTATTCAGGTGACGAGAGTGGCTGCAGTTTGTTCCGGCAGAAGGCCATGGACTACGTCGAGCAACACCGCCCGGACTTCGAGCACTTTATAGCAGCGGATAGCGACGGGTTGGATCGCGACGAGAAGTTCGACGCGTACGTGCGGCGAATGAGGGTGGCTGGCGAATGGGGAGGCGAGTTGGAGATAACATCGCTGTGCCACTCGTACGAGGTGAACTGTCTGGTGCACCAGAAGCACCTGGCGACCCCCATCGACTGTGACTATGGCTACCACAAGCGTGTCCAGCTGCTCTATGATGGCGGTACGTACGTGAGGGGTGGTGGGTGTGTGCTGCATGTCTGTCTGTGTGTCTGTGTGTTGCCGTTCGCGTATGGTCATCAGTCCATGTGTCTGTCTCTTCCTGTGTGCCGGTCTTGTTCCATTCGTGTGGTAGGTTCTCACTACGACTCGGTGCGTCGCGATGATTGCGGGGGCCGTGCGGCAGATAAGAAGCCCGCCAAGGCCAAGGGTCAGTCAGTCTACTCACTCCTCATTCACAGGTCACCTGCAAATGGCTGGCTGGCTTGCTGGTTGACTCTTGTCAGGCGGTGGCAAAGCCAGGCCAGCCGTCAAGCGTGGCGCCGCACCCGCGGCTGCCGCCAGCCCGCTCACACCGGACGATGGCATCGCCAAGAAAAAGCGTATGTCTGCAAGGACTCACTACTGAGTGCTCATCTTCACATCAGTGTATTTTGTGTGTGTGTGTGTGTGTGTCTGCAGACAAGGGTCGCAAGCCGGTCCGCAACAAGGCCAATCGCAAGCCGGTGGCCGTGAGCGACGACTACGAGGAGGGTGAGGGTGAATGGGAGGTGGACAGGATCGTGGACCACCGGCAGGACCGGAGCGGCAACCTGGAGTTCAAGGTCGTGTGGAAGCCTGCTAACAACGGACAAGGTCAGTCAGTGGGCCAACCAAGGGACAGAGCATCCATCCATCCATGGGTGGGTGGCTGGTCAGCATGTACCATCTGGTGTGGTGTGGTGTGGTGTGACGTCTTGCTTGCTGTGTGTGTCAGCGTGGGAGCCGATGTGGGAGCCCGAGGACAACTGCGACGATTGCCGTGACGCCGTCGTTGATTACTGGGCCTCCAAGGCGTAATGGCCGTTACCTACCTGCTTGCTTCGTGCTTCGTTGTCGCGGCCTTTTTTGCTTGTGTGGATTAGTCAAGGCTGGCTGCGTGTGGGTGTTGGTTGGCATTTCCAGACCTATCTGTGCAGGGTCGGTGCTGCAGCAGCAGGCAGCAGCAGCAGCGACAGCGAGCACACCTGTGTGTGGGTGGGTCGGTGGTGGGTGGGTGTGGGTTGGCGGGTGGGTGTGCAGCATGCCGTGGCTTAACCTAACTAATTGAATGCATTCGTCCGTCCGTGTCTGTCTATATGTGTGTGCATCTCACATGCACGGTTCCCACGCGCACGTGGCTCCAATCATCACCACAAACAGAAACACACACACACACACACACAGAGAGAAAGAGAGAGAGAGGGCACATACGCAGTGCACGCCCCCTCCCTGCCTCCCTCTCTGCACACACAGCCCACCCCTGCGCACCTCCGTGTGTGGGAAGGTGCCTGCCTGTCTGCTGCGCACTCCTGCGCGCACACGAAATTCGCAAAACCACCGCAAAACGTGTCGCGGGCGTAAACGTTTACGCCTTTCCAATAAGGCCATGATTCCCCTCGTGTTTGTGGCGCTGGCAGTTGTCAGCAGCGCCAGCGCAGCCCATGTGTCGCCCGTGGGCAAAGGTCAGCCAAAGATCCACCGGCCAACTGGACAGTTCTTCCGCCGCCTTGCGCTGCGTGCTGTGCTGCGTGCAGTGATATCGATGCTGGCGAGGCTGCAGGAGCAGGTGGTCGCCGAAGGCAAGGAGGAGGCCGCCGCGTACGACAAGTTCGCATGCTTTACGCGAGATGCGGTCGTCAAAACTCACAACGAAATGACCAGGGGCAGGTACACATGAACGCAGATACTCACAGATACTGATCTCGGCCAGTGGCGGGTGACATGCTCCTGTGCATGGATGGATGGATGGATGGGTGTGTTTTTGCAGCAAACGTTCTTCCCTCCTTGGCACAGAAATATCCGGCCTGCAGTCGGAGATTGACGCGCTGGCGGGAGAGATCAGCGGCCTCGCCAACGACATTGCGGCCAAGGAGCGCCACATCGAGGAACTCAACAGCAACCGCACCGCACAAAAGGCCGAATTCGACCAGATGCACTCAGGTGGGCAGATGCCGGTGAGTCTCTGAGCCATCTCATCCATGTGATGGACGCAGATATGAAGAAGGCCTTGGTGGCGCTGAAGAGCGCCATCCACGCGGTGAAGACGTCGCTGTCGAACCTGCCGGCCGGTCAGTCTTATCTCGCCATCAGGTCAGCAACACAGCCACAGGACAGTGTGTTCCACAATTCTGTTGCTGCACGTGGGGCAGGCGCGCATTGGATCCATTGAAGGAGGCCCTGGTGGTTGTTGGCAGCACTCCCACTGACGTAAACCATTCACCAGGAATTCGCCTAAGCTGTGCAATGGTGCATCACATCTTGTGTGTTCTTGCAGGCACTGCGTCTGCTGGATGTTGTGGACGACCCAGAAATCGACCACCTCGCCCACCCACACCAAGGGCAGGTAGGTATACGCAGGGCAGCAGTAGAGACCCAGCTCGCCACAGTATCACATGCCACTTCATTTGTGTGGTGCCTGCAGGCGAATGCGTACGAGCACCACTCTGACACGGTCCTGAGCAAGCTGGACGAGCTGCACGACCAGTTCCGCGAGAACCTGAAGCAGCTGGAGAACGACGAGTTCCAACACCGGGCTGCCTATGAGATGGCCTTGCAGGTGGCCAACCAGGAGATCAAGGCCAAGACGGACCTGAAGGAAGAAAAGCAAGAGATCAGGTGACCATGAATTCTGGAAAGGAGGCAAAGAAATCCGCCAACACATGGAATTGCGTTGACTGTAGTGACTCGAAATCGACGAAGATGGGCGAGCTGGACGCAGAAAAGACCAAGGTGGACGAGGAATACAAGAAAGGTGCGGTCAAGCGAAAGTGACAATCACGAGTGAGGTGGATACTCTATTGCCGTGTGTGTTAATACTGCAGACAAGGCCTACATGGATGAGCTGAAGGCGGCTGCCGAGTCAGCGGCGCAGGAGTGGGACACAAGATCCAAGACGCGGGCTGATGAGCTGGCTGCACTCAAACAGGGCATCCAGATACTCAAGGGATCCACCTCCGTCATGAAGTCAGTCAGCCGACAAAAGATGGCGGCCATCCTGTCTTTTTCTGTACTCTGTCTTGTGCAGCAAATCCTTGATGTCGAGGCATGTCTCCAGGTTCACCCTCCCCTCCTACCGCAGTGTGTCCTTCCCCTTGACGCGCCGCCGCTATGCACACGCCCCCGCCACGTCCCTCCTGCAGGCCGCCTTCCCACATCACACGCACCGCTACCAGCCTACACACGAGCGCCCCGACCCACGTGCAGACGCTGCGCGAGACAGGGTGGTCAACCTTCTCAGGTCAGTGGGCTGGCAGCATGTGTGGGCACTGATCGATGGACTTCCCTTGTGTATGTATGTATGTCTTGTCGTTCTGTCGCAGGTCCAAGGGTGAGCATCTGCGCAGTCCCGTGCTGCGCATGTTGGCGTCGCAGATATCGGAGGATCCCTTTGACAAAGTGAGGCAGCTGATAGAGGACCTAATATCGAAGCTGCAGGCGGAGGAGCTGACCGAAATGGGACACAAAGAATGGTCAGAGTCAGGAAAGACAGGGGAAAAAAGATCGAGAGGCCATCGATCGACGGCATCCGTGTGGTGCCCTTCGTCTGCGCAGGTGCGACAAGGAGATGAAGGCCGCCACTGAGCAGCGAGACGCGCAGCAGGCCGACAAGGAACGACTAGAAGGTGGGCAGCGTCTCATCAAGAGCGATCCTCCGGCATCGCTGTCTGCTGTGCGTATCAAGGTGAGATCGAGACGCTTCAGTCGGACATTTCCAGCAGCAAGGACACCATCGCCACACTCACACAAGAGATCGCCGACCTCAACAAACAGCGCAACGAAGCCGTAAGGAATCACACCCCTCTCCCCGGACACACACCAGGCGGCGTACTTTCTTCTGTGTCGACACAGATGCAGCTGCGCGAGACGGAGCGCCAGCAGAATGAAGCCGCGAAGACCGGTCCCGTCAACACACAGCCATAAATATTCAAATGCACCAACACCAATATGCGCGCCGTCTGTGTACATCCACTGTCTGTGTATGTGTGTGCAGAGGCCGAGGAGAGTCGCGACGCCGTCGACCAGGCGCTGACCATCATCCAGGATTTCTACAATGGAGCACAGACCCCCGCCAGCGAGCAGTCCTTCACGCAACTGCGCATCCGGCACGCCAAACTGAGAAGTGCTGCATACCGAGCGAGACACAGACAGGTGGGTGCCGTTAGTGGAAATGTGAGCATCGTATGCATCGATTGTACCTGCATGGCTGTGCGTGTTGCTCGCAGGCTCCCTTGCCCGAGGGCCCGTTCTCTGGTCCGTATCAGGGCAGACAGGGCAAAGTTGGCGGCATCATCGGTGCGCATGCACACATACATGGAGAGATGGAGGAACCGATGTCATTCATGAGTGTCTCTTCTTTCAGGGTTGCTTGAGACGATCCGTGACGACTTCGCCCAGTCTGCGACGGACATAGCCCAGGCAGAGACAGACGCACTCGCCACATACAACCAACTCAAAGACACATTAGACGTATGAATGATTACAGCTGCACGTGCCTCTACTCTGCACATTCGCCGGCCGTTGCTGTCGTGTGTTGTCAGGGCGACATATCTTCCAAGGAGTCCGACAAGAGCAGCGAGGCGTCGCTGCTCGAGGGCAAAGAGGGAGACCTCGTCACGAAACAAAACGAACACCGGACCGCCGTCGACCTGCTTCAACAGGTGAGCTGGTGGCCACACTGGCAGACAAAAGGGACGATTGATGGCCTCCATTGCCTTATTGCTGCTGTGGTTGTTCAGGCGATCGACAAGCTGGAGCACCTCCAGCCCGCATGTGTCAGCACAGGCACCACATACGCCGAGGCCAAGGTGACAAACGAGACACGCGAGACATGTGCTGACGCGTGTTGCGTTGATGTGCGTGCGTCTGTGTGTGTGGTTGTGTGGTGATCTGCAGGCGAGCAGCAAGGCGGAGATAGATGCGTTGAAGGAGGCCCTGTCCATTCTGGAGAATACGTCATTCACCGCAATACAGACAGGCTCCAGCCGGACCACACTACTGCGCAGCAGGATGCCAGCCATTGCATGAGACAGACAGACAGACAGACAGGGTCAGCCCGATGTATAAATGTGTGTGAGTGAGCATTTGTGTCCCTGGCTTGACGCCAGCAAGCGTGGATGGATGGATGGTATCGCAGTTGCTCGCAGCTGAGGTGTTAGTGCGTTAGACAATTCGAGTGCATGTGGGCATGGTTTGCAATGCTGGAGAGCCACACGCATCCATCGCGTTCATGGAAAATGTTTACAGTCCGTACGTCCCGAGAGCAAATCAGTCCGTCGCCGGGGCAAATGCAATTGGTCTTGGCCCCACACACATGTACACCAATCCGTCAATCCATCCATCCATCAGCAGGGGGTGAGTGACAGGAAAGCCCATAGTAGAAAAGACCGTCTGTCGCGCCACCCACCCCGGCCTTCCCGCTGGCTCCCCTCACCTCTCCATTTCTTCGCATTGTGCCTGGCTGGATCGCAGCCGCATTATGTATAGTCCCATCCCATCTCATCTCTCCATTCAGCCATGAGGGCAGCAGAAGACAATCACGCAAGGCAGGCAGGCAGGCAGCGAAAACCCTTCCTAGCAAGCAGTGGGGCAGCGCCCTCCGCACTTCCTGTGGGGTACACAGAGAGCGACATACATATATACATATGTATAGCTGCAGGCAATATAATTAGCAGTCAGTGGGGGGGCATTGCATGCAGGCAGCGCAACACAGACAGCCACGAAACATGCAACACACAACACCAGAGAAGAGACCTACAGAAAAAGCTGGGGGTGGGGGTGGGGTGGGTCAGGGGTTGGGAGTGACCTTCCTTGAATCCTTTTCTCCCTCCCTCCCTCCCTCCCTCCCCCCTGGCCCGTTCGTGTGAATTGGTCTTCTGGTTGTTGATGGGGTTGAAGAAACGATGAAATGAGCATCCAAAAAGAGCGACAAATACCACACGTCACTCAACCATCCTCTCGACTCGACCCGACCGATTCGATTCGACGCTCCCTCCCTTGCTACAAAATCACATCAGTCACTGTCCCCCATCCCATCTCTCCTGTCCTGTCCTAGCTGTACATGTGTCTTGACATATGTGATGCATCCATGCGTGGATGGGATGGGGGTGGGTGGGCAGATCACATGATGGCGCAGCACTTGGGTCTCCGCTCCTGCAGGTGCGTGGCCAGCGTCTGCCGGGTGCGGGGGTTGGACGCCACCTGAGGGAGGCGCACACAAAACAAACACACGACACACAAAGAACAGGACAGAGAGAAAGGGATACATTGTAGAGAAGGCGCATCTCATTCGCCCTCCCTCCCTCCATAAACGCCTGTCTGTCTGGCCCAGTCCATCATCCATCAGTTAGTCCAACAGACTCAATGGGTTTCTTTCACCGCCTCCATCCATTCAAGAGTGAGGCGTCCACTAATACATGCGAATAAGTCAGTCATCCTTGCTGGACCTGACCTCAGATATCTGACTGCTCTCCCTCTCCCCTCTCACTCACTCAGTGACTTATATACTTACCGCCATTGCCTTGTGCAGTGCCGCCAGGGGGTGCTGCGCCGCCTTGATCAGCTCCTCCACACAGTCGCCATGGCCCCAACGCGCTGCACACTGCAGAGGCAACTCGGACGGCTCGCCGGGCTGACACGAAGACACACACAGAGGCCACACAGAGAGATGTGAGGGTCCGCGGATGGATTGATGGATGTATGGATGGGCGGTCGGTGTCTGTCTGATTGTGGCGCTTACAGCTGTGGATGGCAGCAGGGGGTCTGCGCCGTGCTCCAGCAACACTCGACACATCTCAGTGTCGCCATTCTGAGAAGGCCAGCCATCACACACAGACACACACAAGCACTGCTATCCACCGATCACTTCTGGCCCCCCTTTGTTTGTGTATCAGTCAGTGTCCTCCCTCACCTGTGCTGCCACGTACAGCTGCGTGTAGCCGTGGGGGCTGTAGGCATTGACGGTCGACTGGTGACTCGTTCCCTGTGGGCCCCATGCAACACACACAACACAACACATACACACGCAGGAGCAATGCATTCATTATCCGCTGTGGGATGGATTGTCGTTTCTTCCCTTCTCGCGTGTGCGTACGTACGTCGAATATTGCCCGTTTTGGGTCCTTCTTGTACTCCTCCGTCCACTCACCCACCACGCCCTTAGTCGTCTGCAGGCAGATCGGCAGGCAGGCAGGGATAGAGGGAGAGAGGGGGGCAGATAGAAAGGAAAAACCGATATGCACCTCATGTATCTCATCCATCGCACACACACCACACACCCGGCTTGGCTTTCATTTGTATGCCTACCGCTTTAAAAAGACGTTCGCGCTGCCTGTGATCCTTCAGCGCCTCCTCAAATGGCGTCTGAACACACACAGATAGATACACACACACACACACACGTGGAGGTGTGTGCAAATCTGAAAAATCTGGTTGTGTGTGTACCGACCGCATCTCCGCCCACCTCTTCTCTCTTTTGCTCACCTGCGTTGGCTGTTTGTAGTTGTCGATGGTGAGGTAGGTCGCCTGCCGGGAAAAGCCGCACTTCTCCGTCTGCTTGTCAATGTCACCCTAACCACACACACACACACGTACGTCAGATCACAGGCACACACACGCATAACGGCTGGCACCCACCAGGTCCTCGACGATTTGCGTCTCTGGCCTCATGAGCCTGCCGACGACCAGCAGTGCCACTCGCAGCTGCCGCCACCGCCGGTTGGCCGACGTCGTGGCCTCAGACATGCACCGAAACAGACGCGGAGTCTGTCCGCTCCCACTGGGGATCAGAGGACTCTTGTCCGGGTCAACCTGACAGACAAATGGACGACACACGACATGAGGACAACACCATGCCACCAGGCCGAACGGACAATTGTCATCGGTGTGTCAGCCAGCAGCTTAGCTTACATCCGATCTGTCAGCGGGCACTGCGTACTTGATGCCCGTCCCGTCAGCGGCCCGTTCATCCCGCGCCACAATCCCGTAGTCGACGCTCTTTCTCCCCTTCCCATGACCATTATGATTATGATTATGGTAGTGGCCGTTGGCGCACACGTCCTCTTGGTCCCTGCCAGAGCCGGCACTCAACAGGTACCGCAGCGAAGGCGGAATGAGGTGGTGGTGGCTTGGGTTGGTGGCTGGGGCGGTGGGGTGGCAGGGGAGGGCGGGGTCGGTGGGGGAGGGGGGGAGAATGGGGAGGAAGAAGGGGTAGCTGTAGGAACGCACCAGACGGTTCAAGTCAGCAGCCGTCTGGGTGCCACTGCTCCCGTGCCTCATCTCCGCCAGCTGAAGCAAAGGGCGATGACACACACACACACACACACACAATGTCATGAGAACGTCAGAGAGTCAGTCAGTCCCTGTGAGGTGTTTGTTGTTTCGTCACCGACCATTTGTGGCGTGAGGGGTCCCACTGGCATTGGCGATTTGGCAGCGTGGTTCCTCGGTGTCCGTCGGTCGGGCACGACGCAGGGAGAGCACGGGACGCTCTTGCTGTCCTCGATGGGCGCTCTGACAATCTTCAGCGGAGGTGGCGGCACTAAATTCGTCATGACCTCGACCTGGTCCACACAGCTTGGCATTTCAAGCCGTTCTACCGTGAACCCGCGAAAACTCCTTCTGCGAGCTCAAGTTTTTGCGAGCTTGGAGTCATAATTTGCCTTGCAAAAAAAGGGGAGGTAGGCTACACACTCCTCGCAGAGCATAGCAGTAGGATGGGGAGGAAGCCGTCGCGAAAACAGGCGGAGTCGACGCTGCTGCCGCCATGGGTGCCAAAGGAGAAGCTGAAACTGGATGAGAGCTGCGGTGCGTGTCTTCTAGAGAAGCAGGGTGGAGATGGCGACGATACAGTCGGGCTGACGGACGTCTGCGGGTGAGCAGAGCAGCTGTACAGTACGTGTGTGTAGTCTTTCCGCTGATGTGACTGACGATGAAGTCATATGTCACGTTTTGCTGCTGTCCTGTGACGACCGACAGGCACACCTTCCATGGGTCGTGCATACTGCAGTGGGCGGAGAGAGAAAACAGCTGCCCGCAATGGTGTGTAAGCCGACCGATCGACCAACAGGAATGATTGGCAAGACAACCGCCTTGGCGTGTTCGTGTGTGTCGTGTCTGTGCAGCAAGGGGCGGTTTCATTATATCGGGACCTACGACAGGAACGGCGTCCGTCAGCAGTTCATCTTGACGCAGAAGCGGGACCAAAAGAGCGATGACCGCGGGCTCGTCCTCGACGACACCAGCAGCGAGACCACCTGCAGGGCTTGCGGCCACGTGGGGGATGAGGCGTCTTTGCTGCTCTGTGACGGCGATGGCGGTAAGGCAGGCAGCCACACGACAGACGTCACGTCATGTCATGGAGGTGCCCTCCCTTATCAAGCTGGTCTGCGCTGCTTTTCCTTTACCTTCAGGGCTCTGCAATGCCGCGTACCACTTCTACTGTGTGGGACTGGACGCCATCCCGACCGAGCCGTGGTTCTGCCCCACGTGCACGCAGATGGGAGCCGATGCGCCTCCCGCATCCTTCCGACGGCGGAGGGGGTCCGCCCGGAGAACGCCATCCGCCGATCGCATCGCACGGGCGTCCCAGGAGCTGGCGAACCTCGTGATAGCGGGCCTCAACGGCTTCACTCGTCGATCGACCAGAGGACGAGGTGGCGCCCGTGGCCGTCAAAGTCGTGCTGCCGATGCTGCCGATGCTGCCCCCTCTCCCTCCCCCGCGCCTCGCACTAGTCCATCTCCGGCACCGAGGCGTCGGGCCGACCCATTCGACGCCATCCCTGCCGTTGAGAGGCAGGATGCTACCGATGAACCAGAGGCGGAGCCTGCGGCACCGCGGAGGCGTGTCGGAGAATCCAGGCGCTCCCGAGCGGGTGGTGATGGGGGCAGGAGAAAGCGGCAGAGGGACCCCGGAGAGGCGGCGGTATCACCTGATTCGGCGCCGGCCTCGTCAGCTGCCGGACCGAGTCCGAGTCCGGCTTTGCCGGCTATTCCGCCCCCACAGGCAGCTCCTCAGCATGGCAGCCAGGCGGCTGCGGCCGCCGGGCCGTCACCGGCAGCAGAGCAGCAGGGCAAGCGCTTCAAAGGCCTCAAGCCGAAGGAGGTCCTGTTAAAGTACCAAGAAATGGCCGAAGAGGAGGAGGACGCCAGGGCCCAGCAAGATGCCGAGGCGACTGCACCGCATAGCAGCACCATGTCTGCACAGGAGAGGATCCGCATGCGCCAGCGGCTGCGGCGGCAGCGGCAGGCCCAGCGTGAGAGGGTCAACCAGTACAGAGGCCTAGCGGTGATGAGTGTGCTGACGGGCGAGGACATGGGCAGCAAGGGGGCTTTCAAGGAGCCGACGGCCAACAAGAAGGCATCCAAGGTGCCCGCCGAGAGCAGCTCCGCTGGCGGCAATAAGGCCCCGCGCCCCCCAGCAGCAGCATCTTCCAGCAAAGACCCAGAGGTGCGTGCTGCTGCTGCTGCGAGTGCAGAGCACGCTGATGCGGCTGTCACCTGTCAACTAGAACCAGTCGAGGCAGGCGGCCATCAAGATTCCAAGAAGATGGACATCGACAAGCATCCACTGGAGAGCCAGCCCCCCCTCCCGCCGCCACCAGGCGACGCCTCTGCCCACAGTCACGACACAGCCCACGAGGCGGCCGCACCGGCGCAAGCACATCCAGACCGGGCCATCTCGAGCAGCTCATCTGGACACCGCCCGTCGTCGATCAAGCCCACCCCCTCCCTTGTGCGGGCAGTCAAGGCGTCCCTCAAGACGTTCAAAGAGGACTTCCGGCATTGTGCAGAGGAGAGCGGCATCGCGTACGAGCTGCTGTTCAAGCACTGGTGTCGCCGCGTTAGCTATAAGGCCGTCGAGGGCCGGCTGGATGTGTTGAGGGGCATGGGGCATGAGCAGTGGGACGCATTGTGGGCCGAGGAGACGGGCTCGGATGCGTTCCAGCAGTTTGTGAGCGAGTACTTGACGGCGAAGAGCCGTGAGGGGGTGCTAGTGAAAGACTACCTGAGGGCTGGGGGGGGGCAGGGGTGACTTGAGATCCATGGTGTTGTACAGGTGGTTGGCTGGGTGACAGTGTGCTATATTTGTCCGTGGCTGGCTGTTTGTCAAGAGCTGGCTTGTTGCGAAAGACGGACGCAGTTTGGGGCAACTTTGGGGTGGTAGCTGTGAGGAGTTAGTTGACGTGCGTCCCCTCCATGCAGATCGATGTGTGGCCACATGAATTGAATTGCGTGTGGAGATGAACGGTCCAGAAAGAGCATGTGATGTGTCGGCAGCTTCGCATTAATTGTGGTAAGGACTGTCGGACACCATCTACTAGTATGGAGATTCACACTAACAGCACAGGTGTGTGATTCCTTACAGACAGTCCAGCATCAGACAGTCCAGCATCAGGTCCTGTCCAGTCGTAAACTCTGGTGGGGGTTCTGACTTTGCATGCGCGCGCGTCTCCCTCATTTTCCTCCCTCAACGTTCCTCGCAGCTGAGATGCGATTGATGTTGTTTCTTCGCACGTTGCTCCTCGGCCTCTCCTTCCTCAGCCTTGCCTCTGCTGTGCACACGGGCAGGTAAGAAAAAGGTGAGACGCCCATCCATCATGGCGGCAGTTTCTCCGCTCAGGTTTCTCCGGTCCCCGCTGCGTACATCCCATGGAGCAGCCCTCGAGAGCGCCGATGATCCCTTGAAGTTCGTTTCCGGCCCCTTCTGCTGCTACTGCAAGCGCGGCGAAATCATCCTTGGTCAGCCTGCAGAGTATCGCTGATTCGTCCATATTATCCTGACACCTTTCCTGGGTGGGTACAGACTTCATGCAGCCAATGGATGCGCCGGACGAAGCGGCTGCCAGAGATTCCTGCCAGAACGAGTGCCTCGACAGAGACCCCGAGGTCACGCACTTCAAGGTCAGAAACGCCGCGTAGCTAGAAGAAAGACGAGCAACATCCAACTTGTCCGTCACATTATACATTGCAGATAGAGCCTGGGAAGTGCCGCAGCCAGGAGGAGGTTGACGAGGCCAACGAGCGCATTCTGGCGGCGATGAAGAAGGAAGAGGAGGAGAAGAAGAAGGAGGCCGAACCTGGGTCGCCTGAGACACCCCCACTCGCTGCTTCCAAGGTGGGCGAGGAAGAGCCCGAGCCCCCGGAGGGACCTGGCGAGATCGCGGCCAAGGTAGGCGGAGAAGAGCCTCCGGAGGGACCTGACGAGATATCCGCGGCCAAGGTGGGCGGCGAAGAGCCCGAGCCCCCGGAGGGACCTGGCGAGATCGCGGCCAAGGTGGGCGGAGAAGAGCCTCCGGAGGAACCTGGCGAGATATCCGCGGCCAAGGTGGGCGGCGAAGAGCCCGAGCCGCCGGAGGGACCTGGCGAGATCGCGGCCAAGGTGGGCGGAGAAGAGCCGCCGGCTGAGACACAATACTGCTGCTATTGTGCCCCGCCTGGGATGACGACTACGAATCACGCGGACATGCCTTCCTCGGGCGATGAGGAGGTCGACACCAACTCGTGCATGGACTTCTGCAAGGCAGATACAGCCAAGCACATCCGAGTGGTGCCCGACCTCAGCTGCAAGCAGGTCGACCTCTCGCAGAAGACCATCACAGGCGAGCAACAGAGAGGGCCTCCCTCCTTCCTCTCATCCACACACACACAAGGATGACAGACGGATTGATGGCACACACACGGTCACAGTATGTGTCTCTCTCTGGCGGCAGAGATGAAGGGCAGCCCGAAGTTCCGTGCCAAGGCGGAGGCGCTGGAGGAACCTGAGCCCAAACCCAATAAGCCCGCCGAGGAGCCCACCGAGGAGCCGGTCGGCGCCCCGGCTGGTGCTGCTGCTGGCGGTGCTGCTGGTGCGGAGGAGGAGCCTGCGGCCGGTGGGAAGGACTACTGCTGCTTCTGCCGTGAGGGCCCCAAGGCAGGCCACTTCGAGCGGCTCACCTCCCGCAGCCGATACGACGCCATGCACAAGTGCATCAACGGTACATTCGTTATGGCAAATCAGACACTAATGCCTCACGTGCCGGTCTGCCTTACGCGTGTGTGTGTGTGTGTGTGTGTGCAGACATTTGCGATGCGAAGGGTTTGGACGATGTGGTCTTCCTGGGCGGGCAGCAGTGCGACGCCATGACACAGGGCAAAACGTTCATGCGGGAGCTCGAGAAGAGGAAAGGACAGGCCCAGTGACTGACTGACTGACATCATCCAGAGGGAGCGTGTGACTGTGAGATACATCAATGAGATGGTTGCTCTTCCAATCGGTGCAATCAAAGACTGAACAGACGCTCTGATTTGAAGAGCGGTGGACGCTTGAACCAGTGTACGTCCAGCCACCGCCACGCGCACACTCTACTATACACTTGTCTGTCACTCAGGACAGTTACTAAAGCAATCAATCAGTCTCTCGAGTAGCTATCAACAATGCCCTTTGCCCCTTCCCCCTGTCGTCCCGTCCCGCAAGGTCACCCTCAGCCTGCGCTTCACCTTCTGTCTGCCTGCCCTTGCCGCAGCCATACCTCTTGACACGGCCGCACTGCACACACTCGACAGCCACCAACGCACCCTCACACTCATCCCCACTGCCGTCCTCGTCAGCCGGCGATTCGCCCTCCGCTGCTCCGCGCCCTGTCCTCTTCCGCCTCTTGGTTGTCTGCTCGATGGTCACGTGTGCAGTCTGTCCCGGAACGAGCAGCGAGCAGCATGTCTTGCAGAATGAGTGCTTGACGGCCGGCTCGAGGCGAATCACATGCTTCAGAGCCACCTCCTTCATCGTGGCCAAGTAATAGCGACCCTGACACAAACACCCACAGAGTGAGTGCGTCGATATGGGATGAGTTCACCCACCAGAGCAGGCGACTTGGTGCCGATTTGATGTGCGGCTTGGTAGAGGTAGTTGAGGCGCTGCAGGGCGGGCGACACCGCGCTGGTGGGAAGATCTGTCCGCGGCGGCCTCTCAGCCTTGATCGGCTTCTTCTTACCCATTGAGTAACCTTGCAGGGTTTAGGGTCAAGGGTTTACCTGCGAGCTTAGACTCCAGAGGACTCTGCGCTGTCCCTTCTCCTCGGGCTCGGCGCTGATGTGGATGAGTTGCTTTATCTGATCCTTGGGTGATGCTTTGTGTTTGTTGATCTGTGGCCCAGTGTGCGGGTTAGATGGCGTTGCAGTCAAGCGGTGCCGCGAGTCCACGACGGTCGCCTCTCCGGCGCTCAAGCGACCTGCCACATCCCACGTCTGCTGCTACTGACTCCGTCGCTGCACCTGGCAGACCGTCGCTATCCCACAACTGCAACTCCAACCGTCGGCACACCGGACCAACCATGGCGGAGTACCGCCAGCTGGCGCCCGACGCAGCAATGTGCCGTAAGAAGTCCCTGCTACCTTTCTCGTCATCACCAATGCAGCGGCGGCCAGACAACAGCGGCAAGTGGCACGGAAGGGCCGTCCGGGTGCTGCTGGCGCTCTTCTCTGTGGCCTTCATATCCCTCTTGGTGGTGCACACCGGCCTGGGACCCCCACCTGCCATTCCTCGGCTCTCTCTACCGGCCATCGTGACAACTGGCCCTCCAGCAGCGGGAGATGGCAAGGCCGCGGCGGTGCAGGCGGAGTCATCGGCAGAGGTGAATGTGAATGTGGTGCCGCAGTACAATGACTCGGCCTATCAGGCGGTGGCCAACGACATCTATCGGCTCAATACGATGAGCGGCGACCCATTCCACCTCCCCGAGGGCGCTTATTTCGACCGGCCGCTGGGCTACGCTGACGTGACGATCGACCGCCTCACCGGCAAGCCGCGGCACAACGCCTCATCAACCACCCATTCCCAGCGTGCAGCCGGCAGTCGTTCGTTCGGGTATGACGCTTCCCTCTATCGCTCTGACGAGTGGACACGGCCAACGGGGGGAAACCAGCACGAGTACGCGGCCTACCAGTTCTCGCCCTTCCTGCCCCTCAACCCCGATGTGGTTGTCCGATCGGCCTTCTGGGACAGCGACCTCCGGCTGCTCAAGAGCCCGATGTCGAAATTCCACATCAGCCAGTGGCCGCCCTCTGTGTTTCGCGCCATCCGTGAGGGCCGGGCGAGGGGCGGCGTGGCCTTCAATCTCGAGGTCAAGTACGAGGTGTACAAGGCGGCCGCTGGCGTCTTTGCCGGCTGCTCGGCGGGGGGCGACCAGGGCGTGTCGTCTGTGTTCACCCTGCTCGAGCCCAAGGAGATCAACGACTGGATCGGGGGGCCCAAGCGGTTGCGCAAGCCGCCCATCACCCACCTGCACATGGTGCTCCTCTGCCCGCAGAAGCGGCCTGGCCCATCCCGGTCGGCCGTCCAGCCCTCTGACTTCCCCTTCATCATCACGCGCCCCCTGGACACTCTGCGTGCGGCGAAAAGGGGAGAGGTCGATAGTGTGGCTGTGTACGAGAAGCGCTACTCGCAAGAGCCCCTGTGGAGCCCCCCCACATCCCCGCACCCATCCGATGGCGACGAGCGAGGCGGTCTGGCGGTGCTGGTCAAGTCCACGCGAGGCGGCCCATCGGCCGTGGCCGGCGAGGGCCTCGACGAGAGGCGGATCATGGCGTGGCTGGCGCACATGCGCGGCATCGGCGTGACGCAGATCTACGTGTACGTCGTGGCTTTGTGGGACGACGACCACCTCGAGGGTGACGGTGAGAGCGGCTATCCGCCCGGGAGGAGGGAGGGCAGCCGGCCCACACTGCGGCTGGCGCTGGATGAGCGGATCGAGCGGCTGTTTCGTGAGCAGGAGGGGTTCGTCACGATCGTGCCCTTCCCACAGTATATCGGCCAGTGGTGAGCGAAGAAAGGACATGAGACGTCTGTACGTGGAACAACACAGCGAATGCGGCCTTCCGTGTGTGTGTGTGTGTGTGTGATGCAGGTGCTATCGTCCCTGGCGTGATCGCGTGACTTGGGGCCCCTGGCCGCTGACCTACACCTACTGCTATGCGGAAGGCAGCTCCGTCCAGGATGTCATCTATCGCTTCAGGTAGGCCTGGCCTGACGCAGCGCAGGTGACGTGACAAACATGGGGAGACAGCGACAGCAGGACATTCACCCGATCTGCTCCCTCCCTCTCAGATGGAGCCACCGCGCCGTCATCCTGATCGATCTCGACGAGTACTTCCTCCTTCCCCTGCCCAGCAACCCCATCGGCTTCCCCATGGTCAACGAAACCCTCACCCCCACGGCTTTCTTCAACACCGTCCCTCCTCCCTCCCCCCAGCGCACCCTCGACCTATGGTTCGACCGGCACCTGGAGCACAGCTACCGGAGGAAAGACACTCATGCGGTCTTCCTGGTTGGCTATCGGCAGTACTACCCCGACTGCGTGGTGAGGAGCGACGGCAGCAGCTACTACGATGTGATGGACCTGGGGACGCTGCGGCACGCCCCACACTCGTGGCTGTTCAAGGACATGAACCCCGGAAAGTCATTCTTCCTCCTCCCCACACCCGTACGACGGCCATCCCTCCACGCACACACACACGCACACACACAGAGAGAGAGAGAGAGAGAGACGGGGGCGTGTGTGGACGTTGGTGTTTTGTGTCAGGTGGTGATGGGTCTGCACTATGAGCGCACTCGGCTGATGCGAGCCCGCACCGAGAACGCCCTCATAGCCCACATCCACCGCGGCTGCCCCCTCCCAAAGCCACCCGAGGCGCCCGACCTGCTGGAGCTCATCAAGCGGACCAAACACGGCGCCGACGACGCGCAGACAGAGGAGGAACTGACGCGTGACGAGAAGCTGCACGAGGGGTGGGATCTCGTATGGCCCGCCGACACGCTCAAGCAGGGTACAGAATGGAGACACAAACAGATGTCTAGACCCCCACCAACGGGATTTGTCGTCAGGTGGTCGGGCCATTCTGCCGGTGGTGCAGAGGGGCTTCTCAGCCTGTCACGGCCTCAACGGCATCTACAACGCCTCCACCCACAGCTGCTGCGCTGCCCACTGCCAGCGGTGCGGCCCGCCCCCTCTGTGGCCGCAGGACCCCCGCGGGCCGATCGTGAGCGACGAGTGGGCCTACTTCAAAGAGATCGGGGAGCGGGTCAGCGAGGGCATCGGGGAGTGCTCGGCGTCGTGGGTGCGGAGGAACGGCCTGCCGTGTGGGGCGGCCGACGGCAGCCTACCCTGCTGGATACATGACGGTCAGTCAGTCAGCCGGCAAAGGGAGAAAGAACCAACAAGAAGACAAGACGAGACATGCCGCGAGAGTTGTGATGTGAGCTGTGTCTTGTGCCTTCATGTAGATGTGTTGCTGCCGCCAGCGGCCGGCAGAGCTCAGGAGAGGCACCGCCCGGCGATCATCGATGCTCCAGAGGTGGAGGACGACAGTGATGCAGCAGACGCCGACAGCGACGCAGCAGATGCGGCAGACACGGGAGAAGAGGGGGATGACAACCTGCCGCAGCCAGACGAACGCGAAGGCGACCAGAAGGAGATAGGGTGATTCCGAGGTTACTGTGGCGTTGTGTCGTGTTGTGTTGTCTTGTCTTGTCTTGGTGGCTTTTGTCTGTTGGCGTCGGTAGGGCGTGGCGTCGGCCATTCAGGATTGATTTCGCTTGTGCGCGGGCTGGCGCTGGGTTGGGGAGACAAGCCCGCCCGTCCGTCCGTCCGTCCGTCTGTTTGCTTACGTTGGTTGGGTGTGCCGTGCCGGTCAGTGCAGGGCACGTGAGCCGCCGATGCTCACCTACCTACCCACCAGCCAGCAAGAGAGCCAGTCGTGCATGCATTTTGTGTGTATGTATCCATCCATCGCTCGATCCTTTCGTTGATGGCCGGTGAGTTAGGTGTTCGACTGACTGACGTATCTATATATCGCATGCATCTTTTGTGGCCGGCCTTTTGTCTGTCTATGTATGTCTCGTACGAGGCTCATGCGTGCCCACCGTACACGTGGATCAATCGCATCACTGTCTGTGCGTTGTGTGTGGATTTATCGCATCTATCGGTGAATAATTCAATAGCCTTTCGTCAGTCGTCAGGCGCGAATCTCTAAGTCAGTCGGTCCCTCAAGTCAGTCAGTGTTGTGTGCGCGTGTCGTGCTCGCTGCGTGTTCCTGGCTGCCGCTGTGGCTGCAGACGAGATCTGGGCGGGCATCTGTACTGCCTGCAAGCCCAGACGCCGTCTGCGGCGGCAGACCAAGTGTGTCTAGAACAAGCGATGCACGTCACATACAATGGATGGGGGCAAAATGTTCAGCCGGTGGCCAGGGAGGGGAGGGAGTCCGGTCTCTCTACGCTACGCTACGCTACATCTGCTGTGCCGTGGTGGGCTGTGACAGCTGTGGTACCAGCCGCACTCCGTCGAGATGAATCCACCGGAAGACGTTCCGTTGAAGCTTCATTCATTCAACCATTCGACAAACCATAATAGCTTTCTTTATCAACAGGCAGCAGACAGGCAAACAAACCACCGCAACCCTCGCCCCACTCACACACACACACACAGGTAGACATGGAGCGTCTCCCTCCTGCGATTTCATTCATCCATCCATTCATCGCTGCTGCCGAATTATCTTACAGGCCGGCACCGCACACACATACCATGCTGCGCATGCAATAGCTAGTTACAGTGCTGCTTAGGAACAGGCAGGCACCAGAAGAAGGCTTCATGACCTCTCTCTCTCCTCAAGCAAAGATAGACAGGAGGGCAGGGCGAATGAGATGGGTTGAGAAGAATGGGAGGGAGGGGCATCTCTCCCCTCAGCCAGCCAGCCTGTCAGTCGAGCTAGTTGTTGGCCGCCGGAATGACGCCCCGCTGCTCCAGCTCGTCCAAAATGATCTGAAGCCCCCGCATCCAAACACACACACATTCACACACATACTCTGCGGGTCTGTATGGATGGCTGTCTACCCTACTCGACGCACCTGCACAAGCTCCTTCACGGAGTGCACGTCAGTCCGCAGGTCCAGCTCGGGCTTCTCGGGCGCCTCGAATGGGTCATCGATGCCTGTGAAGCCCTTGATCTCCCCACTGCGTGCCTTCTTGTACAGACCCTTCGGATCGCGACGCTCAGCCTCCTGGACGGACGGACCAACGAGTGACATGTATGCCACACACAAACAGAGAGAGCCACGCACACACCCTTTCAGACGACTGACTGTGCTGTTGGCGATGGCGTGGTGTGTGGGGTAGGTACCAGGTACCTCTAGTGTGCAGTTGATGTGGGCCTCGATGAAGGTGAGTCCGGCCTTGTCGTGCAGCTCCCGCACCTTGGCACGGTCATCCTTGTAGGGCGAGATGAAAGACGTCGTCACAACCATTCCTTGAAAGGCACACCACACACAACACACACACATGTATATGCAAATCGCCGCATTTTCGCCTCTTGGGGCCCACCGGCGTCATTGAAGAGCTTGGCGACTTCGCCGATCCTGCGGATGTTCTCAGCACGGTCGGCTGCCGAGAAGCCGAGGTTCTTGTTGAGGCCGAAGCGGATGTTGTCGCCGTCGAGCCGATAGGCGTGTATGCGCCTCTGGATGAGCACCTGCTCCAGCGCCACGGCTACGGTGCTCTTGCCAGCACCGCTGACGCCTGTCATCCAGATGGTCGCGCCTTTGTGACCCATCAGCGCCTCCCTGCCACGACAGGCAGACAGACAGACACTCGTGTGTCAGTCAGACTGATGGGCACAAGACTTCGTTCTCTGTGGGCTCTCAGCGCTTGCCTTTCGTCTCGAGAGACGGTTCCATCGTGCCATGTGATGTTGGTGGCTGCTCACACACACAGACGAAGGACAACACACACAATGAGTTGTTTGGCAGGTGTCCTTCTGCCTGATTCCCTCCCTCCCTGCCTGCCTCCCTCCCTCCCTCCCTACCCTTTTCGAGTTGGGGCGAGCCTGGGTTTGGGCTGGCGGCCGTCGATGAGGCGCCCGTGGAGGAGCTCGTGCTGCTGCCCTGAGTCATGGCCCCAACTATCCAATCCACCACTTCTGCCCGGGGTGGCACGTTCTCGGCCTCAACCCAACGAGGGATTGGCAAAGCCCTTTCTCAGCCTTTTTGAAGGAAAGCTCGCAAATGTAAGCTCGCAGTGGCGAAGTAGTGTCAGTAGAGGCTTTTTGAGGAGATAACTGTTGTTGTTGGAGCGTGTACTGCGATGGCGGACGAGGAGGGGCAGCCGCAGCACATCAACCTCAAGGTGAGTGTGCCACGTCAAAATCGATGAGTTGACGAGAGCAGGAGGACAAGGGAAGGAGGGAGAGAGGAGCCAGGCGGTCAGCTGGTCTGGCGTGATGGCTGCCGAAAGCAGAGGCTAAAAAGATCTGGGCGTGTTATGTCTTGGAAGCGATGAGTGGGATGGCCTTTGCCGCGTTGTGTGTGGTTGGATGTGTGGGTGCAGGTGAAGAGCCAGGACGGCAAGGAGGTCTTCTTCAAAGTCAAGTCAGTGACAGAAATGTTAAACGACACACACCACTGCAAGCCCACCCAGCAAAAGGCGGCCTTAGGGGTGTGGTGTGGTGTGTCAGAAAGTGGACCAAATTCGAGAAGCTCATGAACGCCTACCACCAGAAACTGGCACTCGCACCCAACTCTGTCAGGTACGTACCGCAGCGGTCAAACCAAACCAGGCAGGCTACCACACTGTCATCCATGCCAATGAGGGTGTGTGTGTGTGTGTAAGGTTTTTGTTTGACGGCGACCGCATCGCTAAGGAGAGCACGCCCGACGACCTGGGCATGGAGGACGGGGATGTCATCGACGCAGTCGCCGAACAACAGGGTCAGACAGAACACACGACACACACAAGACAGAGAGAGAGAGGAGGAGCATCCTCTCACTGTTTATGTGTGTGTGTGTGTGTGGTGTGTGTGTGCAGGTGGCGGCAGCGGGTGACCGACCGGCTGTGAGTGGCGGTCATTCGCACCCTGTGGCGACATACCCACTAGTCTATTCCTGCCTGCCTGCCTGTGCATTACTCTCTCTCTCCTTCTCCCTATCCGCTGACTGACACACTCGCTATAGCTAGCCACGACACACACAGTCACATGCGCACACGCACACGCACACCTGAATGTTAGTATACGTGGTTGACTGACGAGATACTTAAAGGTACAGACAGGGTCGGGCGGTTCTCGGGGTCTTTGCCTCTTGCTGATTGATGTGTACAAGTCACGTCTTGTGTGTTGAGTGGTGTGCGTTCGGCGTCCGTCGCTCTCGCCGGTGCCAAGAGATCCTTCGATGGACCACACATTGAAGGAGCTCTTTCGCCGGAGGTGGTGGACGCAGAACACCACTGCTGAGCAAGCACGCGACTTTGACAAGAGGGGGCTGTGTGTGTGGGCGCGCCTTTTATTATTGGCTGTGTCTGTATTGCGTCCTCAGTTCGTGTCTGGCCGGTTTGGCCGCTCGCTGCATTGGCCAGAGCCACCTCATCTTTAGGCTGACAGCTACCCTGAGTTGTGAGCCCATAGATGAGGCGGAGAGGGCGGATGCACACAGCGAAACACTGACACAGACCGAGAGAGAGAGAGAGGGGATGTGTTGGATGGATGGCTGGAGATAGCGATAGCAGCACACCACACGGCCCCCACCGCCCCGCTTTGTGTACAGCTGGAGGAACCGACGTGCCTGCATCTCTTGTGTGTGACCTGCCTGCCTCCGTATGCGTCTGTGTGGACCGGCTGGCTGGCTGGCTGGCTGTGTGTGTGCATCGATGACCGACCGAGTGTCTGACATGCATTGTTCATCTATCTCTCTCTCTTTTGCTGGATGGATGGATGGATGGACGACAATTTAGCTGCATTCTGTGGCGTGGCGTGGCGTGCTTCAACAGTGCTGTGTGTTATTGGCTGCGCGCACACGTACAAGTAGTCAGTCAATCAATCGGCCGCACGCACACACACACACAGGGGCGTCCATGTAGGCGATTCGATTGTGCAGACACACAGGCGATTCGAGCGTCCTGCCGTCGAGTGTCCCCGCCCGCCAACACACTCCACACCAACATGGGCGCACGAGTCATATGCATCTCACCCCACTCTGATCGAATGGAAACTTACTCACGCAGGAACCATGAAAGCAACACACAACGCACACCACATACACACACACAGGCACACGAGATAAGGCACCGACCGACCGGCCGGCCGGCTGGCTGGCTGGCTGACTGCAAATCACTCACTCTATCTCCCAGTCACTCACGTCAATGTATGTCTGTCTGTCTGTCGCTGTCGGTCGCTGAGTGCATCCGCCCGCTCCGCCTCATCTATCGGCTCACAACTCAGTGTAGCTGTCAGCCCATGGACGAGCTGAAGCAATTCCATGCAGCGAGCGGCCAACCGGACAGACACGAACAAAGGACGCAATACAGACAGAGCCAATAAATCGCCCAGAACACCGCATTCGCCAACAAGAAACTCGTGTCTGTCTGTCTGTCTGAGTGGCTGATTGCATCCGCGCGCCCCGCCCTCACCTGTCGGCTCACAACTCAGTCAGTGTAGGTGTCCACCAAAAGGTGAGCGACTAGGCAAAGAGAACAAAAAGTGACTTCGTTCCACACACATATTACTACTCATCCACACGTGTGGATGAGCTACTAGTACTACACAACAAGAGGGGGAGAGTAGGGGAGCCGAGCCGAGCCGAGCCGAGCAGGACTCACTCTCTTCTCGTCGCCCTACATGAAGATCTGCTCATACACGGACGACGCGCGTGTCTGGCCGTACTGAGTGACACACAACACCACAGCACCACAGCACCGGCGTCGTTCTCTCTCTTTCTTTGTATCAGTGTTCGTGTGGTGTGCAGTGTTACCTACCGGGCCTTTCAGGAAGGCGTCAAACATGAGCAGAGCCACCTCTGGCTGGTCCCTGACACACAAACACAACGCAACACAAGAGGATCTCACTGTGACACACACGTACAGTGTGTGTGCTGTTTGTACTGTTGGTTGGCCCGTGTGCACGCTTACATTGGGACCATGTGTCCGGCCGAGAAGACCCGCATGAAAGTCAGGTTCTCGACGGTCTTCTGGCTCGCCACCGCCTTGCCATCCACCACCCAATCAGTCATCTACACACACAACACAACACAAGGATAGGATAGCGTCTGTCTGTCTGCCATGGTGAGGGTGGGGGTGTGTGTGGGTGGGGTCATCTTCCGGTCTCCGTTCTTGGCTGAGCTGACCTCCTTTTGCCTGAAGTCAGCCTGGTGCTCCCACTGTATCTTGTGGACCCAATCGAGGCCGCCGAACCAGTTGCAGATGTAGTCCTGGTCACCATTGTAGATCAGCACGGCCTTGCCAGCTGCCAGCAGCCCCGCAACCTTCTTACGAACCCTACACGTGCCACACACACATACAGACACACATAAAGGACACGCAGGTCAACGAGCGAAAAGGGTTTAGGGAAGTTTAGAGACAGAGAGGGGGGGAGGGGGGGCGGGGTATGTGTGTGTGTCTTACGAGAGGATCCAGTCGCCGAGAAGGGTGGTGTGGACGACATAGTTGCAGTCGACCCACCTCTTGTCCACACCCATGGCCTCCTGCACCGAGGGGTCATTCAGGAAGTTGCCGATGCCCGTCTCGTTGTAACACAGAGGGGGCACCTGCACGCACAGTCCAGTCCCCCCACACGCACACACCACTTCTGCCACTCACTCTGCAACTGTGTGTGCCTGAGTCACCGACCTCGCACTGCAGCCTGATGTCGTATGGGTTGAGTGTGCCGAGCAGCTGTGTGGTGAGCGGCTCGCACAGCACATTGGCGATCTCCCATATGCCGCTCTCGACGGCACGGTCGCACGCCTGATACGCTGACACACATCCATCCATCCATCCACACGTGAGAAGTGTGTAGCCCCGGTACCTTTCTTTGCGTGTTGGTAGGTCCTGTTGCTGATGAGGTTGTTGGCGTATGCGAAGTCGGCATAGGCCGGGAACTGCGTGTACGGGTCCACCCAGCCATTGCCGATAGCCACGCCTAACACATGGCATGGGGGCCGCCATATCCTGTCTGTGTGTGTGCGTGTCCCGCATCCTCCCAGCCAGCCACCTTTGAAGTTGAGCCCCTGGATGGGGTTCTGCAGCAAGTAGTGCGCAATCGACGGGATATAATGCCCGGCGTAGCTCTCGCCGGTGATGTAGAACGGCCTGGGGGCACGGGCAAATCATCAACCGACGGACGTCGCAAACGACAAACGTGTCCGTAGCGAGTGAGTGGGTGATTGTCTGTCTGTCTGCCTGTCTGCCATCCTCTGCCCACCTGTCGACTAAGTGCGGGAAGAGAGTGAGGAATTTGGTCAGAAAGGTGTCCATGTCTGACCAACAAGCGCGCAGGCAGGCAGGCAGGCAGCCCACGAAGTGGCACATCGACACAACGAACGAGCGCATCTGACGTCCCCCACCCAACCGACCCACCGACCCTTTGATATTTGTTTCTCGTTCTTGGCGTAGTTGAGCGGGTCATTTGTCTCGCTGAAACCCGTCCCCAGTGGCTGGTCCACATACAACATGTTCGCCACGCTCGACCTGACACGATGGATGAAGGATGGATGGTAGGAGGTGCAGACAGACAGAGATCCAGAGAGATCGTGCGCGTGTTCCTCTCTCCTTCACTCACCATGAGTGCTCATTGTATGCCAGTGTGGCGTTCGGCTGCCCCCTACACACAGACAGACAGACAGACACGCAGAGGGCGAGAGAGACTACGAGTAGGCCCACACACACCACCAAAGCCGACGCTGCGCCAACTAACCAGAAGGGCCCGTTCTCCTGCAGCCATGCGATCTCCGAAGAGCAGCCAGGACCTGACAGTGACGCATACACATTCACGTGAGGCAAACCTCTCTGCGTGTGGAGGCCTGTGCTTCGTCTGGCCTTTATTACCTACCTCCGGTGAGCCACATGACGAAGGGGTCAGATGCAGGCTCTCCTCTGCTGGGGAAGAACGTGTAGAACATCTCCCCACCCTCATAACCCGTGTGGATGAATCCTGCACACCACCAGCCAGCAATGCACCGACGCACGGACACACCACGCAATGCACCGTCCGAGCTCTTGTGCCCACCACAGTGCTGCTTACCTGTGAACATTTTCTCTCCCAGGAAGGCCTCGGCTGTCACTTCTTTCTTCTCTGGCAATGCTTGTGCCGCCATGGGTGAGCGGATGGATGAAGGGCCGCATGACACGACGGCAAGAGCTGCAACCGACAGGATCACCGACAGACGTCCAAACATGGTGCGCTGATGTGCAGGGGAAGGTGTCACGGCACGTGGGATCTTCCGATCTGCAAGCTTAGCTATGGCCCCCCCTTCCAAAAGTTGTCGCGCATTCCCCACCAAAACTGATCTCGATGGCACGTCTCTGCAGAGAGCCCGGCAAGTGTTTCTGCGGAGCTCAGGGGATGGCATGCGGGCCGTGCAGAGGGTTGATCCGCACCGTTGCGACGAAGGAGGTGCTGCTGAACGGGGCGGCGTGGCTGGAAGAGCACCCGCAGGAGATATACCAGTTCGGGGGGGTCCGGTGGGACCTCATACAGGCGCAGGGGCCGCGGGCGTGGTGGATGGAGCACATACTTCTGGAGAGGGAGGACTTCGAACGCTTCTACTGGACTGACGAAATCGATATCAGTCCGACGTGAGACGGCTGGCGGGCTTCCTCATCTGAAATGGCATGGTTGTCCTGTGTGTGTGCATGCAGATTCGGCACGGAGCTCTCTTACCGCCGCGTGAACCCCTTCAAAGCCCACGCCAACCGAGACAAGCAGACTTCAAGGCCGTCCTACGTCCCTGCCACGTCAGTCAACTCATCTCCCCCCGCCCCAGCCCCCGCCCCTCCCCCTCCCCCCTCTTCCCCGCCTCCGCCCGGCAGCCATCTCAAGAAAAACACCAAGAGCTTCAGAGCATCGCTCCGGTTTCGCTATCCGCCAAAGCCGAGATGTTGCCAATCGAATCTGCCACTGCCCCCTCAGGTAGGTGATTGATGGGATGGATGCAGAATCCTGAATGGATGGATGAGAGTGGTGGAGTCTTCCTTTTCCGCTTTTGTCTCAGCGTGTGTGCTATTTTGAGGTGGAGATCGACAGCATCTCGACCCGTCCGCGCGACACTCTCATCTCGATAGGTGTGGCGACCAAGCCGTGGGCGCCCCATGTCCTCCCGGGCCTCCTGCCGGCGTCGCTGGGCATCCTGTCGTCGGGCTTCATCCACGGCTACCCGTCGAGAGGGCGGCCGTACAGGAAGGGGTGTCCACAGCTGCGCGAGGGAGACGTAGTGGGGTGTCTGGTCAACCGGGACAGGGGACTCGTGGGGTTTCTGCTCAATGGGGGGTGGCTCGCAGAAGTCGTCATGGAAGAGGTCAGTCTGTCTGTCTGTCTGTCTGTCTGCATCGCGCACACACACACGGAGACATTTTGTGCCAGGTTCGGCTGACATGGTCGGGGCCGGCAATGTTTGTGACGATTGGGATGCTGGGGGACGGCGAGTTGGAGGTCAACTTTGGGAGGAAACACTTTGTGGGCAGCGGGGACGTCATGGTTGACCTTCCCAGAGGCATCAAGGTGACCGCTGCCATGTGCGCTTTCGGTCGGCAGCTCGACCAGATGAAAGGACTCAAGGCAAGCGAGATCTACATTGACACGGGCGACGAGACGGACATTCCCGCCTGTGTGCCGTGCGTGTCATCATGTCAGGCGAGGCTGAAGGAGTTTTACGAGATCCACAATCCGGTGATGCTCTGCCAGGTCGACCGAATCGCAAACCTGTACATGGGCAGGGAAAAGGTGGGTGGGGTGGGGTGAGGCGAGGCGACACAAGAACAACGGGAATTCAATGCAGGCATCATGTCTCATTGGTCTCAGGAGCTGGACGAAGAACTGACGAGCCATTACGGGGCAGGTCTCAGCAACCTGCACGAGAAGCAACTCGATGGTGGGAGAGGCAACCAACGGCCACACACACATACAGAATGATGGCGGGACGCAACCAACGTCATGTCATCTTGTCACCTCTCCCGCCGTTCCCTTCTCCATCGCAGTGGTCCGTCGTCGCGTGAGGAATTTCTTTGAGTTGTTCGACCCCTCTAAGCTGACCTTCGAGGACGTCGACGACATGATCAAAAGGCACTCTGCCGACGTACGTCAAGACGAACAGACGGAAGGAGAGGCGGAACGATGGACGGCACACAGTCGCACCCATTCATTGTGTGTATGTTGTCTTTCTTGTGCAGACAGAGGAGATCCATCAAGCGTTGGTGTCCGAGTACGGCGTGGGCCTCGACGCCATCCACAACCGACGCAAAATCAGTCAGGAAGGGGCGGGCGATGGGAGAGAGAGAGAGAGAGAGAGGCGACATACATTCGTCTGGGCCTGTGTGTCTGTGTGTCTGTGTGTCTGTGTGTCTGTGTGTCTCTGTGTGTGTGTGTCTGTGTGCAGGTCTGCAGCGCATGCTGAATGACTACTTCAAGCTCAAGGGTGTCGAGACGGACACGGAAGGCATCAAGGTCACACGAACCTGTCACACACGCCACTAGCAGCACAACAGATGATATGTGCATTCGGCCACCTTTGTCTGTTTTGTGTATGCATGCCATCAGTCTGTGGTCAACGAGCTGTTTTCCCGTCCTGAAGTGCTCGACACGGCACTGAGGGAAAAGTTCGGCGACGGACTCAACTACGTCCTAAAGGTCGGGGGGGGGGCGGGGGGGCGAGCAGTGGGCGAAGAGAGGCCTCATGTCCGTGGTATGAGCGTGTGTGACGTGCAGAAGAAGCTCACGAAGCTCTACACGATGTACGCCCCTGATCAGGTGCATGAGGTGGACCGCCTGCTCAACGCATACGCAGGTCGATGTGAGCCACTCACCGACCGACCCATTCTATCTATGTCTCTCTCCATTTCCCTCTCACTCACTCTACACACACATACATACATCTTTCTCTCTGTCTCTCTGTCTGCCGACCCGACACACAGGTGTGGACGGCGAGTTCGAGTTGAAGTTCAGGCTGAAAGAGCGGTACGCCGTCGACCTGGACCTCATCTCGGTGGAGCCCTCAGTGGACGACGGCCAGACGGTCCACGGCCACTCGAGCATGGAGGACACAGCCCCCAACTTGAACGACTTTCCCCAGGAGCAGCAAACCACCACTGTTTCAATGGTGGATCGGCGGGGCAGCGGGCCGTCGGTCGGCAGCCGCCTGAGGCTGTCGCACCTGCAGCTGTCGCAGATCGACGGCTTCACCATGTCGGGCAGCGCTCTGGACCTGCAGGCGGCCGAGGGGGGAGATAGAGAGGAGACCGACTCTCTGCCCACACTCATGAGGGGACCCACCATCAACATCGGTGCGGCCGTGTGTGCGTGTGTGTGTGGGGGAGAGAGACATGTATATTGGGTGGCATGGTGTGTGGTGTGGTGCAGGTGGTGTCAAGGTTGGCCACCAGAGAGTGTCCGTGACCCGCACATCTCGTCTCGGCTCCACCTCATCCGTGCCCACCACCACCAACAGGAGAGACCACCCCCCTCACTCATCGTCGTCACCCGACACCCAGTTCACCACCCCTCTGACTGGCGAGCAGTTCTTCACCACATCGCCCCATGACCATCGCAGCCGAAGCGCACTTGACCAGCCCCCCTCAGGGCCGCACACACCGCAGGGCGGCCGGCAGACATCCATCAACACCAACATCAGCGAACGGTTAATCAATACGAGGCCAGCCAACACATGATGGTGGAGAGAGACACCGTGTGTGTGTGTGTGTGTGTGAGAGGCGCGGTTCAGTGCGCGAGCCGTCAGTGGAGATGGCGGAGGCGTGGCTGTTGGTGGAGGTGGCGCTCTGACCGAAGCCGTCGGACGACAACATCGTGCGGGCCGTGAGTGCTGCAGCCAAGAGGGAGCCGGGGGGCGGCACAGGAGGGGTCGCATGAGTGAGTAAATGACCAGTGAGTGCATGTGTGTATCTGAATGTGTTCGACGTCTTCATTCGACGGGTTTTCCAGCTCGTCAATGAATGACCTTGATCCATTCTGGCTTCAGAAAAACAAACAGCCCCGCCAAGTAGAGTAGGTTTCTCACTCACCCTCACAAGCAGAACAGACAGGGTGGAGACTGGCAGGCTGTCGTAGCAGTGACAGCGGTGTGTGGTCGATCGACCACAAACATGCCTGAGTCAGACCCACCCCACCTCCTCCAGCAAACACACAAGGGACAGGGAAGGGTCAGCAAGGAAGAATCAGCAGCAAAGGGTAGACAGACGGGAACAAGGGATGAGATCAGCCCGCCCGTAAGGACCACCTCAACCAATCAATCAATCAGTCAGCGACAACACGGCGACGGCTTCCCACGCCCAGAGCAACACAACCAGCCCTGACATGAACGACATTAATTCAATAAAATGGGACAATATATGATCCCCCCATAATGTTGCACGCCACGTACACATTTGTTTCGGTCTTACCCCGGACGTTGGCGAGGGGGCGAGGTTCTCAGCCTGGAAGGAAGCCAGCAGAACGACGACAGGGGCAGTGATGTGATGGCAGCCCAACAGGTCTTTCTCTCTTCGTTGCTTGCTTACGATGTCTCTGGTCGGCTCAAGAGTGCACTGATGCAGTTTTTCATAGGTGGCGCTGACCTCTTCCTGAATCTGCACCCACAAACAAGCATAGCATGGCCACCCACGGCCCTCCCGGCCGTCCGACCGTCTGCCCACTTGTAGCAACTTGGTTCTGAGAACCATGTTTTCATCCACAAGGGCCTCTTTCTCGCCCACCAGGTCGTCGACCTGGTCCTCCGCTCTCTCCAGCCACCGCAACACGATCTGCTGCTGCACCTGGTGCACCACGTGAGCGCCCTGCAATGCACAGTCAGTCGGGTGTCGTCACCGCGTATGTCAGTCGTCTTTTGCTCCTTGCTTACCAGTGTCTCGGCCTTGGCCGCTCGCTGCTGTTGTTGAACCTCACGGTGGAGAGCCTGCGTGGCGTATATGTGCACACATCGTACGAACGGGGAAATACAGAGAGGCGAACGTGCTCACCCGGGTCTCGTTCAGGATGATAACAAGGAGGTGCTGGAACTGCGACATCAGCGACTGATGGATTTAGACGAGAAAGACCGTTGAGAGTTCATGTCTCGGTCTTCGCCCTTATCCCTCATCCGTACCTGCAAATCGTGGCCCCACGGTGCCGACACAGCGTCATGGCCACGGGGGTTGGCTTGAGAGTGCGAGTGCTCGTCGGTCTCGAGCTCCAGTCCCTTCACCTCTTGAAACAACATCTCCAGGAAATGCTGCAGAGACACACACACACACACACACAGAGAGAGAGAGAGAGACATCGGCATCCGCAGGACACAAGATTCGTATCAGCTTGCTCGCCTTGATATTGTCCTCGAACTGCTTGGTCGCCGTCTCCAGTTCCGTCTTGACAACGCTCAAGTCACTCTCGAGGCCACTCTTGGCGCTTCGCACGTCAAATAGCTCGCTCGTGAGCTCATCAATGCGCTGTTGAAGGCCCGTTTTTTCTTGCTCGGCCTTCCGTGCGTCCTCGACGCGGGCAGTGGCCGTCTGTTGCTCCCGAGTGGCCGCCTCCTCGCGCACGGACGCCAGCTGTTGCTTGGTCGTCGTCAGGTCCTGCTCAAGGTCCTTCTTGGCGTCTCGTTCGCCCTCGACCTTCTTCTCCAAAACGGCAGCTTTGTTGCGCCACTCCTGCATAAGCGACCAACCAACAGGCAGAAGACAGAGGCAAACATAATGTGGATCTTTCACATCCGCCCACTCACATTGATATTATCCTCGAATTGCTTGGCTGACTCCTTCAGTTCGGCCTTGGCGTCGCCAAGGTCCCTCTGCAGGCCATCGTTGGCACTGCGTACGCTGACCAGCTCGCCCTTGAGCTCATCGATGTGTTTCTCCTTTTCGAGTACAGAGGCATGAAGAGCGGCTTTCTCTTGCTCGGCCTTCTGGGCGTCTTCGACCCGGGCTGTGGCCATCTGCTGCTCTCGGGTGGCAGCCTCCTCGCGCACGGAGGCCAGCTCTTGTGTGATCTTCGCGTTGGCGGCTTCTCGTTCGTCTCTCTGCTCTGTCAAACCTTTGACTTCGTCAGCATGGGTGCTGGCGCTGTCGTCCAGGGAGCGCTGAAGGTTGGACAGGCCTTCTCGGAGGTCAACGACGGTGGACTGTAGCGCGGTAGCTTTGCTGCGCCACTCCTGTATGTGTGACACAGAGGCGGGAGGGAGTCTTGGAATGAGTGTGGGGAAGCATTGTGCATGTGTGCGTGCCTCCACTTCGGATTTGAGATGTCTCTTCGCTTCTTGCTCGGCCTCAAGCTTCTCCGCATGCTCAATGCTTGATCCGAGGCTCTCAACTGACATGCGCACACACGAAAATCACTCATGGGTTGGTCTGGCGGGCGCCTCCGCCTTAACCTGCTGGCTCATCAGTAGCCTCAGGCGTCTCCACTTTCTCCTGGTCGGCTGTGCGCGCCTCTATCAAGGCCTTCATCTCATCAAGGGACGTCTCAAGCGTCTCGTTCTTGAGCCTCAAGGCAGAGATCTCCTGATCCTTCTGCTCCAATTGACAAAGGTGCTCCGTCTCGCGCTCTCTCATCACTTCCTGATTGCACGGCGCGCGGGGTCATACAAAGGAGAGACGTGAGCTGCCAGAGGGACCTTTAGTCGTTCCGTGTTGTCTCTCCTACCCTCATTTGGTTCAGGTCGGAGCGTGGCGACAGCTGGATACTGTGGTTCCGGGGGCTGCCGACTGTGGATGAGGAGCCAGAGGGCGCGGGCTGTCTGTCGTCTTCCTTCTTGACCGCCGTCAGCCTCTCATGCAATCTCTGGATCCTTGCCTCCTTCTGCTGAGAGACCTGCAGCTCTTTCTGTTGATAGTGGTGTGCATCGTCCTCCAGACCGCTGATGTGGTCTTTGAGTCTTGATATCTCTTGCTGGGCGGCACTGAGCGCCGTGTTTGTCTCGCCGAGATCTTGCCGAAGCCTCCGGCACTCGTCGACCATCTTATCGTACTCATCACCTGCGCGTGGACAATTAAGGAAACCATACATGTCTCCTCGAGCCATGCATCAAGGCATGGAGGAGGCCGTCGTATATACCGAGGTTGACGTGTATCTGCACTTGCGAGTTCCTCCGTTCCTGTTGGCGAAGGCTTATTCGAAGCCGCTCCATCCTGCAGTGAAGACAGTCAGGCGTCCATGTCCGCATGTGGTCCATCCATCAACGTCTCCCCAAGACTTACTCCTCTCTCATGTGGCTTTTGCTCTCGTGCGACTTCTTGAGGGCTCCGTGGAGCTTCTCGTACTCCGCTTGAAACCGAGCCAAACGCTTGTCGCCGACCAGTTCCTGCAGCACCTCCTGGAAGTCCTTCTCGAGGGCCCTGCAGGGTGCAAACAGTCGACAGGCTTGTGCGTCACTTCAGTGCGTTCCCCCTCCCCCCCCCCTTTTACGCGGGCTCACTCAAGGATGGACGACTCATCATCACCCTCCCCTCCAATGACAAACTCTCCAGTTGGGGTGTCTGTTACGTCTGTCATCTCGGACACACGAACTTGAATCCTTTCAAAGTTCTTCTCAGGCCCCCACCATGCCCCCACGAGCTCGCAAAAGTGTGGCAAAGAGTGAGTTTCTTATGGCAGACGTAACGGAAAAGGCAGGAGGCCTTGGTGCTGGGGAGAAGGAGGGCGAGGATGCCTTCGAGTCATCTGCATTCGAGTGAGCCCCCACCAACGAATGAAAGCGGTGCGCACATCTCGTGCTGCTCACGGCTGTCTGTGCACTGCAGGGCCCTCGAGAAGGACTTCCAGGAGGTGCTGCAGGAGCTCGTCGGCGACAAGAGCCTCGAGCACTTCCGCTTGGAGTACGAGAAGCTCCACCGAGCTCTCAAGAAGTCACACGAAAGCGAGAAGAGACTCATCAAGAAGTAGGTCTACGGGAGGAGAGCGAATGCTCAGGTCCCTTCCATGCCATGCCATATGTGCGACTTCCTCTTCCTTCGCAGGTGTCGAGAGCTCAATGCGGAGATCGTCTCCAATGCAGCCAAAGGTGAAGAAGGAGAGAAGACAACGATTCAGAGCACTGATAAGATCGTTGACGCTGCGTGCCATGTATTGTCTGTCGCTCAGTGCAAACGGCACTCAAGCTCTCGCAAGAAGATCAGGCCACCATTGCCGCCCTCAAGAAGGTCACACAATGACAAGAGCACAGCGCAAAAGAGGGCCAGGTGTGCGTGCATTGTCCCTCTGTCGGATCTGCAGGAGATCGAGCGTGCCTGGAAGATGGTCGAGGCGAGCCATGAGAAGGAGCAGCGGGCCAAGGAGACCATACACAATCTCAAGATCGAGATTGCCAACCTCAGCAGGTGAAGAGGAACATATCGTGTGTGTCACGTGTTGGACGCATCGACCTGTGCTGCTGTCAGGTTGGTCGAGCAGGGGGCCGGCCTGAGCATCAATCAGGAGAACACCGTCAATGACCTGCTCAAGCAAAAGGAAGAGCTCATGAAAGGTGGCCATTGGCACACATATTGAGGGGGGGGGGGGGCACGGGGCAGCAAGACGGTGGGACGAGGCAGCAACATCGTCGGACCGTCCTGCTGCCTCTGTCTGTCTCTGTGTATGTCGCAGAGCGTGACGTGCTGAACACGACTGTATCTCAGCTCAGCGCGCAGAACTCCGACCTCTTCGAGAAGCTCACCAAGCTGCAGACAGACAAGTCACAAGGTCTGCACAAGACACTGAGGCAACCGCATTGAATCGAATCCACTATGTCCATGTTGCAGCTGAGGCCGAGATCCAGAATCTCAAGGATCTGGTGCAGACCAAGAAGACCGAGACAGAGCGGGAACAACGCCGCAAGGAGAGGCTAGACAAGGAGCTCAAAGAAATCCGCTCTACCCTTGAGCAGAGACACGGCGAACTCAAGCAGAAGGTGGGCAAGAAGGCTTTTGTGGAGCCCCTACTGCTGATGATCTCTCTCTCACTTACTTTTGCCACTCTGTGGTCTTCCTTTGCAGCAAACGCAGCTCACCCAAGAGCAAGCCAACGTAGGAAGAGTGAATGACACTTATATGTAAAACAAGACAATGCCTGCCTTCTTCATGCAGACCCAGAGGCTAGAGCAGCAACTGGGCGAGCTGAAGAAGATGCAGGAGCTCGAGCAGCGTCAGCATCAGGAGCTGTCGCACAAGATACAAGACGCAGAAGTGAAACTCAACCAGGAAATCCTGAAAAACAGCAAACTCCTGGCCGACAACAAGTGAGGCCTGCCTGACGCCACCACGCCAGCTTTCCGCTTTTGGTCGTATTGTGTGCCTTCGTGCATCTGCTGTCAGTGAAAAGGAGGCCGAGCTCAAGACCCGCAATGAGGAACTAACGCACCTGAGACAAGACAAGGTCAGCAGGATCACGTGCCCTTTCTCTCTAACTGGCCCGCTCTCCGCTGCCTCTGGTGTGTGCAGGAGAAGGTGGTCAAGGGCTACGATGCGGTCAAGAAGAAGCTCCAGCAGGTTGAAGAGGACCGCAAGGAAGTCGAGACACAGCGAAACTGTGAGACGCATGAAGCGGGCAGGGCCCGTTGTCCCGCATACCGTCTGTTGTCCTCGTGCCTGTATCTGTGCAGCCTTGAAGGCGGAGATCGTGGCCATCAACCGCGAGATCGACGGCCTGAAGAAAGCGGTCCGCGAAGCATGAGGCTCGGATACCCAAAAGGCCTCGTCGGTGGACATGCTGGTGCCCCTCCTTGGTTTCTGTCTTTCAGGCCGACTCTGACAAGAAACAGATCGAGGACCTTCTGCGCGAAAGGTGGGCTGACGTAGACAGACAGATATGAGACTTATGATATCCTGTCTCGTTCGTTCAGGGACATCTTAAACAAGAACGTGATCAAAGCTGATGGCTCGACGAAGAAGCAGATCGACCTCGTCAAAGTCAGCCAGCTAGCCACACACATGAGCAAGTGAGAATGTGTGCATGTCTGCCCCATTGCTGTGTGGCGTCACAGCGTCACGAGACACAAGCCCTTCACCTGCAGAAGGACATTCAGCGGTACAAACTCGACGCACAAGAGATGAAGAAACGCATCTACGAGCTGGAGAAACAGGTGAGTACACGCATACAGTACAGGGACGCAGTCGCCCAGCCGTCCCGCCCCATCTGTCGATCCATCTCGACAACAGAGGGAGAAGTACGGCATAGAGTTGAGCCAGGCCAACAGCAAGTACATCTCTGCCCTCGAGGAGCTCAAAAACCGCGACAACAAGCTCACAGAGCTCAAGAAGAACATCGCCGACGTCAAGGCCCGCCTCAACCAGCAGAAGAACCTCTACGAGGCCGTCCGCACTGATCGCAACCTCTACTCGAAGAACCTCATCGAGTCACAAGACGAAATCGCCGAAATGAAGAGGTGACAGCGAGCAGAGGCAGAGGCAGAGGCAGCGGCGCCCCATATGTGCATCACACACATGGTGTGTATCGTGCAGGAAGTTCAAGATCATGTACCACCAGATCGAGCAGCTGAAGGAGGAAATCAAGGAAAAGGACGCGGCACTCATCAAGGAACACTTCGAACACCACAAGGTCGGTCGGTCAGGCATATAACCGTAGCATCTGGTATGCTTCCGTGTCGGTCAGGTGACCAAGGAGAACGAGAAGATCAAGGACGACCTGCAGAAGGCCAAAAAGAGGATGGCCTCACTCCAACAAATCGTCGAGAACCAAAAGTGCGGCAGACGTCATAATCAATCGGTCACCATCACCTCTCTGTGTCCTCTGCTACAACATAGGGCCGAGATCAAGAAGTTGGAGTCGACGATTCAGGAGGCCGAACAGGAGAGGCAGAACCAGAAGAAGGAGTACGAGGCCGTCATCAGCGAGCGTGATATCATGGGCACGCAGCTCATCCGCCGCAACGACGAGCTGGCCCTGCTCTACGAGAAGATCAAAATACAACAGTCCACACTGCAGAAGGGCGAGACGCAGTACAGGGTGGGTATCCTCCTTTAAGGGACAAAGGACACAGCGGCTGGGTGAATGCATTGTGTGTGGTCGTGTGTGCAGGAGCGTCTCGAGGACATCCGTGCGTTGAAGCGCAAGATCGCCATGATCAAGCGCGAGCTGCACCTTGCGAAACAGCAGGTCAGAGAAAGGGCCCGTGAGTGAGTGCCTTGCCCACGCAATGGACGTCGATGTGTGTCTGCATACAGGTGATCAACGTCGACGAGCTGAAGAGGGAGGTCTATCATCTGCAAAGGGAGCTGCTTCAAGGTACGATCCCGACGCGCCATGCGAAGCCAGTATCTATCTGCGGATGTGCCTCTTCGTGTTTTCCGATATATAGAGCGGACGAAGGTCAAGGCTCTTTCTGAGGAGCTCGAGAACCCAATGAACGTGCACAGGTCGGCCCGCAGCTGACATTCAACATTCCCATCTCTCACTGCATGTCATGTCTCTGTCCGCACACACACACAGGTGGCGCAAGCTGGAGGGATCTGACCCGGCCACCTACGAGATGATCCAGAAGGTCAAGACGCTGCAGAAGCGGCTCATATCCAAGACTGAGGAAGTGGTTGAAAAGGACCTGCTCATTCAGGAGAAGGAGAAGCTATATGTCGAGCTCAAGGTACGTTCGTGGACACACCCGCCACAGACATGAGCGATGTCTCGTGTGTGCGTCAGAACATCTTGGCGCGTCAGCCTGGCCCTGAGGTTGCCGAGCAGCTCCAGGTCTACCAACAGGTATCTATCCTGCAGCCCTGAGATGAGTCAGTGCACGGTGAGACATGCAGAGACGGATGTGTGTCTCTTTCAATCAGAACGTGAAGGAGAAAACCAAGCAGATGAAGAGCATGGCGTCGGAGCTCAACATGTACCACGCTCAGGTGGGGACGAGCCATACGCATGCACTTCACCCAAAGCATATCTTCTGCTGGAATGGGTGCGCGTGTCCGTCAGGTCAACGAGTACAAGGACGAGATCGAGCGGCTGACACGCGAGTTGCAGGACATCAAGAAGCGCTACTTCGAGCAGAAAAAGCGCGAGATGCAGCAGCGAGACGCGCAGAAGGGAGACATGAAGCTGCAGGCCATACCCAACCCGGACATTCCACGATTCACGGGAGGGGGCTATAACTTGTCAATATGATGGCACATGGATGGGCGTGAACGGCTGGGTATTTGTCCCACTGATTGACAGACAGACGCTTGCAGGGTCAGCTCGTTGTTCCAAAGACATCCGCTACGTGTGTGTGTGTGTGTGTGATGTTCGCTGCTCTCAAGACGTGCACTCGTTGACCCTCAATCCATCCTACAGAACCAATGCAAGAACCATGCACACGCACGCACACCCATAAAGGGCAGGCAGACAAACGCGCGAACACAGCGACGGCCCATATCTGCACGTCAATGTCTGTAATGTCTGTGAGTGAGTGAGTGAGTGAGTGCATCTATTGACGCAAAAGTGGCCGTCAGTCTCGCATGGCCGACACACAGTGACTGACTATTCTACAGTACCTACCATCACGAAGGACCTTCTTGTCCGTCACAGTCAGGGAATCGGAAGATTTTCAACGGAAAAAGGACACACGTCTCCCCAACTCAAGCCCTTCCCCAACGGCTTCCCATCTTTTGGCGCCCTCTGGCACCAGTTGACTTCATCATCGGGCGCGAAGTTCCGCACAGCCCAACAGAGGTAGGAACAGATATGGGCTGGCCATATCTGCAGCGGCCCGATGTCTTCGGGTTCTCCCAACTCCTCGTCCATGATTATGACTCTGCGAGGCCAATCGACGTACACGTTGAGCTCCCCTTTAGCTATGGGATGGTCCGCCTGACAGGCTGGGCCTTTTATTGCACAGCCCGTCTCGGGGACCGCATCGAACTCGTAAGCCAGATACCTCGGATTGACAAAAGACTGAAGGAAGACCGAGAAGGCTGCATCGAAGGCCCGCAGCGGGCCGAAGGCAACCACGTCCACGCGCTTGTCAGGGTAGGCGACAGCCAAGGCGACAGCGATGAAGGCGGCCACAGGGCCGCCAAGCGAGAATCCAGATAGAATGATCCGCTCGACGTCCCTCTTGTTTTTCTCCACTAGATCCTTCACTAGAGGATAGACGGCTTCAAATATGGCCGCGTGGGTCTGTCGGATGCCCGGGCGATCGGAGTCGTCTACTCCAGGGGCAGTGGTTTCCTCGTCGATTTCCTTGAGGAGCTCAACAAAGTCGATCTGCACACCACAACACCAGACACACCACAGCGCGTGGATGGAGGAGCCAGCTGGACCTTACTTGCTCCTCGAAAGTCGCCAGCCGAAGCTCCGTTAAGGTGATGAACCCACGAGCAAGGATAAGAAGCTCCTTCTTGTCATTTCTCCTAAGCACATGGATGAAGGGGGTGTCTCGCAGACCGCCAGACTCCAGCTCAGCTGCCAAATGAGCAACAATCGGCCCACAAGCATGACACCTCGGTGCACCACTTAGATGGAGTACACATGTCCTTACATGTTTGCGTGAGGTTGATGACCTGAAGCTCTTCCCATCCCGGCAGGGGCAGCCCAGGTAGAAGCTCGTCAGGGGCAATGCACGGAGCAAGGAGCAGGTTGCTGAGCAGACGATAAAGGATGTAGTAGGTGAGACCCTCGTCATCCACGACGTCGGCAGGTATGATGCTCCGCGCCTCCCCAGTCAGGTCCTTCAGAAACAGCTCGGCAACGTCGACTGACTCGTCGAGCACAGGCTCACGTGGCGCAGTGACTCCTGGAAGAGACTGGAACCCCTTGCACGCTGCGGACGGGAGACATTAAGAAGGAGGACTGACTCATCAGGCAGACGGACAAGTATCTGTGTGGCGCTGCCTACTTTCTGCGATGAAGTTGGAAGCGCATCCGAATGCTTGTACGTAGCAGAAGCGGGATTTGCAGACCTTGTGGGGATGCCCGAGGAACATGGTGGCCTGCTCAGCGTAGCACCCCTCACACACCGTCTGTACCAGCTCCGGCGTCGAGAGTACCGCCTCCACCTTCTCATCCACCCCGTCGCTCAGACCAGCGTGGGCAGCCAACAGGTTCGTCGGAAACTCGTTGACCACGAGATCTGCGCACGTGGCCGCTCCGATTGGACCAAGAGGGCCGAGGCAGGTGAAGAGGCCTCCCTTCGCCTTGCAATCGAGTGCGGGGGTCGGAAACGGTTTTGGGAGCGGCAGCGGGACGGATTCTGAGTCAGTCTGACCCGAAGCGATGCGACGACACCAAGCGAAGCACAGGAAAACCAGCAAAGAAAGCGTCCTCATTTTGTACGCTGTAAGCGAGCTTGCCGTTACTGGCCATGAGATCCAGGATGTAACCATCCCGAATGGTTGGTTGGACACACTCCAATCTATCCACCGCTCACCATGCAGCCGAGATCTGATGGCGCGGCTTTTCGAAGGCGTCAGGAGCAAGCTCGCAAATGCCGCGCGATCCTGTCATTCGGCGAATTGGTTGTCGTTGCTGCAGCATGGCGCTTCTGCAGAAGGCGTCAGAGCTCAAGAAAGTCCGAAAGGACTTCGAGCATTTCGATGAGTATGAGTATCATGAAATCGCAAAGGTTCTCGAGGTGGACGACCGGCTGAGGCCCATCAAGGAGCTGGTCAAACGTGAGGAGGTGCGCATCATCACCATCTGCTCTGTGTGGCATCTGCTTTCTTCTCGTGTGTGTGGTTTGGATGCATTGTCATCTCCTGCAGTTGGATGGCGAGAAGCTGCTCAAGATGTCCATGTAAGATCAGATCTCATGCACCGGCCAGGGCGCCCATGTGTATGGCCGTCGATGTTTGCACCCACATATGCCCGTGCCCTTCTCTCTGCCGTTCAGCGATGAGGTGTTTGGCAGCATCGCAGACAAATCGATAGGATACTCAGAGGAGGACAGGTACGCCCATCCACCCAACACACAACACACAACACACACCTGACGCATTCTTGTGTCGTCAGGACGTGCTATGAGGAGCTGATGTCAGAGATCAATGCCCGCATATCGCACGCCCGCGGAGAGCAGCGCAACAACGACGAAGGAGAAGAAGAAGCGGAGGAGGAGCCCGCCTCGCCCAAACGCAAGGTGAGCCCCGCCGCCCGCACCTCCGCCCCACCACGACACACACACAACATACGCTTTGCCCATCCATCCATCCATCCATCCATCTATTCATCCTTCAGTCGCCGGCCCGCCGCGCCAAGGCCAAGAAGAAGGGCAAGAAGCGACGCAACGACCACAACGACGGTCAAGAAGGGCCGGAGGGGGTTGAGGGTGCTGCGAGGGAGGTGCGTGTCAAGGTAGAGGATGAGGATGGCGGTGCTGGCGAGGGGGAGGCGGCAATGGGGGAGGAGGGAGGGGATGGAGACCCAGCCGAGGAGGAGCAGCCACAGCCACCACCCAAGAAGAAGAAACAGAGTAATAAGAAGACAAAGTGTGTGTGTGTGCCAAACACGCACACTTGTGTCTGCCTTGTCAGGTCGCAAGCGCACCCCTTCCCCTGCCGGCGGCGCCAAAGCCAAAGCCAAGGCCAAGGCCAAAGGACGAGCCAAACCAGACACACGAGGTACACACACGACACGACACACGGAGACCGGCACGCGCCACACCAATAGCTTGTCTGTCTTTTGGGCAGGTGGTGGTGGTGCTGACGGGGCGGACCGCACTCCCGACGCTGATGAGGACTGCGCCGACCAGGACGGCGACGGCACCCCCGAGCACCGCCAGAAACGCCGCTCAGGCCGCCCGCTACTCTCCATGGACCGGGTAGGGTACCCACACACAACTAACACCCTCTCTCCACACACGCAGCCCATCTCCTCTCCTTCTCATGCATCAGGTCAAGAAGCCCCGTGCTGCCCCCCTGGGCCCCTCCGAGGACCTCCCGCCCCGCGGTGGTCGCACACGCCCCCAGCGCAACGCAGCCAAGAGGAAGCCACAGCCATCCCCAGAGGCGCCGCAGCCAGCAGCAGGCCGCAAAGCTAATCCCAAAGCCAAGGCCAAACCCAAGGCCAAGAGTGTGCGCGTCAAGCAGGAGGATGGGGAGGGGGACGAGGGGGGCGAGGGGGGCGGGGAGGGAGAGGGTGAGGGTGAGGGTGGTGGCGATGGGGGTGTAGGTGTAGCTGTTGGTACGGTTGATCGTGTGCTGCGTCCGCGGTCGCGTGTGGTGCATTCGGTGCCTGTCGCCAAGAACAAGGTGGACAAGCCCAAGAGGAAGAGGAGGGGCAAATCGGAGCAACCAAACGATGACATACCCGACCAGGTCAGAGTCAGACCCGCCACCACCACCACCACCACCACCAAAACACACACACGTGCCCCCCCCTCTCTCCCTCTCTCTTTCTCTGTCTTGTCAGGACGCCATTGCAGAGGAGATATTGGGCGGCAAGCGCAGCAAGCGGTACGGCATCTCATATTCGGGCGCCAAGGACAGCGAGCGTGCGGGCCACGACTGGGTGCGGCAGCTGGCCGGGAGCATCTTCCACCCCTACGCCATGAGCTTCATCCACCTCAACAAGGGCGACGACGAGAGCGAGAGGGCCAAGAAGCTGCAGCGCATCACGCACCTGGTGCTGCACGAGGACCAGAAGGCCAGGGCCACCATCAAGGTCAGATGGAGAGAGAGAGAGAGAGAGAGAAGGATGGAGAGAGGGACCGGTGGCCCCATTCTGTGTGCGCGTGTGTGTGTGTGTGTGTTTATGGGTGTGTGCAGATACTGTATGCGTTGGTGACCAAGGCCTACATTCTCAACGAGAGTTTCCTCGAGGCCGCCACCTCTGAGACCAAGTGGCCTTCGGAAGAAGACCACGAGGTGGGCGAGAGACAACTTTCCAACACTCCACATACACACACACACACACACACACGAAGGCACTGTATGCCATCCATCCATCCATCCATGGGTGTGGTGTGGTGTGTGGGCAGAGCGAGTACTGGCCGACGGTCGCCAAGCGCAAGGAGAACCCCCTGTTCAAGACGATGCGCTTCTGCCTGCCCAAGGAGCTCGAGTTCGCCACCCCAACCAGAGATGACTTCGCGTTCCTGGTACACACACACGCACACACGCGCACACGCGCACACGCGCACACGCACAGCAGACGGCACGGTTGTGTGTGTGGCTGTGTTCAGATACGTTCGTGTGGCGGCGTGATGACTTCCATCGACACATCCAGCGACTTCGTCATCGTACCTGGTCGCCCCACACACGAAACGACGCTCAGTGACGCTCAGCTCTCTCACCACATGTCCGTGTGAGTGTGTTGTGTTGTGTGTGTCAGCCGAGACAGATAGCCGCACTGCGTACATGAAGTGTGCCGGTAGCTTCAAGGTGCTGCAGAGCGTCCAGAAAATGGGCGGCTCGGAGGAATTCGTGTAAGAGACGGGAGAGACACCAACGACACGACACGCGCAAAAAAAGTGAACATGGCGTTGCCTATCCTTCCATCCATTTGTCTGCAGAGAGACCAAGTTTGTGACGCCCGAGTGGGTCACGGAGTGCATCAAGTACCAAGAGAAAGAGAGCCAACACACCGCCCACCTGCCATTCACGTCTCCTTGTGTGTGGGTGTGTTTAGGCGTTGGGAGGTGTTGGAGGTCGACGGCGAGTACGAGGCCTTCAGCATGGCCCATCTCGACGCCTATCAAGAGGAGAGACGATACCAGCAGCTGCAAAACGAGTATCGCAGTGCCTGCCTGCGCAAGCCGCCGAATATGGACGGCCGCGACCACCCGATGGCCGTCAAACAAGAAGACGACCAACACGACCAAGATGATGATGACCACGGTGCGTGTGCCTTTGAGCCGTGCAGCCAAACCCCTCCCTTTCCCCTTTTTCCCTCTGTGTGCCGGTCCGTCGACAGATATGGTGGCGGATCCAGCTGCAGCAGCAGCGGCGGCGGCGGCACCAGCCGCCGGCCAGGACGACAACGCCCCTATGGACGACCAACACGAGAATGGCGATGAGGAAGAGGAGGAGGAGGAGGAGGAGGAGGAGGAGGTGACCCCCAACAGCCATGACCCGATGGACGCCGACCAGCACGACAACCACAACAATGGAGGCGCTGCTGCTGGTGCGGGTGAGAATCGCGATGGCAGCTTCGCCGACGCCAGGGAGGATGTGAGCGGGGACCAGTCGCCCGCTGGCGGGGACCAGTCGCCCGCATATTGATGGTTGGATGGCAGCGCAGCTTGTTGGCGAGTGGCGGACAGACCGACAGACAGAGACAGAGACAGATGGTGGATGGAACGACTCTCGGTGTGTCCTGTGTGCGCTGCGTGGTCCGTGACATGACAAAGCCATGTGCGTGCGATGCGTTCGTTCATGTATTCAACCACTCAGTCATGGTCACACACAGCTGATGTCATATGTCTCTCTCAAACAAGCTTATGCATGCCTTTCTTCCATCGGGGGGGGATACATATCACGACGACACGACAGAGCTTCAACAAAGCAAGCGGCCCAACTATCTACGCCGAAGAGGGGGCTTTGGCGTGGCTGGCTGATAAAGGAGAGGATAGCTATCTACACACAGATGCAACACAATTCTACTCCATGTTTTGTTTGTGTGATGGATGCAAAGACCCAAAAATCGTTAATTCACAACGAAGGAGCTAATGGGGAGAGGGCAGGCGGACAGTCACGCAGACATAGTACAAGTACAGTAGCACATCACAGTAGACACAGTATCAAGGGGTACCCACCCATCTATCGGCTGCACCCTCACACACACATGTACTGCGGCCGAGCGAGTGTGAGAGGGTGTCAGAAGAGGCCCCGACCACTCGACGCAGCAGTCGTGACAGTCATGTTGTCGGAGTCTTGGGGACTGGTCGCTTTGCCCACCACACGCACAACCACAGGGGGACCCGATGATGGGGGGACTGCCTGCACAGACACCCTGGGATTTGCCTTTCTCCATTCGACAGCGACACACCACCACAGCATTGGCACCACTGGACCCAGGAGAAGACACGACCAGCAGATCATCCAGTAGGGGGGAAAAGCGGCGGGGCAGCGGGCTCCCTCCAGGCTACTGTTGGATTCATCGAAGCACATCTTAAAGTCGGTGAGGCTCAGCCACACACTGAGGGTCACAATGGGCAGACAGAAAGCCGCCGTGAAAAGGCTCGCACAGATGATGTCCCGGGGAAAAGGCGACCGACCTCAGACAGCCGCTGCCAAGAAGATGCCGCCAACGATAACCAGCAGTGGGAGGACCCCGCCAATGGCGATGTACACAGAGGTGCCCGCCCTCTTGTACTTTCGCCACATAGCAGCTGCCTTGTCGTCGCCCTCCGCTGTGCTCTGGTCGATAAGGAAGCTGTGCGACGCCCAGCAGTCGCAGCTTGTGTCACCTCCCACGCACTCCTGGAGCTCCTGCGGTTCCTTCCACACAGGCGACCCTTCGATAACATGCGGTCTGCATCGAACGGCGCTGCCCTCGCCGACGATCTCCATCGACAGCCGGTAGTACCGCAGCCCATAGCGCTGCGCCACCTCAGCATGTCCGTCTTGCAGAAAGACTCGCTGGTGGGATTCTCGCCAGCCCGGGAGGGAGAGGGGCACAAGAATCGCGAACAGGACAAAGAATGCAGTATACCCACACGTGGCCACGCGGAGCTGCTCGTCAACATCCACTGACCTCGACACCATCCTCCCAGCAGAATTCAATGACAGACCCAACAATGAATGTATTCAGAGGCAAACATCCGTCCTCTTCACCTTTGCTTGTCTGTCTGCTTCGGTTACTCTGCTTTGGTGTTTTCTTCCTGTCGTTTTGTCGTGGAAGGATTTCAAAGCTCGCAATGCCGATCGGTATGACAAAACAGAAGGGAGGGAGAAAACCAAGTGGGCAGAAAAGGAGAGCAATCATGCCAATGATTCCTCTGATCTGTCTTGCTTGTTTGCATGGCGTGATAGCAGGGAGGATGGTGCTGAGGCCTGAGAGGGATTGCGTGAGGATAGCCACGACTCTGGCAGCAGTCCTTGTTCTTGCCTTTGCTGGAACAGCACTTCTAATGCCAGGGTGGCGATGGGCTAGGCGCCATGCATCCCACGACCATCATTATGCTGAGGTCCGGCAGAGCTATGGGCTGCGGTTCTATCGGCTAGGGCTGGAGATGATTCGCGAGGCGAACTACACAACTCGGTGTGAACGGCGAGGCATCGAGTCGCCGATATGGCAGCAGGAGCTCGAGAGCTGCCACGTGGAGGACATTGACGACAACAAGGCGTGCGACTGCCGGGCGTCGTACAGCTTCCTTATCGACCAGAGCACGGCGGAGGGCGACGACAAGGCAGCTCCTATGTGGCGAGGGTACAGGAGGGCGGGCACCTTTGTCTATGTCACCATTGGAGGAGTCCTCTCGGCGCTTGTTATCGCGGGCAGCATCTTCTGGGCGGCCGCGTAGGGGTGTGCCTGTGCAGATCAGTCGCCTTTTCCCTGGGACGCCATCGGCGCGACTCTCTTCACGGCGGCTTTCTGTCTGCCCATTGTGACCTTCTTCCGCTGGAAGAGCCTCACCGACTTTAAGATGTGCTTTGACGAGACGACCGACAGCCTGGAGGGAGCCCGCTGCCCCGCCTCTTTCCCCCCTTACTCGCTGATCTGCTGGTCGTGTCTTCTCCTGGGTATAGCGGCGATTGCACAGTGGGGCTCAGTCGTGGTGGAGAACGAGGCTCTCTGGGACAGTCTGTGGAAATCTAAGGGCAGTGTGACTGTACCGGCAGTGCCTCCAGCGACCCCGGCTGTGTTGGGCAAGGCGAGCAATCCACAAGACGGCAGTCGAGATGACACGACCACGACTGCATCGAATGTCTGACCGATTGCCAGACAGAAGCTAAGATTCTTTTTTCGTGTGTGTAGTGCATGTGTGCGCGCCCCGCCGTCCTGCCCTTCTTTCTCCACTAGATTCGATGCTGTCTGTCTGTTGTCTGTGTGGGGTATTGGCGCACTTGATGTGCTGTAGGATACCTTCTGCCCTTTGCCATTCCCTTGCATTCGGTGATTTTCGGTTATTTGTGTTATGAGTAGTCACTCAGCCAGCCAGCCAGCCTGCCTGCATCTCTGTGTGTGTGCAGAGCTCTGCTGTGTACACTGCATGCCTGAGAAGTCATCCAAGTGAACAGCACAGCGTCCACAGTGAACACATTCATCTGAGAAATCTTACGGCATTCATCCAGCCGGGACGTTTGTGTGGCCAGCTTCGCTCCCCTCCTCTCACTCACTCAGCCAGCCAACCATCGCACGCGCGGTTTGATCGCCATTTCGGTGATTTGATTGATTTGGCCGCTTTGATGTCCATCACACACACGCATACGAGAATGGCTGCAGGCGCGACTGACTTAATAATAAAGGGCATCCATCAATAGATACATCGACATCGATCATGTCATGCACACGTGTCTGCAATGCAATGCAATCCACGTTTATCCATCGATCATGCAACTCACCGGCAACCGTCCAGTGGATGGCGCAAATAACCCAGAAATCATCACGACAACTTTACTACCAGCAAAGAGGACAGACGCACAGACGGCCCAGCAAGTGCGACAGCCCCCGCCCCGCCACACCGATCATCACACAAAGTGACACAACCGAGAAAGTGAGTACTCAGACACGTCAGTCGGTCAGAACAGTCCACCCATGGGCCATGGATCAATGCATGGATGGATGGGTCAGTCAGGCAGTCGATGCGACCGTCGTGACTGTCGCATCATCTCCGCCGTCGTCCTCGGGGTCCTGGGCGTTGGTGGCCTTGCCCACCACACTCACAGACACAGCCGGAGTCGCCTGATGCAAATGGCCCGCTGACGGGCGAATTGCCCGGGCAGCCGCACGGCGATTCGCCTCTCTCCGCGATGCAGCGACACACCACCACAGCAGTGACACCAGTGCGCCCAGAGGCCCACACGACCAGCAGATCATCCAGTAGGGGGGAAAGGCGGCGGGGCAGCGGGCTCCCTCCAGGCTGCTGTTGGATTCATCGAAGCACATCTTAAAGTCGGTGAGGCTCAGCCACACACTGAGGGTCACAATGGGCAGACAGAAAGCCTCCGTGAAAAGGCTCGCGCCGATGATGTCCCAGGGAAAAGGCGACCGACCACAGACAGCCGCTGCCAAGAAGATGCCGCCAACGATAGCCACCGCCGGGAGGACCCCGCCAATGGCGACGGAGACAAAGGTGCCCGCCTTCCTGTACTCTCGCCACATGGCAGCTGCCTTGCCGTCGCCCTTCGCCGTACTGTGATCGACAAGGAAGCTGTAGGACGCCCAGCACTCACAGGTCTTGTTATTTCCAGGGACCCGGGGACCGGAATCCAGCCGGGGGAAGCACTCCTGGAATTCCTGCCGCCCAAAGGGCGACGAGATGGCATGCGGTCTGCATCGAACGGTGCCGTTGTTGCCGACGATCTCCAGCGTTAGCCGATACGCATACAGCCCACAGCGTTGCTTTACCTCCGCATATCCATCTTCCAGGAAGACTCGCTGGTGGGATTCTCGCCAGCCCGGCATCAAGACGGTCGTGATAATCATCAGCACCACAAAGATGGGAGCGAAACACGTGAGGACCCTCTTGTCCTGGTAGGCAAAATACCAGCCGTCGCAGCGGCAGTCGCCGGGAGCACACACAACGTCCACCGCCTTGTCCCACGCGGTAGCCATCCTGTGTGCACACACAGACGCACCCAACTCATTGTGTATGGGATGTCCATCCTCCGTTGCTTGCCTGCACTTGGGGCAGCGGTGCACGCGGAGAGCGATGCCGGCGGGAGGAAATGCTGTTTTTGAGAGAAGAGAAAAAAGTCGTTCCTGCAGCAGCGGTTTCAGGGGGCACCCTAGGCGGCCTGACGGCCAAGGCCCCTGTCCCCTGTCGGTCTGTCCAACATGAAATGCTGTTTTTCTGCTGCAAGCTCGTCTTTTTCGAGCGTTCGCGTGGTCGTGTCCACGAAGAAGGGCGAGCATGTCTGTCTTTGACTGACACATTCGCATGTCCCTTGGGCACGCCCTACCAAACACGACGCGGATCTTTCTTTGTTCATTTTGCACAGCACAGCACAGCGCAGTACGCACATACCCACAGTCGGCATCATGACCCACCCAGTCACTGACTTGACAGGCACACAGCGACTGACTGAAAAACCTGTGGCTGGCCTACCTCTCTCTCTGTCTGTCTGTCGACAGCCCAATACAATCCACCCATCCAATCCATCAGCCTTGAATGCCCATCGACGCATTCCTTCTCGCCCATGGTCACACATACACACATCTGTCTGCCTATCTCGGCAGTGGCGGCCCGAGCGACGGCAGGATGCAGAGGAAGAACAGAGATGGAAGCGCCAGCAGGGCGAGGAACACAATGTACGCTGTGTTGATGGGCGAGTCGGGGGCCAGCTCGTCCCGAAGCTGATGGATGGATGGATGGACGGATGGATGGATGGCAACAAACCGCCAAGCAGACAGACAGACAGACAGACAACAAGCACACATGAACAGGGCTACACACCCGCTTGTTTGCCCACTCACTCACTCACCGTGAATTCATCTTTGAGCGTGACGGAGAGGTTCGAGTAGAATTCCCTGAACTCATCGAGGCTCGAGAAGGTCAGGTTGGTGGTCGGCTCGTTGTCCCGCACCGCCTTCATGTAGGCCTCCTTCACCTGCTCACCCACACTCTTCGCCGCAGACCCATCCTCCGACCCACCACCACCAGCTTCAATGCCCTCTATCGGCGACACCAGGAAAGGGTCACTGTCGTCATATCCCGGTTGGGAAGAGCCACCAGCTGCAGGCCTGCTCTCACCGACCGCCATTCGCCGAACTGATGCCGTCGATAGCGGCTGCCTGCACCTCCTCTGAAGCGGATGCAGGCAGTGCATGGAGCGCACGAAGAACAGAGATTGCTGCCGCTGCTGCCGCTGCTGTGAATAGTGACGAGCACGGACTGGCCTGCCCGGGCCGAGGCAGACGAGGGCAGTGAAGGTGAGGGAGAGGCTGAGGGCCAACATCGCCACGCAGCGATGAACAAGGGAAGCCAAGGCGAATGCCATTCGGTGCTCAGATCTGCTGAATCTGCGGGCGAGCTAAGCTCATGGCGAGCATTTCTGCTGAGTGACAGATCTGGCGTAGAGAGCGCCCTGATTGCACTGCTGCGGGCAGCGAGGTGCCACACACAGCCACACGGCATCGCAAGATGGCGTCTGAAGTTCGGCAACGGACCGCGGCGCTGCGGCCGACTGCCGCAGCCAAGAGTGTCCTCAAGATGACGGCTGCCGCTCTCGTGTGCTGCCTGGGATGCCTCTCGACAATTGCCGTGGCGCAAAACAGCGCGGTGACTTCAGAGAAGCGCCGTGCCCTCTCAGTGCAGCGATGTGTGTGTGTCTTGTGTGTGTGTGCAGGGTGCGCAGAAGCTGCTGACATTGGCGCAGGTGGCCAGGGAGTCGCCCGACTACATCGTCCACCTCAACAACACCGGATATAAGTAACCCACAGACAGGCAGACAGACAGGCAGACACAAGAATGGACACGCCTGATGACGTCTGTATACGTGTGTGTGTGTGTGTGTGCGTCAGGGAGTTTGCGATAAGGGCGCCTCGGCCGTACTATTTGGTTATCCTCTACACTGCCGACCCGCAGTACTGCGAAATCTGCGGGTGGGTGTCTGTCCGTCGCACATCAGACACACCGACGCACACCGCCAACGAACTCCCTCGGTGTGTGTGTGCAGTAAGATGGCGCCGTTCTACCAGCAGGTGGCCCTCTCCTACCACCTTGCCGGCGCCCACCGCCACACCGACCAGCACCTGCCCGTCCTCTTCGCCACGGTCGAGGCCAGCAGAAACGACAAAGTCTTCCAACTGGTCAGCCACATACACACACACACACACAGCCAGCGACGGCCTGCACACACACGTGTGTGTGTGTGTGTGTGTGTGTGTGGGCGGTGCAGCACGGCCTCAAGACGGCGCCCCACGTGTTGGTGACCGACTCGCGGTCCTTCAAGAAGGCCGGCAAGGGCGGGGTGGTGGCCTTCAAGAAGGGCGACCAGTACAAGATCGATCAGTCGTCCTTCGCCGACGCATCCTCACTGCTCACCTTCGTCAACCAAAAGACCGGCAGAGCGGTCCGCAGCGACGGATGGCTCGCACACTCCCTGACTGACACACTGAGTGTGTGTGCGTGTTTGTTTTTAGATTGAGATGCACTACAGTTTTCAGGAGCGGATGACTCGCATCGTCACCCTCCTCTTCGTCCTGGCGTGTGGGCTCGGGTTTCTATGCGCTGCCTGGTGGGCCGTTCTTCGCTTCCCAATACTCATCCCCATCGGGGCAATGGTCAGACTCACAGACACAGACAGACAGACAGACAGCCAAAGAGCAGCAGCCGTGTGTGTGTGTGTGTGTGTGTGCAGTTGGTTCAGTACGTGTCGACGAGTGGGATCTTCTACAACATCCACCACGGCATGCAGCTCTTCGGCTATGACGGCAAGAAAGTCGTACACATCGCCAGAAATGTACACAGACAGACACACAGACAGACACACAGACAGACAGACAGACAGAGAGAGAGGCCGTGTTGGGCCACACACGTGTCTGTGTGTGTTTGTGTGTGGGTGGCTGGTGCAGACGCGCATGCAGTACTTGGGCGAAGGCCTGATGATGAGCGGCTGCAGTAAGCACACACACACTCGTGGATGGCCGAGAGTTGAGGACGTGTGTGTGTGTGTGTGGTCAGTTGTGGCGGCGGCGTTGGCTCTCTATATGTCGGCCTACCTGCCCAAGTTCGACACTCTGCGAAAGTACGACAGAGAGGAAACCGCCGGGGGCGTCGCACTCTCTCACCGTCTTGGAGGCTATACCATTGCTATCGCGCTCTCTTTCTCTCTGTCTGTCTGTCTGTGTGTGCCATGTCTTCAGGAAGAATCTGACGAATGCCATGGCGATTTTCTTTTTCTGCGTCTTCGTCGGCTTCACTTACATTGTGCGTGAGATCCGATCCGCCCCCACACAAACACACAGGCCAACACACACACACGCCACGCTGCGCTGTGTGTGCGTTGTATAGGTGTTGAATGTGTACGAGATGAAGACCGGTTGGTACCACCCAACGTTCTTCCCGCCGCAAGACTACATGAGGGGACCCCTCAGGGCCGACCAGGGCAACGCATTCTGACTGACTGATAATGCGGGGACCCACTCCCTCCCACCTGTACAGAGAGAGGACAGCTAGTTGCATGCCTGCCTGCCTGCCTGATGCAGTGATACACGTACGTGCAGACCAGACGCGCGTCTAATTCGTTCATTCATTCACTGGACAGTCCAGCCGTGCTGCATTGCATGGAGATAATGCGGATTCATTCCTGCAGGCCATGCTTGTTGTATGCACGTCAATTCAATCGAATATGATCCGTGCCACAGATCGATTCTGTCTCGGTGTCTCAGTCTACATACCATATACTGCACCAACCAACAGCCACTCACGTAGCCACGACTGTTCACGAGAGCGGGCAGCATGACGCACCTTTGCTCCTAGGGCTCTTAGGGCTCTTGGGCGAGGGCGGTTCTTCGGGGGGCGGTGCCGCGCCATCATCAGATGCCCCTTCTCCCTCTTTCTCTTTCTCTTGCGTGGGTTCCTGCTCAGCTGGTTGTTCTGGTGCCGCTTCTGGCTGAGCCTCCCCTTCATCCTGAGGCTCCTTTGGAGGCTCCACCGTCGCCTCCACATCTCCTCCACCATGTTGCCCAACTGGTGTGGTGTCATCCCCACCACCCTCCTGCTGCTCCTGCTTCTGCTGCTGCATCTCGTCAGGGCGGGCCGGGCTTGCTTCCTCCCCTTCGAGTCTCGGTCCTTCTTGCTTGTGAGGTTTGTCGCCAACGCTGGCCGACCGGGCGGGGCCGTGTGGTGGAGGTGGCGGTGGTTTGGGGGGTTTCTCTGACGGGGGCATCGTGTGACGGCGAGTGGTGCTGTCTCTGTCCCTTCCCCCTTCCAGCGCATCCACCAGCACTGACATGGCGTCGTCCGCCTCACCCTCAGCTTCAGCTTCAGGGGCCGCCTTGTCGCCTTCGGCCCTCACAATGAGCTCGCTCGCAATGGAGGAAGAGCTGCCCGACACCATGCTGCGGTCGGTGAGCTCTGACTTGGAATACACCAGAGAGTCAGCCACTTGTGCCGGGGCGGGCTGGTCTGTCGGCGGGGGCGCCTTGCTGATGTGTATGGGTGCCACAGATGGGCGCTTGTGTGGCTGTGGCTGTGGCTGCGGCAGTGGCACGTCGACGAGGTGCATGTCAGCGAGAAGTGGGTAGAGTGCGGCCTGCATTCGGCGGGGCGAGATGCGGGGGGCGGAGAGCTTGAGGAAGGTGCCCAGAGATTTGAGCAGCGGGGGCGGGCCCATGGCCTGGGCGTCGTCAAGATTCTCGTCTGGAATCACCACAATGTCCTGATCAGGACAAACAAGGGGAAGACCAGATTGATGTGTCCGTGGATACTGACTGACTGACTGACTGACCTCTGCCTCGTCCAGGTGTTCCTGAATGGCCTCCTGGTGCGCCAGCAGGAAAGCCGCACTCACACGAGACAGCTAACACACACGCACACACACACACACAGAGGAAGAGAGAGAGAGACATCCTCTGTGATAAGGCGTCCATGTCGCCATGCGCCCACCGCTTTGAGCAAGACGGCCTGCCCCGCGAGAATGAAGACGTCCCAAATGTATTTGGTGGTGTCGATCGGGAGGCCATTGCCGCACCAAAGGGCCGACCAGAAGGGCAGCAGCAGATACGAAAGGCACCGGTGCACCAACCAATCTCGGTCCTCATCTGCGCGTTGCTGGGCTGCTGACGACCCATCGCTGGTCTGCTCGAGAACGGGGGCGGCCTGGCCACCATTGTCACTTGAATCGCCTCGCGTCCGCAGCAGCTGCACCAGAAGGGCCTCGCTGTGCTCACGGATGACATCGTGACAAGCCGCCAACACATCTGCGCGTCAGCGACAGAAGCAATCCCGCCAGTTCTTTCCCCCTCTCTCCTCCCACCCACCTTTGAGTGGCTGTTTCAGATCGCCGTTGAGTGCCATCATGACCATCCCTCCCTCTCCTCCCCCATTGATGTCCCTCGAGTTGCTCCGCAGCCTCTGCACAGCCATGAAGCTCTGCCTGGACGACACCTCGCTGCTCTGCCGGCTCCGTCCCCCGCCCCACATGTCCAGGCCACGCGCACGCAGCTCACGTAGAGAGCTGAAGACGGGGGAGGGCGGCAGGTGGCGCGTCAGGGGGGCAAAGTGCTGAAGGGCGGCGAGGTAGCGCTCCACGAGGTAGGGGACCTCGTCAACACGGCTCTGGTATACCTCCTGTTAGTCGATGGTGGGAGAGAGGCAGCATGGCTTCCATTGTTGGTCGTGTGGGTGACGGTCAACGGCCGTACCACGATGGTGAGAGCAGCGTAGAGGTGGTATCTCTGCAGAGGGCCCATGCGGCCAAGCGCATCGACATAGGACGCCAGAGACTTGGCCGTCACCACCCATCTGATGAGCAAACAGGAGAGAGGGAGACATGAACATAGAGAGACGTGATGCCCACACCCACCGTGGCTGGAAGGCGGGAAGGTGGGCGGACTGATGACATGAGTCAACGAATTAATGAGTCACTCGTAAGCAGAGACGGGTCTCATTCTTTACCACGAGCGTGTTGAGTTTCTCGAGGATGCGGAGGTCGTTTGGGGAGATGGCTGCAGTTATCAATCGACATAAGGAAAAACACACAGTGTACGCGTCATGCATCCAAAGAGAGACGCCCACCCATTCTATGCCGGTCGTTCTCCTCGTATTCCTTCCGCCCTTTGGCATCCACCTGTGGGGCAGCCAGGCAGAGAGACAGACACAATGGGCTGGCTGCAATGTCTGTCATCCTCCTGCTCACCAGGTGAGTCTCCCATAGAGGCCTCCGGAGATCATTGGGTATCCTCTGTGCCACCAGCTGCAGCAGCACCGGCCTGTCGAGGTCCGGGGACACTGTCGCTGTCAGCAGATGAGACACCCCGAGGGCCGCCCCTGATGACCGATTATTGAGCCATTCGCTGCACTTGCTGAATGATGCGCATGGCTGTGGCTGGCTCCGGTGCATACGTATACGTGCTCACTTCTTATGAGGTACTCGGCCTGAACAACGAGACTTTGACAGAAAGACGTTTTCTCTCCTCGTTACTTTCTTCCCGTACCTGGTCCGCTTTGGAGAGGCACTTTCCGTCGACTGTGTCCGCCGCCATGATGCCCCCCTGCCCCTGACCATCCCCCTCTCCAGCCTTGAGGGCATACCGCTGCAGGTCATCCAGCAGGTGGCGGTCGACGATCTCCCGAAGGCCCTGCACAAACTCGCCATACACATCCGGGTGCTCCCGCCGCATCTCGGCGTAGGTCTGCCTGACGAGCAGCCGCTGCCTGGCGTCACTCAGATCGGTGAAGAACAGAGGAGGGGCGCCAGGGGCTGGCTGAGCTGGCGGCTTCGCGCCACTGCTGTCGGTGGCCACTTTATGGCGGAGGGAGTCCAGCAGCCCTGAGTGCATGCATGGACAGGGTGTGCTGACATGTCACACAGGAGGGGTGCACTCGCTCACGTGTCCGCAGCTGATCCCATGAAGGCATCTTTGTCGCTGCAGAGAAAAAGGAAACCGTGACGGGGACTACAATTTCATGGCCACAAAGCTGCATTCGTTACCTTCTTTGTGGCTCTGCTGCAGCCACTGCTCCATCATTCTGTAACGTCGTGCGGTGAGGGTGAGAACCAAGGAGAGAGTCCCGGGTCCAATTCGATCGCGACTTTTCTGCTCCCAAAGTGCCTTCCGCCCCCTCTCTCGGCCTTTTCACCACCATGCTGAGCCGCGCGGTTGCCGCCACTCATGGGGGAGTGGTTGTGCACGACAATTACACCGATGACTCGTCAGCCTCAAGGTCCCCCGGGAGGCGGCCACACCGCTTCAGTCGCTATCGGCCATTCAAGGGCTTCAGGTAAGCAGATGGATGCATGGCTTCACACGCGAAATGCACGGGTTTTCTTCGTTTCCGCTGGGCATTCATGCAGGTCCCGACGAGTGATCCAGATGATAGGCAAGGACGACTCGCCGGTGAGTCGGTCGCCGTCCATGGCCCAGTCGGAAGCGGCGGGGGGCGATGGGCAGCCCTACACACACACCACCCAGTTCAACCTTGGAGTGGGGGCATTCATCATGCTGAATGCCGGTCAACTGCAGACAGACAGACAGACAGACAGGAATCAGCGAGAGAGAGAGAGAGATGGCAATTCTGTACAGATGCCCGTGTTGTTTTGGTTTGCAGTGTACATCGGTGTCGAGACGGGTGGGCCTGCCTGGTGCGAACCGCCATGTATGTGTCTCACATGTGTGTGTCTCATGTGTGTGTTGGGTGCATGAAGACAATCGTAACGACGCCGATCCTGAGCCAGTGTGGCAGGTCTTCGAGGTGACTGAGCTACATGATGGACAACAAGATTATCCCATTGATGCATTCATTGCGTGCAGATCATCTTCATGTGCGTCTTCACCATTGAGCTCATTCTCCGCTTCACCACTGACGGAATCCGCTACTTCAACGGTCGGTCAGTCACGACTCACAACACCAGCAAAGCAACTTTCTCCCTCTGTGTCTGCGCCTCTGTGTGTGTGCATGACAGACCGGTGGAATCACCTTGATTTCGTGTTGGTAGTGCTGAACATTGTGGACACGCTCATTCTGGGTCTGTTGATGGGCGGCTCGACCAACCTGCGTGTGCTGAGCATACTGCGAATACTGCGGATGCTCCGGCTCGTCAGGCTCGTCAGACTCCTTCGCGTCTTCAAGGAACTCTGTACGTGTCTGTGAAGAGCGGCTTGACGTGCTGAGAGACATGTCTCTTTTTGTGTGTTTGTGTCAGGGCTGATTGTGAATGGCATGCTGCAGTCGACAAGGACGCTCGGATGGTCAGCCGCCTAGAGGGGAGGGAGAGAGATACATGAAGATATGTACTTGTCTGTTTGTCTGTCCTTCGATCGATCAGGGTTGCGATGCTGCTGTCCCTCGTCATCTACATGTATGTGGGCGCACGCCCTTACATATCAAAAAGCTTCTTTGCCAACTGTCTATCGGTGGGTCTGTGCAGTTCTGGGGTGTTCATCACGATTCAAGTGGGCAAGAACTCGACTTATGATGACAACTTTGAGGAGGGCAAGAAGAAGGCATACTTTGGAACAGGTAGACCAACAGGGAAGCTGACCGTGAAATGTCCGCACTCTGCGTGTCTTGTTTCCTCTGCTGTATCTCCAGTGGCCAAGTCCATGTACACGCTCTTCCAAAGTGAGTAGGCAGACAGTGGTGCATGTAGGCCAGCGTCGGTCCCCACTATCCCTTTCTTACATTTTGTGTGAAATGGCAGTTTTGACGCTCGAGGCATGGAACATGGAGTTTGCGGTCAGCCTGCTCATCCCATAATCATTTCCCCTTGCGGTGTGACCTCTTGGCTGTTGGCTGTCTGTTTGCCTTGCAGCGTCCCCTTGTGCGCACGACGCCCTACCTGTTGTTTTTCTTCCTGCTCTATCTGATGCTCACCACATTCGGACTGCTCAATCTGGTCGTCGGTGCAATCGTCGAGGTCAGCCAGTCACGCGCCACAACACCCGAATGCCGGCAGACAGACAGACAGACAGACAGACAGAGAGGTCATCTGCACTTGTTTTGGTGTTTGGTATGCGTCACAATGCATCAACCAGAACACCCTTGGGGCGACGAGACAGGAGCAGGAGAAGGCCATCAAGCGTGCAATGCACGAGGAGAAACGAGTGCTAGGTCAGTCGGATACAGCAGAGCAGACAAAACATACTTGAATGTGTGTGTGTGTGTGTCGATCGGCTCGGCAGCGTCGTTGCGTCAGGTGTTTGAGGAGGCAGACGAGGACGGTGGTGGCACGCTCACACAAGACGAGTTCATGGAAGTCTTATCGGTCAGTCAGTCAGCCAGCCAATTCTGAATGGCAGCCGGCACACACCCACCAAGTTGTGCGTGCATGTGCCTGAATGACTGAGATCAGAAGCCAGAGGTGACTCAGCGGTTTGAGATGGCGGGGTTCCCCACCCAGAATCTCAACCATCTGTTCGGCATCCTCGACGAAGACGGATCAGGTGCGTCGTGTATGTCCGTATATTTTCGTGTATGTTTGTCGCGTGCATTCTGCATCCATCTGTTCGGCATCCTCGACGAAGACGGATCAGGTGCGTCGTGTATGTCCGTATATTTTCGTGTATGTTTGTCGCGTGCATTCTGCAGGCGATTTGACGATTGACGAGTTCATCAACGGCTGCATGAAAATGAAAGTGGGCTGAGGAAAAGAGGAAAAGAAAATGATGAGGGAATCTTCTTGTTAATGATTGTGGATTCATTTGGTGATCAGGAGATATCCAAGAGCAGAGACATGCTGGATCTGTACATCAAGGTAAGCAAACAAGCGGTGCCTTTCATTCATGCGCGTCACGTCATCAGCCCCCCATGTGTGTCTATCTCCCTGTCTGTCTGTCTGTCTGTCTGTCTGTCTGCAGGCCAGGGCCACATCGACTTCCCTTACCAAGATAGAGACACAAGAGGCGGTTGGCACAGCATCTCTCACTCTCACTCCCACATCCCCACGTATGTTATGCGCACATTCTGTACGTATCCATCCCAGACCCTCACCGGCGGCTACGAGCAGCTCAAGCGAGACATGGATGACGTCATCAGAGAGCTCTCCTCGTCAGCTCGGCCAGCATACAGAAGACGCACCGTAGCCGACGCCAACCCCAACGCCCCTCCGCCCGACCTCCACACATCCTCTCCCAACATTGACGCCATGTCAGATCCCCAATCCCTCCCACGGTCGCCCAAGAGCCGGCAGAGCAGAAGGGCCTCTCGTGAATGCAGCCCCGAGAAGTCTTTGCTGCCTGGCCATCCAGTCAGAAGGCGGTCTCGGTCACCGATGAGCCAGGAGAGACCCGTCAGCCCCAAAGCCAAGAGCAGGGACGGCAGCCTCGGAAGAAGCGACCCCTTCATGCTGGGACTGCGGTCGCCACCTGTGTCTCGCGAACGGCTAATGCCGCCCATACCGTCCCGCTTCGGCATCCCGATGCCTTCCTCCCCGGCTGAGTACCCTTTTGCACTCGACCCCCGCCCCACCACGAGCCCAAACGAGGTTGCCCGCTCGGCTGCCTACGTTTTCCGTCCCTCCGGCCCCAACAGCGGCCTGGAGCCGGTGGATGCCATCTCACCGCCAATGGCCCCCCCTCAGCCACACGCGGGTCTTACCCATCCACTCGGCTTCAACAGAAGGGAGCGACACTTTGTGAGCCCGGCGAGGGAGGCGGGATTGGCGCCATCTCCACACTACATGCAGAACGGCAGACGCGGGTCCACCTGGCGGCGACAGACCAACCTTGGTATGCTCTTCGCCGCCCCTCCCCTGCCCGGCGCAGTGGTCCGTCGGTCTGTGCTGTACTCGACAGATGAAGACGAGAAGGAAGAGAAGCAGCAGGCGTCGGGGACGCAGCGCAAGAACGTGAATGGTTCGACGTCGGGCGGTGAGCTGGGTAGCTCGCCGGACACATCGGGTGACGAGGGAGTGAGGCGTGAGAGACGGCAGAGAGAGGGACCGCCTGAGCTGCGACTGCCGCTGCCCAACAAGAGGGGAGGAGACACTTTGGATAAAGGACAACCATGAGTCTGACCGACGTCTTTCTGTGTGTGCCCTTTTCTGACTGCTGTAGCACTCACCTGTTTCGGTTGGTAGAAGGGAGGAGTCAGGGTCGTAGCCTCCATAGATGGGTGGATCGGGGCGTTTTGACCGATTTGTCAGGCAGATTTGTGCATAGATGGATGGCACACGTCGGTCTGTCACACGGCGGCCATGCTATTCAGCCAGAGGTTGGGTAGTTGAAGAGTCCACACGATAGACACACATACATTTTGTGTCTGCGTGCCACCAGGCACCAGCCACGCAGATCGACATTCGCTGGGTGTACATAGAGGGGCATCGAGGGACTGGATGGGTGTTCAGACCACCTTTTCAATCAGATTGAAGCAGACAGTTTTCCAATAGCTGACACCAAATGGTGGTCTCCATTTGGACACGAAACACCTCCATGTGGGAATTGCATCACCAAACAATATCCCATGCTCTTGGCGTCTCAAACGGCCTTTGCCCTATGCTCAGCTTACACGTCTTGCGGCCTCTCTTACGGCCGTGACCACCACCGCATACACATCGAAGTCACGACCGACTCTTGCGCTTCTGGAACAAACACGCAAACTCTACTTGACCTGCTTCCCGTCATCAATCTCCATTCTTCTTTGGAATGAAGATGGCTTTGTCGCCATCAGCCTCGTTGAAATCTGATGGGAAGTAAAGCAGTTAGATCAGAAGCAAGGACGTGTATTCAGCCTCTGTGGGGCCACTTGTTCACCTTGGATCTGTGCCATCTGTTTGTCCTTGTCGAGATCGTCCCGGAGAATGAACGTGTCAGCCCCCAGCCCTCCCATCATCGTGTCACCGAAATCTCCATCCAAGTCGATGATCAAGTCGTCGCCTGGCAGAAAGAGACACAGTTATAAAAAGGGTCTGAGCGTCGCTCAGGTACCTGGGCCCCCTTTAACACGATCGGTGCCGCTGTCGCCGGACAGATTATCATCGCCCGGACCGCCATCCTGCACCCACCAGTGCGAGAGAGCTCAGTGACCTGTGCGCTGCAGGTGATCTGCTCCGGTCTGCCTCCTCACCAGAAGGTCATTGCCACTGTCGGCATTCATGAAGTCCTTCCCCTCTCCACCAAACAGACGATCGTCCTACAGACAGGACGGCCAATAAGGAGGGAGACGTGCACCGCTGACAACCATGTGGCTTACGCCAGACTGTCCAGTGACTTCGTCGTCGCCCGCTCCGCCTGAATGGACAGAGTTGGGTGGACACAGATTGCTTAGGATGTAGACTGAGAATGAGAAGCGCCTACCGTCGACTGTGTCTGCACCCTCCTGGCCCCGGAGGATCTGAATGTGTGTCAGCGATACATGCCCACACTTGACAGCCAATACTCTCCTGGCTTACGTCATTTCCCTCTCCTCCAAATATCGTATCATCGCCTTTTTTGCCTCTCACGAGATCATCCCCGCCCAGCGCATACATGGTGTCCCCTAAGTCTGTCCCCTCGAATGCCTTGTTCCGGGGATAACCGCCTTTGGAAGCTTCACCGTCATCCCCATCAGTCCCGACGAGGGGCGGCGCAGTGGTCACTCCCTGGAGATGCCGATGGAGCGACGGGCTGCAGCTGGACGGGAGCACCAATGCCACCGCCACACCTGCAATACACACCGCGATATCGTGATCCCGAGGAGCAACTTAAGCTTTGTCGACGATCATTCTTACACAGCCAAATCAGGTCAAAGCGCATCTTTGCTCCAAGACTGTTGCCTTTGTGATCACAAACAAGAAAGCGAAACAAGCTGGAGCCCATATACATATACGATGGCCGTTGTGCAAGTATCGTCTTCAATAATGTACGAAGTAGACGAACTATTATATAGGCGCAACTTGTGGGCCAAAGCTGGCTCTGCGGCCGGAAGGCTTAGGCTGGAATGTCTGCCCGTGGGGCCAGCCCTGCAGGTGGATGTCCAGCCCTGCAGTCAGAAGGCCATCCCTCCACCCACAGGGCCAGCCCTGCAGCCACAGGGCTGGCCTCTGCGGGACGAGTTAACTGTAGTGCATATGGATTTCGTGTAATATGACGGAGGTGCTGTTCTTTCTTATCCATGTGGTGAATGGCGACACTGACATTCCAGTCCTTCGTCATCCATTCGTCACTTTTGCCGCAAAGCGGAAGCTGAGTGCTGATGGAGAGGCGTCACGTTAACAAGCCAATGCAGAACCCTGCCCATTTATGAAGCGAGCGATTCCCCTGAGGGATTAGATACGCCACAATGGAAGGCATGTCTATTACTCGCAGCGGCAGTGTCGCAAGGGCGCAGTCCATCGTGGAGCTTGTGTACCGGCAGGTCGACCAAGAGAACACGCTAACTGGCTTGACGCAGAGGCAGCCACTTACCGAGGACTTGTGCATGGATGAATGGATGGATGGCACACGTCGGTCTGTCACACGGCGGCCATGCTATTCAGCCAGAGGTTGGGTAGTTGAAGAGTCCACACGATAGACATACATATATTTTGTGTGTGCGTGTCTGTGTTTCTATGTGTCTGTCCATGCCTGAATGCTCATGGGGTGTCGTGTGTGCTCTCAGACACGTACAAGTGCTCTACGCTAATGTCTTGACTCCTCAGTACCCCCCTGCCCTCCCTCTCTGTCTCTGCCGTCCTCCAGCCGTGTCTCCCACCCTCCTGGCACACACAGACACAGCCCGCAGAGTCACAACCCCATGTGTCACACAGAGCCACCGGTGGCTGTGCCCACCGCCCATCATTCGATCAATCACCTTTGCAGCGGCTATCAGGTTGTCCAGTGTGAACCAGCTGGGAGGCCCACCGGCCAGCGGCCTCTCAACAGGCTTCTGTGAGGCGTCATAGCTGTAGAAGGCGAGATTCGCCAGGCGGAAGCTGCGCCAGAGTGGCGAAGGGTTGTATAGGAACAGCCGCAGCCGCAGCGTGCCACACGGATGGAGAGGCGACATCTGACACCGACACACACTCACGGATATGGGACATAAGAAATCAGGCCGACGCGAGAAAGCTGGCCGATGGATCACCTGGGGTTTGTATATGGCGTGCCAGGCGAAGGCATCTTCCTCGAAGTGGGCCGAGCGCATCAGAGCATGCCTCCGCAGGACCGTCGTGAACCGCGGCGATGGCGGATCTGACATATGGGGAGGATGAGTCGGTTTGCCGTCGGCATATGGCTCGGGGATGGCCTGTTGGATGGTGAGATGGGCCGTGTGTGATGAGTTCTGGAAGACAATGCAGTGGAGGGCGTGTGCCGGGGCGTCGATGATGATGTCCAGGTAGATCTCGCACGGGCGTCTGCTGGAAGAGTGCTGCAGGTCGCTCGTCTTGTGCGGCAGCTCCACCCACATCCAATGCGAGGTTCCACGCGAGGTTCCCCTGAGAAATTTACACGATTTACGCGATCTGAGCGTAGATCTCGCAGTGCTGGCGGAGGCAGGTAATGTTGCCATTTTATCTCATCGCAGCCTTCGCGGCCTTCTTCTCGGCTCCTGGGGCTGCTGTTCTGCGAAGAAGAGACCACACAGGCAGGTGAGGTCATCGAGATCTCACATTCCATCGCATGCGATTGTGTCTGCTGGTTGTTCCATTGCAGTGTGGCCAACGAAGGTTCTGCTATCACATTGTCACCAGCGGCCCTTCCCCTCTGCCCCTCTGACCTCCCCCAGCCCTTCTATCCCCTGCTCTATTCTGCCAATGTGACCACACCTCCCCTCCCGCCCCTCCCCGGCCGCTCCAAGATCAACCGCATGGATGCAGCTGACGAGAGGCGGCCACGCCGGCTTGGATGGACAGACTACTTCGACTATCGATACGGCTGTGCGGACCCACACCGCCCTTCCGGTGTGGTTTTCAATCAGCACTCGAGTGGCGGGAGCTTGAGCGGTCTGTCCAGTCCTGCTTCGTGGCAGTTCTACACGGTGGACGAGAAGAACCCGGTGTGGATACTAGAGTGGGGTCATCTGGCCGGCGGGCTGGGGGGGGACAGAAGGCTCGAATGCGACGTGCCATGCAGGCTGACGCACGACAGGTGATGGTCTGCACACGCAGGAGGGCAAACACCGGTGAATGTATTTGGTGCATCGTTGGTGTGTCGGGATGAGACAGAAGTTGGGGAGAGAACGGCAAGGCGGATATAGTGGTGTTCGGTCCTCAGCAGCAAAAGGGTATAGTGGTGTTCGGTCCTCAGCAGCAAAAGGCGGCCGAAGCGCTCCAGAAGTCTGGCAAGAAGAAGCCGCACCAGGCAAGCGCGTGCAATTGTCGCGACATTCCTGTTCACGTGAGCACGTGCATCTGTGTGCCATCCTTGTATCAATCAGTACTATGCGGTGACGTCATTAGAGTCGGATATCAACTTTGCGTATCTTAAGGACAAGAACACACTCATGTGGGAGGAGAAGCATGGCTAGAGACACACACACTCATCTGCGAGTCGTCCCCATGAGTACATATCGCCTTTGATGTCTGTCCGCCATGCAGGCATTTCGACCTGAAGGCCACGTACCATCTTGACAGCGACGTGCCGCGCATCTACTTCGGGTACCGTGGATACGACTGGATGCTGCCCCCAAGGGCGAAGAGAAAAGACAGACTCGTCAGCTTCGTCTCATCCAGCTGCTCACCGAGGTATGGATGGGCGTACGCTACTCCATCGCCTCAGACACGGGCGCATTTCCTGTGTCTGAGGGCTCATGTGCGCACGGCAGGAACGGCCGCACGAGATATGTCATGTCGCTGTCTCAGTATGTCCCGGTTCGGTCCTTCGGCAGCTGCCTGCGCAACGCCAGCTTCGCCGACATCCTGGAGACGCCCATCGAGAACAACCGTTGGCACGAGAAGGTGGTGATTTTGCAGCACTTCAAGTTCAACATCGCCTTCGAAAACTCTGACACACCCGACTACATCACGGAGAAGTTCGGCCAGGTGAACCGAGATCAAAGGACAGACAGACAGGAAGGATAGATCGGCCGTGACGCTTTGTTGTTTGTGTGCCCCCAGGCTTTAGTGGCTGGTACGGTGCCCATTGTTAAGAGCCGAACGAACAACTATGAGGCCTTTGCGCCACACCCCCACTCGTACATAGTCGCCGACGACTTTGAATCGCCCAAGGTATGCTCGCCTGCCCACGAACCAAGAGACACAAACACACAGGCAGCGATGGGATCCTGCAGGCTTTGGCCGAGTATTTGCTGTGGCTGAATGACCACGATGAAGAATACGACAAATACCTCGAGTGGAAAAGGGTAACATAACATCGAGCCCGCCTTTCTCTCCCATGCTCTCGTTGCCTTCCGTCTGTCAACATATGTGTGCAGGTGGGCCCGAGCGAGTCGTTCCGTCGTCTGTTGGAGCTCAACATCCCCGACAGCTCATGCCACCTGTGCAGATTCGCGGCACTCGCACGGGATGTGGACGCGGGCTACGTCAACACAGACGCGTCCCGACCAGCCGCACAGATAGCTGAGACATAACGCCGAGTGTATCATCCGGCCCTCGTCTTGTGTGATTACCAATTAGGCGCTGTTTGGTCGGTCGGTCCATGTGTGTTGATACGTTTGGTGCAATGACGCAGGCAGACAGGCTTGATGATATTAGTTAAGTCCATCCATCCCTCCGTCAATGAGTCTCACATGAATGAGATGTGTGAAATGTGTATGCGTGATGATCCATCGATCGCCCCGACGTCTGAATTGAGGCCAGGCCAGCTCGTGCAGCTCAGCAACCAACGCCCACCTTCACACACACGCACACGCACTCCATGGTCACTGATGTGCATCACACCACACGTCTCTCTAGCCACAGTTAGTTGATGTGCAAAAGGCCACCCCACCCTCCCTGCAGCCCTCCCACGCACGGCACCTGTCCCCATCTCGGCTGAACAGCAAAGGCAGGTGCAGTGAGTGAGTCATGTGCCATGTGCGTCGCATTCGTGTGTGACTTGTGTGTGCGGACTGCTTTCGCCCGCCAAAACCGAGAGTGATTGGTGCTGACAACACCTCGCCGACCTGAATTATCACGACTCTTCTGTCCACCTCTATCTCTCTCTGTGTGTGTGAAGCGCTCATACGAGTGAATATGCACGTAGAGTATATGCCCGCAGTGAGTGCGTCTTAAAAGCCATAAAGCGAGTGGATCGAAAAAGGTGGGCTGCCGGCGCCAAGCAGCAAACATGGCAGCCGGCCCTCAGTCACCTCCACTGCTGCTGCATGCCCTGTGGCATGCCCATGCCCTGTGGCATACCCATCCCCCCCATGCCGCCCATTCCCCCCATTCCCCCCATCCCCCCTGCGGCCATTCCCTGCATGCCGCCCATGGCCTGCAGGCCAGCCATGCCCTGCTGCATCCCCTGCTGCATCCCCGGCTGGCCGCGGCCCATACCCTGTGGCATGCCCATGCCGGCCCCCATCTGCTGGCTGGTGGGAGACATGCCCATCCCGCCCTGTCAGTCAGGCAGCCAACACGACACACACGGTTGGTTTGTGCGTGGTTTCTATGTAGGCGTCTTCGTGTGTGTGGTTGTGTGTACCGGCATCATTTGCTGCATCATTCTGTTTTGCTGCTGCTGCATGCCCGCAGCCGCCATCGATGGGGCCATGCCCATCCCTGCACACCACACCGCACCAAGACACATCCGTCAGGATCACCCAGGGAGGTGTGGCTCACTCACTCACCGGTGGGCGTCGGCTTCATCTGGTTCATCGGGGGACCCATGGAACCCAGCTGCACACACACACACACACACAAACACACATATGAAGTCTCAGACAAATGGAGGGCTGTTTCTGTTTGGTGTGTTGTCTGTGCTGTGCTGTGCTATGCTGCATCTGTGTTGTGTCGCTCTGATACCGTCTGTGGGTGCTGCATGTGTTGTGTGTGGGGCATGCCGCCCTTGTTCTCGCTCAGCGACAGGTCGTACAGAGACGACGATATGTCGGCCAGAAAACCGCCTGATCACATACACACCCACCATCTCATCTCATCTCATCTCGGCTCGTCTCGTCCACTAATGGTGTGTGTCGAGATGAGATGAGGTGACTGACCGGCTTGCTGTGACGGCTGCTGTCCACCGCCGAAGGGGTTCTGCCCCTGGCCGCCCATCATGCCTTGCATCGCTGCACACACCACACAAGACAGCACACCACCACATGCAGGGACGCATGTGCTGTGGGACGGGCGACAGACCGACCGACCCTTTTGTTGCTGCATCTGCTGCTGCTGCTGCATGGGGTTGGGCTGCTGCGGGGATGCGAAGAAATCAGGCATCCCACCACCTGACGCGACGCAGAAACAGAGAAGAGCCCACTTCTTGACGTGTGTGGATGTTGTCTGTCTGTCTGTCTGCCTGTCTTACCCATGCCAGCCATTGGGTTCTGCTGCTGCATCATCTGAGCAGGCTGCTGCATCTGACACACAGGCACACAGACACACAGACAGGCACACCACACCACACCACACCAGCGACGAATCATGCTCTCCCTCTTGTGCATTTGTGTGTGCGTATGAATGACCACCACCACCCCAGCCAGCCGTCGAGCATGCACCTACCTGTTGCTGTGCTGACTGGAACTGAGCCCCGCCGAAGAAGTCATCAGGCTTCCCGCCACCTACACCAACAACAACACACATACACAGAGACCGTGAGCGTGTCGTGACTGCATCCATTTTGTGCTAGTGCCGTCCATTCATCCATCCGCACCTGCCCCTCCAGCCATCATGAAGGGGTTGGCCGCGCCAGGCTGGCCGTATGAGCGCTGAGGCTGTGGCTGCTGCTGTTGCTGTTGATGCTGTTGATGCTGTGGTGCGGCCATGAATGTGCCGAAGGCCTCCTGCCCCCCCTGCTGCGGTGCGGGGTGGCCCTGGGGGGCCGCCTCGAAGGCATTCCAACTCGCATCTGCACACACACCACAAAGAGAACACATGACATGACAGGTGTGGGTGTGTGGTGGGCGACTGACCGTCGAAGAAGCTGTTGGTGGTGGTGGGGGCGTTGTCAAAGTCGAGCAGGGAGTCGTTGCGGTCCCGACGGCCGCCACGAGACCTGCATTTGAAGGGGAGAGGATACACAATACACAGACATTGGTAAGTCAGTACGCTCGGCATACAAGAGAATATGGTGTGTGTGATGGGTCGGGTGACCGACATACTTGTCTTTGTGGGTCTGTTGTGGTTTTCGTTTGTCGTGGTGGTGAGGCGCGTGTTTCCTGCTGGTACTGGTGTACTCCTCTTCCTCCTCTTCCTCATCCTCTTCATCCTCCTCCTCATCCCTGCCACACAACAAACAGTGGACGCGCTTCCATAGTTTGTCTCTGTCTGTGTCTGTCTGTCTGTGTCTGTGTGTCTGTGTCTGTCTGTGTGTCTTTCTTACTCGTCTTCCTCCTCTTCCTCGTCGCGAGCACGGCGATCCCGCTCCCTGAACAAACAGAGAATGACGTCCAGTGCCAGTCTGTGTGTTGTGTGTGTGTGTGTGGTGTTGGCCGACCTCTCCTTGTCCCGCTGCTCGCGCTGCCTGCGGTCTCGTTCCCTCTCCCTCTCCCTCTCCCGCTCACGGGCACGGTCACGCTCTATATGACACACCACACACCAAGAAGATGTCACATGGGCTGTACGTGCAGAGGGCTGGCTCACTAGTAGGTGAGCCACTCACTCACCCCTTTCTCTCTCGCGCTCTCTGTCGCGGTCTGAGCGGCCATCGTCTCGGTCTCTGGTGGACACACACATATACACATACACACAGGAGAAAAGTAGGCGGATGTGGTTCATCGATGCTCGCAACTCTCGCTGCGTGCCTGTATCTGTCACGGTCGCTGAAGCGGTCCCGATCACGCTCACTGCACACACACACACACAGGCACATCCGCACAACAAACACGGTGGGTGACTTCTCCCGCCCCGTGTGGTGTGTGGCTGGATGACCCTGTGTACTGTACCGGTCTCCTCGTGCGGGGAATGAGCCGAATCGGTCCTTCCGGGGCTCCCAGGGGTCATACGGACTGCATGAAACACACACGTACACATAACATGGGGGGTCGACCGGCTGTGGTGTCGTCGTGTCAGTCAGTGAGGCCGGCTCCCTCACTCCATCCCATCCCATCACTCACTCACCCGCCTCTGTCGAAGTCTCCGCCCCGTCCGCCGGCCGATGTGAAGCCAGGGCCCGTCCGCTCCCCACCAGCACCGATGCCGATGAACTTGTCCCTGATCACGGCACCCACACAAACGGATGTGATGCCGTGGACAGTCGTGTGGGATCAGTTTGTTGATGTGTGTACCTGTTTGCCCGCGCCTTCTCACGCTCCGTTCTGGAGGCAACAAGCAGGGCAAAGGGGCAGGGCAGGTGGCTAGAGCTGTGGCTGTGGTCTTCTCTCTCTGTAAGCGAGTGGGTGGGTGGGCGTGGGTGCACAGCTGACCTGAGCATCTCTGAGTCGTTGACGAGCTCGCAGATCTGTTTGGCCTTCTCGCGGACTGACACACACATACACAATACACACCACTCTCACATTCTGCTGCGTTGTGGTGTGGGTGTGTTGACTGTCTGTCTATCTGTCTGTCTGTCTGTCTGACCTCCGGTGCCCTTGTCTTTGCCCTCTTCGGTGAAGTGGAAGTCCATCTTGCTGCGGAGCTTGTACATGCTCTCGCGCACCTCGTCGATGACACGCTCGCTACCGTTCTTGACCAAATACTCCAACAACGTCAAACTCTACATCACAAACCATGCATGACACACACGGGGGGTGCACACAGCAGATAAACATGTGGGTGTGTGGTGTGGCGCATTCATTTCATTGGTTGCCTTGAAAACTCTTCGCCAGTTTTTGCCCCGCTCCTCGATGCCCTCCCACACAGCCTTCATGATCAGGGAGTAATCATTGCTGACACACACACACACACACACACATGCACTGATCTCCGAACGTCTTGGGAGTGCTGGCAGGAGTGTGCGTGTGATGCGATCACTGCTCACTAGTCGTATGTGGCTCTGGCGATCTCTCCGAGCAGCGTGTTTGGGACGCCCCAGTTGGTGTTGGCCGTGGCCTCCTTCAAATTCTTCTCCAAAGGGGAGTCACGATGCACACTGGAGGAGGGAGCCACACACACAACACATCACACAGACACACGCCAAGAGACACAGCGAGTCAATTGTGCTGCTCAGACGAGGGCCTCCTCGTCTGCCCAGTGGTCCCCCATCGGTGGCCTGACTGTCTTTCTGTCCATCCTCCCCTCCCTCTCTGCGTGTTGTGTTGTGTTGGGTGATGCGGCTGCTCACAGCTTGGAGGTCGCCTTTTGGGCGAAGCTCTTAAAATTGTCAAAGGCGGATGACATGTTGTCCATCGCCACGGGCACAGCTCACACGCCTGCCCAGCCAGAAGACAGACAAACGGACACCGACTCGCTGACCTCTCCCCTCCGGCAACCACCAAGATGCTTCTCACACAAGATCTTCAGGGAAGCAAGGCCACCAAATTGCTCTGGTTGTCTCCCTCCTTTCTTCGTACGAGCTCAGCCTCATTTGCGAGCTCAGCTCGCACACTGGGAGAGAAAACGAAAAAGGCACGCCCAGGGGCGATGCACGATGTACGGACAGGTCATATACACCCTATTACGTCAAAAATTAGGCGTATTCCTGCTGATCTCATTCCCTCACCATGCTCTGCAGGCTTCCGAGTCTCAACTGAGGGCTCAGTGGCGCTCAGCTGCCTCGGCACTCCCCCACATGGAATCCCACAAGGCCGATTGCACTCCTGGGCGAGACGTTCAGCAAGCCGTCTTTTCCGACCATTCACGGCGCGATGAATCAGATGCCGACGCCACGTCATGCGCCACGTACACTCAGGTGAACAAAGAACAACACGGACCAGCGAAGGGGCGGGGCACACGGCGCTTTTTGCGTTGTGTGCTGTCTGTCAGCTCGAGCTGTAACATCTGCTGCATTTGTGCGTGCCGGCGGCGACACGAGGAGGACGCTCGACCAGCTGCGGCAGTGGTTTTGGAGTGCGCTGCCAGTGGCAGCTCTCCCTCACTTGAGCAGGCAGACCAGAGAGGCTGCATGAGGCAGGATGTCCTGTAAGCGGCAAGCGGTAGTTCATGTTTAATGTGTCGCCCCGATGAGGCTCACTGGTGTTGCTGTTAGGAGTGTAGTGTATGGTGTCATATTGGCAGTGTGGCTATTCATCCGTTTTCCGCGGTAAGCGGCCGACTGGTCGATCACTCAATCACTCACTTCGTCATGGCTGTACTGTGCTGTACTCTGGGATGGGGGGGTTCGGTGTGGAGTGGCTTTTATAAGCGAACCGATGACACTGAATGTGTAGACGACCGCAGTTGATTTGAAAGTGTGCTTATCTTGAACACGCAGCTCCGGTCACTTTGGTCTTGCCGATGGGTCAGCCATTGTAGCTACATGCGGGGAACAGTCGAGGTGGTAGAGGTGAGAACCGGCTGTCGGATGATGGGGCGCAGTACACACGCGATGACGAACGACACGATACATCTCCGTGTATGCGACGTACATGGATACGCATGCATGCCGAAGAAAGCAGGCGAGGAACGAAGGGATACAGTCCCCCCCAACGCTTCGCTGCCGGCAGCGAAGAGAAAGACCTTTGCGATAGAGATGATACAGTGGGGGACTGCAGCAACGAAACAGGCTTCCAGTGTATAGTGCGGGGGAAGACCGTGTTTTCTTGGCGGATGGCTCACGTCAATGCCCACGCTTTTGGTGCCGTCAGCAGCCTTCGGGACCACGCCCAAGAGCCTTCGTTTGGGGTGATTGTTTCGCCGCAGGCCGTCGCGGCGGTCCTTGAGTCCCCTTTGTAGTGATATTTCCACTATCTGACGCTTTTGGCCAAGATGAGTGGATCGCGATATTCTTGAGCTCGCAAAATTTGTGGGCGCGGGTTGTTGAGTGAGATTCCTGTTTGTTTGTCGGTGCATATTCCATTTCGCCCGCCCGCCTTCTGCACCCGCTCCCACCAGCCCTCCTCTAAGCCAATATGCGTGAGGCCATCTCCATCCACGTCGGTCAGGGCGGCATCCAGGTGAGGACATTCACACCTCCACACGCATCACGGAGCAGACAGGCGGCCACACAGGGGGACATGTACGTGCCATGCGAATGGCGAGAGCACCTGTGGGCGGCTTCTGGGCGGCATGAGCGGCGTGGCGATGACATGTCGGCGCCAGGAGATACCACTCGGCTATCGACGGCCTCCCAGCGCCTTGGGAGGGTCAGAATGGCCACGGTGAGGCATTTCAGGCCAGCTGTGGGTCGGCACGGGGTCCATTCAGCGGTCTGACGGTCGGGTGACGGCATTGCCGGCTTCGATGGACGACGCAGCAGGCGTGATGTCTCCCGGCCCTCCACAGAGCAGCCACGAGAGCCGGGCACTCGGCAGTGCATGAGATGCGGCTCGGGGATGGGCGTGTGCGGCCGTGCGTGTGCCAGTCTTGACCCATCTCACATCTGCCCCGTTCTCTCTCTCTGTGTGTGATCTGTGTGGTGTATGTATGTCAGACTGGCAATGCGTGCTGGGAGCTGTTTTGCCTGGAGCACGGCATCCAGCCCGACGGCCAGATGCCCTCGGACAAGACCATCGGTGGCGGTGATGATGCCTTCAACACATTCTTCTCCGAGACCGGCGCCGGCAAGCACGTACGCCGACCGACAACACCAACACAGCCACAGCCACAGCCACACACACGCCCCGACACACATCACACCCTTGTCTGTCTGTCTGTCTGTCTGTCTGTCTGTGTGTGTGGGGGTTGATCAGGTGCCCCGTTGCGTGTTTGTCGACCTGGAGCCGACAGTGGTAGATGAGGTGAGGACAGGTACGTACCGCCAGCTGTTCCACCCCGAGCAGCTGATCAGCGGCAAGGAGGACGCCGCCAACAACTTCGCCCGCGGCCACTACACCATCGGCAAGGAGATCGTCGACCTCGTACTCGACCGCATCCGCAAACTCGCCGACAACTGCACAGGGCTCCAGGGGTAGGTACCTACCTAGGCACACACCTCACCCCCGCCCGACACACCAGACGCACACAACACGGCTGGGATGCATCCATCTCTGTCTCTGTGTGTGGGGGGGTGGTTGTGGTGTGTTTGTGGTCAGTTTCCTGATGTTCAACGCTGTGGGTGGCGGCACTGGGTCGGGTTTGGGCTGCCTGCTGCTGGAGCGTCTGTCGGTCGACTACGGCAAGAAGTCCAAGCTCAACTTCTGCAACTGGCCGTCCCCCCAGATCTCGACTGCCGTGGTGGAGCCCTACAACAGTGTGCTCTCGACCCACTCCCTCCTCGAGCACACTGATGTGGCCGTCATGCTCGACAACGAGGCCATCTACGATATCTGCCGCCGCAACCTCGATATCGAGAGACCCACATACACCAACCTTAACAGACTCATCTCGCAGGTCAGACGCCACGTCGCACAGAGGGAGAGAGAGAGATGGAGGGAGAGAGAGGTAGTGATGGTGTGGTGTGTGTGTTGTGTGATGCATGTCTGTTGATCCTCAGGTGATATCATCTTTGACGGCGTCTCTGCGTTTCGACGGTGCGCTGAACGTCGACGTGACTGAGTTCCAGACCAACCTGGTGCCCTACCCCCGTATCCACTTCATGCTCTCCTCATACGCACCCATCATCTCCGTCCGTCTCCCTGCCAACACACACACACACACACACACACAAACACACAACACCCACCCGATGTCCACACTGTGTGTGATGTGAATGGATGTCCAGGCCGAGAAGGCGTACCACGAGCAGTTGTCAGTAGCTGAGATCACCAACAGCGCGTTCGAGCCCGCCGGCATGATGACCAAGTGCGACCCCCGCCACGGCAAGTACATGGCCTGCTGCCTTATGTACAGGTAACGAACTAACGAACGACTCACACATGACCCACCACCACCACACACATGGCTGGCTGCACTCCTCTCTCTCTCTCTCTCTCTGTGTGTGTGTGTGTGTGTGAGATAGAGGTGATGTTGTGCCCAAAGACGTGAACGCTGCCGTGGCGACGATCAAGACGAAGCGCACCATTCAGTTCGTCGACTGGTGCCCCACCGGCTTCAAGTGCGGCATCAACTACCAGCCACCCACTGTCGTCCCGGGCGGCGATCTCGCAAAGGTAGGGATCTATCTGTCGGTCGACACACAGACGACTCTCCCACACGGCACGGCCATGGTAGGTACATTCATTGTGTGCTATGCTGTGTGTTGTCTGTCTGTCTATGTAGGTGATGCGTGCGGTGTGCATGATAGCCAACTCGACTGCGATCGCCGAGGTCTTCTCGCGCCTCGACCACAAGTTCGACCTCATGTACGCAAAGCGCGCCTTCGTCCACTGGTAACCATCCATCGCCACTCACCCACCCACTCCACCACACCACCCATGTCGGATGTCTCTCTCTCTCTCTCTGTGTGTGTGTGTGTGTTGGGTGTCTGTAGGTATGTGGGTGAGGGTATGGAGGAGGGTGAGTTCTCCGAGGCGCGTGAGGATCTGGCGGCCCTCGAGAAGGACTACGAGGAGGTCGGCATCGAAACCGCCGAGGGCGAGGGCGAGGAGGAGGGATACGGAGAGGAGTACTAAACACCTTACCATGACACACAAACACACAACACACAACACAGATATCGTTAGCAGACAGACAGACTTCGTTGATGGATGAGTGAATGATTTGATTGAGTGGTTGGTTGATCGAATGCAATGCGTGTGGTGGGCGTGGCTGGTCGGTATTCAGCGTCTGCCTGCAGAGAGAAAGCATTCCTGCCCGCCTGCCCCCCTAGCCCAGCCTGCCCACATGCATCGTCACTGAGTGGATGGATGGATGAGTGGATGATTGCCTGCCTGCCTGCCTGCCTGCTGGTGGTCGCTCGCATAGACAAGGACACTACAGACAGACGAACAGACGGAGGGAGAGAGACCGAGACCTATCCGCATCTAACGAGCACACGCGTATCGGATAGCCTCTATGGTCGATGTATAATTTGCATGCGCACCTGTAGACAGACAGTCAGACGGCCAGCTTGCAGCTTTCCCCGCGCCACCAGAGCAGCAGAGAGGGAGAGAAAGACCGACAGAGACAGGCAGACAGGCAGGCAGGCAGGCAGACCAATGGCAGCCCCGTTTGGTTTTGCGTTGACCCCTCTGTGTGTGTGTGTGTGTCTTTTTGCGCAACTTGATTGATGGCGTCGATCCGATCATGTGTCTGTGCGAGTTACACGCACGATCGACCGATGCCCCTGTTTAGCTAACTAGTAAGCCAGCCAGCGGCCCACCGCATATGGCTCTCCCGTCTCCCCCCCTGCTGTGCAGTCACTTGCTGTGTGTCCATAACTAACCTACTGCAGATGGGTACCTACCTACCTATTGCTGAAATGCGCACCTCCACTTGATTGATGCTTCTTGCTACTCGCTGCTCGTGGTATGTTGTGTCATGGTGTGATGTGTAGCTTAGCCAGCCGCCATTGAGTTACCAACCGAGCCGACAAGGACTCATTCGTATGCATGAGATGGCCTCTCAAATATACTTCAAACGGTCTGCACGTGACCATAGAAACCCTTCAGACGCCTTCACACACAGTGGTCGTTTCAGAGTGGGGTGAAATGCAAAGAGTGCCGCAGAGGCATACACAGAAGAATCCATACAAAGCGACTCATTCTCACATCGGTCCTCATGAACAAACCATCCGCAGCGACATGATATGATGTGCAAAAAAACTCACACAGTGCACACACAAAAGCCACATACGCTTCATAAAAAGGTGTGTCGCCTCTGGCCTTCATTTCGACCAGCAGTGGCCGGCTCAGCAGAGTGCATAAATTGTGCAGTGCAAAGCAGTGCCGCACTGACGCACTCTCTGCTAGCATCATCTCGCCGCTCAGAGACGACAACTTGAAAACTCAGGGCAAGGTACAGACAGCTAGGTAGAAGCTGCGCTAGCCTAGAGTAGTGTCCCCTTCATCACGGTGACAGCCTTGCCCATGAGCTTGACCCGGTGGCCTCCCATGACCGGGTCGGCTCCCCCCATTTCCACACCCACACAACCGCCACGCGCAGAGGCCTGGTAGCCCAACAAGCATGACTGACCTAGCTTGTCGCACCAATAGGGCGCCAGGGAGCAATGCGCACTGCACCACACACACAAAAGACAACAAACGAGAAGGTTGAGCGGTGTCTGTGTGCGCGTATGTGTGTGTATGTGTTGTTTGTACCTGCCGGTCACTGGGTCCTCGTCGATGCCTGACTGAGGCGCGAAGAAACGCGAGAAGAAATGCACCTGATAGACATGGATTGACCCATGGGGTAGACACCAATGAATATTGGTGAGTGGAGATCTGGTCGGCCTTTCCTTCGTGAAATGGCCTACTTACGTTTTGTCCCGTCTTGGCGACCAGGTGTGGCGTGGCCTTGCTCGTCACAATCACACCACGCAAATGCGCATCCATATGCTTCAGCACCTGACGCACAAACAGGCAGACAAAGACACACACACAGAGGGATGAGGGATGGATCGGACACACCATCAAGAAGGCAAGGCGACAGGCGGGCATCTTTGACTCCACTCACTCACTCAACGACCTCACCCTAAAGTCAGGCTTGATGTCCAGGAGGCACACACGACTGCTGTCGACCTCCACGAACGCGTCGTAGATGCTCCGATTGACGTAGACGAACGCCTCCCGCCCCACCCCCAAACCATCCTCGAGCAGCCGCATCATATCCTCGCCCCAAGACGGGGCTGGCAGGGACACATAGAAATTCGGCGGGGTGGCCGGGAAGTCCAGCTCAATCCACTCTGATGGCGCGGCGCTAGACGATGAGGCCTGTGTGTCGGTGTGTGCCAAGGGGGGAGGGGTGGGAGGGGCCCACTGCCGTCGCGAGGCCGTGAGTATGCCGCTCTCGGTCTTGAAGTGGATGGGCTGGCCTCTGGGGGACAGACCCTCCTCCCACAACGCGTGAGCGGCGCCTGCAAACAAACAACAGAGAAGCACCGATACAGTCGCCTCTGCGATTGGCGTGTGTCGGCAGCTCACCTAGTGTCGCGTGTCCGCACAGGTCGAGTTCGGTGGCCGGGGTGAACCAACGGAGGTGGAACAGGGATGCCCCGTCGTGCGACCCGTTGAGGCGTTGTCCATCCGCTTTGAGCTCGCTGGCGTCGCGGCGCTCCAAGAAAGAGGTCTCTGCCAGGTTCTGACGAGAAAGAGAGAAAGGCAGTGACGGAGAATCCATCCACCCATTCATGCGGCGGTCTTTCATGTGTGTACCATTTCGTTTGCGAGGCTCTGCATCCACTCTTCGTCCCCATTGCGGTGAGTAAAGACCACCGCACACGAGTTGCCCGAGTAGGCCTGCATTCATGCACCATCCCATCCATCCCTCCATCCATCCCTCCTTCCATGGTTGCCGTCCCTTGTCGCGCACCTCATCGGTGAAGGCATCCACCTGCAGCACCATGCTCGCCTGCTGCCTCACGTCTGCCAGGTCCATGCTCATCTGGAACCAGCTGTCCTTGCCCAGCTCCACTGACGACAGCCCCTCGACAGTGAAGCCGCACGAGCGGTAGAAACGGAGAAGTGGCGCCTTGGAGATGAGCAGGACGTGCTGCAGGGATGGGTCGTAGAGACTCATGAGCTTGATGTAGCAGAGGAAGAGCTTTCTCGCCAGCCCCTTTCCCCTCTCCTCCCGCCTGATGACCACTGAGCTCACATACGCACTCTCGCCATCTGAATGCACAACACACACACATCCATGCACACAGACGCTGCTCCACCACACAATGGAAACCTCATTTCCGGACCTGGTACATGGGTGGCCATAACCTCGTGTGTCAGCACCCTGCCGGAACACCGCAATCCGTTGACGAAGCCGGCGAGGCCCCCCATCTCATCATAGAGGCCGATGGTGTACCCCGGGGCCTTCTCCAGTCGATACTGAAGCTTCGCCAGCGACACTCTCTCGTCCTCGGGGTATGACGCCACCTCCAGCTCATGAAGTGCCGTGGCCTCCGTGGCATTTGGGAAGCGGAGAGAGAAGCCGCCGGCCGTGAGGGCATCGTGCTCGACGCAACCGAGGGCAGGCAACGAAGATCCAGGCGCAGTGGTGAATGAAGGTGCCGCCACTCTCGTGCGTCTGATGGTGGCCAGGTCCAAGCTCATGTCGAACCAGCTGTCCTTGCCGTGGACGACCGACGACAGCCCCTCGACAGTGAAGCCGCACGACCGATAGAAGTGCAGCAATGGCGCCTTGGCGATGAGCAGGATGTGCTGGAGGGAGGCATCATAGAGGCCCATCAGCTGCACATAGCAGCGCATGAGTTTCCTCGCCAGTCCTTTCCGCCTGTCTTCCTGCCGGATGACCACAGAGTGGACGCACAAGCTCTCACCACCTGCAACCACACACATAGACAAATACACATGAGTCAACACGAATGCAGTCCTCTCTGTCGTTTGACACACACGTGGGCGGACCTGATTCATGTGCAGCCATGCTCTCATGCGTCAGCACCTTGCCGAAACATCTCGTGCCGTTGACAAAGCCGACCAGTCCACCCGTCTTGTCGTAGAGAGCGATGAAGTAGGGCAGGGCTGCCTCAAGACGGCTTTGGATCTTCGGAAGAGACGCTGCTTCATCCTCAGGGTATGACGCCGCCTCGAGGGCATGAATGGCCGACGCTTCTGATGCATTTGGAAAGCGCAGAGAGAAACCGCTGGCTGTGAGGGCATTGTACTCGACACAGCCAAGGGCAGGCAGCAAAGATCCGGGCGCAACAGCCACCATCTCCGCTGATTCGATTGCGAAACTGCAGGCGAGATTCGCGAATCGAGATTTCGAGACTGGGGGTTTTCTCAAGCCCCACGGCATTTCTTGAAGCTTCGTTCTCAAGTGCATCACCCCAATAACCTTCCTGCCTGAACCGCCACACGACTCCAACACATCCTGCTGCAAAAGCAGCAACGCCACCGTGCAGCTCAAGAAAGGGCTTCATCATCCCCAGCACATGAAGGAGAGCCGAGAGGATTCTCTGCTTAGAGGCTGACGTCTGGACATCAACGGGGCACTCGTGTTAGGTACTTAAAGGATGGCAACCAGACAGAGAGACGGGTTGAGAGAAAGACCGTGGCTGAGCCAAATGCTGAAATCACGGACCTTCACCATTGCTGCCATGTTGGTTGGGAATTCTCAGCCATCATCCGCTGAGGTTGCCTTGAGGTAAGCTGACCCCTGGAGCTCCATCAGCCAGTGCGTTTCTGCATATTTGTCTGCAGGTTGCTGCTTTCTGACCCCCTGTTCCACCAGTTCACTCATCTGTTCATCGATGAAGTGCTCAAACGAAGCGCAAAGACAGACCTCCTTCTTAAAGTCGTTAAAGACATTGTGCACTTGGTAAAGTATCGACGAAGAGACCAACATTATGTCACGCTTGTGTGTGTATTCAGTGGGGCAGCAATCCACGAGTGGTGCTTTTATCTGCTACCATCGACGAGTATAACTTCAGTCTGTATTTTGATTGGTGAGTTGGGCATGCCATGTCTCTCGACGTATCTCTTAGCATATGACACACATCACGTGTCTTCTCCTTCTGTCTACTCAGCGCTCCCATTCATTATATCCCCGGCCGGACGTATCCCATTACAGACTACTATCTTGAGGTGAGAATCGCATTGATCGACGTCTATTGAGGTATCGACGCCATTGAGTATCACCGCAACATCGATGCAGGACATTCTGGAAAAGACGAATCATTGGTTTGAGGGCCGTTATGTGCACAAGGAGGCACTGGTAGGTATTGTGATGGCCTGCAGGACATGGCATGTATGGCGTATGTTTTCAGCTATACTTGTCCAGCACACAGGAGACAGAGCTTCGACAACGACACAAGCGGGAGAACGGAAGCCCGTATCCAGACTCCGTGCTCCTTCAACTCATCAGGCGAAAGCAGGTACCGATCCACAAACCACATTCCTCCCCCGCGTTATGCACACAATTGCTCTTCCTTCGATACACAGGATAGCATCCCGTACAATCTTATCAAAGACCTGGTCAGACATATTCACACGACGAGGCCAAGAGACGAGGCAGTGCTGATTTTCATGCCGGGTGCGGAAAAAATCTCCGCCTGCATCGCCGAGCTAAAGAAAGTCAACGCACCCAAGACGCCTCCAACTCTTTGGCTGCTGCCTCTTCATAGGGGCATGTCTACAAATGATCAGCGCAATGCGCTTACGGAACCGCCTGAAGGTAACCCAAGTGGAGGATGCTGTGCACATATTGGGTTTGCTGTGTGTGGAGGTTAAAGGAGAATAGTTCTCGCCACGAACATTCGGAACATCGATAACCATCAGTGATACAGTGTAGGATACAGCGGAGACGTATGTGCCTCTCAGTCTCACCTTACTTGCGCTGCATCCTTCTCAGACATACAATCGACTCGAGGTTTAAAAAGACCATCAAGTACAATCACAAAACAAGAGTAAGGCAGACAGGGAGCCAGGAACTGTGGCCACACAATCAGACAGGTACAGACTCATACGGCCGGGCTAATCTGCAGGTCGAGGAGCTCATCACATGCAAAATATCGGAGTCTTGTGGGCGGTAAGAAGACACAGAAGGACGCACAAATGTATTGGGCGCAGCTTGCGTCTTTCCCCTTTTTCCACCAGCCAACGAAAAAGGCGGGCCGGTCGGCAACAATCGGGCATGTGCTGACGGTTGATGATAAGAGAAGAGTACGAAGAGCTGGAGGTGTGTGACGATACGCGTATCTCTGGATGCATTCTGTCTGAAAATCCTGAAGATGAGGTCTGTAGCCTGATGAGACATGACATTTGCTTTACACACAAGGAGCCTCTGGTGTGTGCGAACAGCTCTAACGACCCAGAGGAGTTTTTCCTTGCGATAATAGACCATCCGCCGAGGGAGACGATTGAAGAGTCGATGATGTATTCGACAGAAATACCAGCCATCAATGTCAGTAAGAGAAGAAGGTAGGTGTGACTTATGAATGCTGTGTGTGTTGTGTGATAGGAAAGTCGACAGCTGACGCCGCTTGGAGCACAGACGGCTCCCTTTGGATCTGTACACTGGGAAGCTGCCTATTTTGGCGTGCGAATTTGGTCTGACAAACCAAGTACGCAATCTCTTTGAACGACGTTAGTGATTGTTACGAGCAACAGATAAATTTGCACCATTTGCATGAATCTCGCAGGCTCTCAGTATTGCCGCAGCAATGTCAGTTGGGGCCCCTTCTAAAGCGCCATTTCACGAGAAGGACAAGGGCGACGCGGCTCGAGAAACACTCTCAGGTAAATCAAGTCAAAAGACAGGTGATGCACTGCGATTTCGCAAATGTCTTATTCATATTGGTCAGGATTTGGGGTCCAAAGCGATCACGCAGCCGCCATGAGGGCCTTCAGGCGGTGGCACGATATACATGTCGAGAGTGGTGAGTAAAGGGTGGATGCACTGGAAACCAGCAGGGAGTCAACACCTGACCAATTTTTGTCTCTCGGTTGTGTTTCTTTGCTCTCAGAGCTGCGTCTGCGTGAGAGCGTCGCTGAGGAGCCGGCTAGCCCGCCATTACCGGAACCCCCCATCACCCCTTCGTCACCCCCACCAGCACCAGCACCCGCACCGGTGCCAACGTCGCTGGCTAGCGTGGACAGCACCACCCCACGGCTGCGTCTGGCAGCAGACATGGTGTTTGAAGGGGCCAAGAGGCTGAGCGGAGGCCGGGGGGACTTCGACGTCCTCGCCGAAGTGTTGCGGCAGGATGGCACTATCCGGGGCGTGGATGCCATCCTGAAGCACGTGGCGACCTCGGCTGAGAAAACGTCTGAGCGGGTGGGGGAGGAGGGGCGGGCGACAGTGTTGCAGCTGAATAGGCGTCGCAAGTGGGAGGGCGCTCGGCTGCAGGAGGCCGCACGGGAGGACACCAAGCCCCAGCTGCGCTACAACGCAGCCTGCGGGTTGCTCACGCGCGACGGCACTCGACGGGCGGACCCCCGTGTGCTGGCACTAGTGCCGGACGCCGCGGTGCTGCGGCCTCAGGTGGTGTTGGAGGGCGATGCTGTTGTCATGGAGAAGATAGAAGACGGTATAGCATTAAGGACCCAGACAGACAGACAGACAAGAAGGATCCAGATGCCTGTCTCTTTCCTTTCCTCTGTGTGTGTGTGTCGGATGGTTCCATCTGCGCAGGCACGTCTGTGTATGATTATGCGGCCGATCCCGGGCAGCGTCACCCCGTCCTCGACGCCGTCATCGGCGTCAATACGGCCGAGCAGATGCTGGCCCTCCGCGCACGTGGCCTCAGCCACAACGACATGCACTGGCTGAATGTGCTGATGCGAGGCCGTATGGGCGAGGTGGCGCTATCGACATGGAGTGTGCCCGCTTCCTGTCACCCACCCACATGCTCGTCGCCCTGCCCCCGGCCCCCATGGTCAGCCTCGCCCATATGAAGGCCGTCCACGCCAGGCAGAGCGATGCCGAGCAGCCCACCTTCCCCACCAGCACGGCATATGACTACTGCTGTCTCGCGTGGATACTGCTGCTGCTCGCCCTGCCCATCACCGATGCAGCTAACGACCTTCTTAAGGAGGCGGAGAACGACCTGCGGGCTGTCGCACAGAAGTGCGGTGCTCGGGCGGGCACGTCGAGTGAGCTGGTGGCCGAGTACAAGGCGGCCATGCAGAAGGCCTACAGGGCGGCCATGCAGTGCACACCACCGTCGCCCATCAGCGGCCCCGCACTCGAGTTTTTCCTCAAGGTGGTGGTGTTCGGGCAAATCTGCAGCGAGGGAGGGAGGAGCAGGCGGCCAGGGACTTCTGCGCGAAAACGAGTACAGGTACGACACACCACACCACACACCACACACACACGCTGCTCGACGGACAACATCCTGCTCACTCTCTCTGTGTGGGTGTGTCAGCGGTACGGAAGTTGCTAGGCGAGAGTTCACCACCCACAACCGACACAGACGGCGGGTCCTCACCCTCGGGCTCGCCCGCCTCAGCATCTGCCTTGCCCCCTGCCCCGTCAACGGAATAGCCAGCCGCACGAGTACGTGTGTGGGGGTGTGCATGGCTGCCTCCCTGCCTGGCTGTTTGTTTGCTTGGGGGCCTTGGTGAAAGAGCAGAAAACGTGCAGGCAGCGGAATACTGAGGGCGGGTGTGGGAGCACTGCACTATATTGCTGCCTACGTTTTATATTTCGCTGTCGTTGTCGTTGTTTGAGCACAGTTTGGATTCCAGGACTGTCCAGATGGCCATGTATGTGTGTATGAATGTCTCCGGTCACCAATATACGACTCAGTGCGTCACTCATTTACCGGCACTTCACCAACACGCCACATACACCCACGAATGCATGCATGGACGCATAATTAGATAGTTTCTCGATAAAGGCCTCGATGGCTGACTGACACTCATCGAGTCAGCACAAAATGAAAGGCACAGAGGGAGAGAGAGAGAGAGAGGGACAGCACGGACACTTGTAGGCAGGCAGATCACACGATTTGGATAAAACGCGCACACCATCTGGGCCTGTATTGTGTTTGCCTGTCACCCACAAGTACGTGAGAGAGACAGAGAGAGGCCCACTGACACACAGAGCGGACCAGCGAGAGGGAGTGAACAAGCTCACAAATTGATTGGTGAATGCCAACAGCCGGTCCTCTCGACCACCCACAACATGACCATTGGACACCGCACACCCACACACGCCCACCCACACACGGCTCTCAGGCTGAAAAACGAACGCATCCATGCACAAACGCCCTAAGAGACTTAAGACAGACCGACAGGAGAGCACACACGCCACACACCTTCCTCTTCCGCGTATCCACTACGTACAGAACCCTTACGCATGCACACAATCCACCCAGTCGATCGATCGATTGGTCAGTCAATCGATAGACAAAAATTCCCTCCACTCACGGGTCGCATGGTTCACCATTGCCGCTGCCAGTGTGAGTGTCGCCGTCCGCCTCCCTGTCAGCGTCGCTGCCGCCCTTGTCAGTGGCATGGTACTGCCCGCTGCGCTCCTCAGCTGCCCCACTGAAGCGCACATCGATGGCGGCCTTCCTAGACTTGAGGAGGCAGAACTTGCAGGCGAAGCAGGCGAAGAGGGGGATGGCCGCCAGGGTGTAGTTGTAGAAGACGGGATCGCTGTCGGGGTTGCCTTTGAAGTACACAAACATGCTCGGGCCCTTGATACCAAGGTCAACACCTGTTAGTCAGCACACACAGACACATACAAACAGACACGCATGGATATCATCTACCTCTCTTTTCGTATACCCCTATCTCTCTCTGCCTGTCTGCCCGACGCACCTGTGAATATGGCGAACATGGCTAGAATGAGGCACCAGAGCAGCAGCAGCACGGAGCACCACACTGTCAGCGCCCAATCCTTGAACAGCAGCGACCAGGCCAAAATAGCCGCCCCGCACAGGCACACGGCCGTCACGATGTCGTCCTCCCATCCGGGCGGCCCCGTGCCGTTGAGTGTGGGGACGAACATCATGAAGCACCATACTCCAGTAAAGCCCGCCAGCACGTTGAACAGGCCCTGGCAACAGGGGTGCCGCTTCTCGCGGCCATAGTGCAGCATCGCTGCCGTGGTCGGCTGGTTGGCCTTGTGAGTGGCGTAGGCGAGGATAGCCATGCAGAAGGCGGCTATGAGGTACAGCACCAGGTCCATGTAGCTCGTCTCGTTGTCATTGTTTTGGTCGTAGTCCATCGTCACCAGTATCATCCAGCCAAACAGGTTGCCCAGGTACACCAGCGAGGCCACCGTGTACACCGTGGCAGTCACAGACGCTCGCCTGCACACAACAATTGGCACACAAGGACGGCGCAGAGGAGAACAAGCAATATGTGTGTGTGCGTGACAGTGCTGCGACCACCTGAGAGATGGTATGCATCCGCTGCCGGCGATGAGGGCTCCGACGAGGAAAAAGACGAAGTGATAAATTCTCCAGCCGGCGAAGCCCAGCGCCAGCTGAATGATGCCCAGCACGAGCAACGCCGCACCTGTGGCGATGCTGCCAGCCCGAAACAGCACCTCGCTGCTGCAGGTACAGGCCATGGTGTCTGACAGGGCCTGTTATATTCTCCCCGTCCCGCTTCCTTCCTTCTCCCCTCGGCTTAGCTCGCAATTCTGAGGTCCGTGAAAGCGCAAAAGAAGGGCGATGACAGTGATGAGGATGGATGTGACGAGCTGAGGCCACGGCAGGCGCTGCCCGTCGCCGGCAGCGATTGAGATGGCCGCCCTCGCCGCAGATGGACAGCATCACCGCCGACATGACGGCTGAAGAATACCTCAGAGCCGTCAGGTAAAAGCAGCGCCCGCACTCATCGCACTGAATCACTGTTTCCTTGTCGTTGTGTTGCTACAGGTGGCAGGCACGGCAGATCCCGAAGGTCATCAGCCACACAGGCGGACAGCCGGCTGCCCATCGCCCCCCCTCTCCGCCCACAAGCCAACCGCACGGCAGCAGAGCCCACCACACAGCAAGCGCCCGATGGTGACGGTGGCATTGTTGTGTCAGAGAGGAGGGAAGCCGAGCCGTCGGGGCTTTCGGCTGCGCTGCGGCTTGTGCGAGGCGACCAGGGAGGGGCTGACACCACCAGCACCACCACCAGCGGCACGGCTGGAGAGATGTCGGCCACCTGGGTGAGCGATGTGGTCTTCTACTTCAAGAATCTGCGGCTGGTGAGACGACTTAGATATCGCACGTGTTGTCAGCCTTTTCCGATTGGATGAATGGATGGCTGGGTGTCATGTGTGTGTGCAGCAAGTGCACGGGACTCGCGAGTGCGGGCCGTCTGTGGTGGTGAGGAGCCGCGACGACTGGCTGGCTGCCCGTACCTCACTGAGCCCTTCCATTGACTCATTACGGCAAATGGACTCGGTGAGTGAGTGGACGAGCCACCAACACGACAAACGGCATCCATCCGGCCCCACTGTTCATTCAGGTGGAGACCTGCAAGATGGTAGAGGTGTTGGCCGAGGTGATGCCCAAGACGACGGCAGCGACCATCAGTGTGGACGAGGGCACTGCGGCACGACAGCTGCACGTGTGTCGGTGGTTGTTTCTGCTGCTGGTCAACCTGGACGAGCTGCAGGCCCGCGACGAGGGAGTGGCCGCCGACCTGCAGGCCATTCGCAAACACTGCGATGCCTGGAGGGCTCACCTGGTATGTCTGTATACAGGATCCACACGCACGCACACACACACACGTGGGCCCGTGCGCTTTGTGTGTCAGATGTCGACCGGGGTTGGGTCGGTGGGCGAGTCGTGTCGAGAGCTGTTGGCCTCTGTGAGTGTCATCAGTGCCCTAGTTAAGAGAGTTCTTCCGGCAGAGATGACACACACGCAGGGACGGACCCCATGTGCTGAGCTCTGCTGCGCTAGCTATGGCTGGGTGATATCTTGGCGGACTGTCGTCAACCTTTCTTTGTTCTGTTGTCTGTGACGTCGAAGTGACACTGAATGGGGGACTCTCACAACTGAATGGACTCTCACAACTGAAATGGAGGCTCGCGCCTTGTTTGGTTCGCCCACGCGGCCTTTGCGATCGAATTCGGGCAGCTGTGCGTGTGCATCGTGCTGGCGGTGTGTGTCGATTTGATTGTCTCAATGCGCTGCTCGGCATTGAGCAGCGCACTGACCTGCCCCTCTCTCTTCTGCTTTGCTCTTGGCTTGTCGCTTTCTTTGCCGCCCGCACAACTGCCCACCCACCTGTGTCTTGTCTGACTGCCTTCGCCCTTCTGTCATACTCGCTCTTGCCTGGCTGCCTTTGTTCGCTCGGCTCGGGACTCATTGCGTGCCTTTCTCTGTTGGTTCCTTCCTTCGTTGTGTTCATGTGTTAGCGCATCGAGCAGTTATTCAAGTGCAATCAGTCATTCAGGATCATGACACACGTATGAGTTGGTTGTCTGTGTGTCATACACTCATGACAACAGTCCGTCCTCCATCGTATTTCACTTCACCTGCTTCGCCACCGACATGTAGCGATTGCCTTGTCGTTGTGTTTGGGGTAGCCTTGCCTTCGGGGTTGTGTAGTCTCCGTTTCCGTTTCGATCGCTGTCGGGGTCGCCGTCTTCTCGCTTCTCGTTGTCTTTCTTTGGCGGCTTGCAACGCCTTTGAGGGCTTTCTTCAGCTCGGTCGGGAGGGCTCGCGCGGCGTTCTCCGTCATTGCAAGCGCCAGTGCGGCGGCCTGCAATGACCGATCATTCATTCATGTTTCACCGTCGTGTGTGTCGTGGTGCTTACTCTCGTATTGGTGAGATCAATCAGTTGCGTTGCGGCGGGTCGTGGCTGTTCCTGTGTGGCGGGCTGCTGCTGTTGCTGCTGCTGTTGCTGTTGCTGCTGCTGCTGTTGCTGCTGCTGCTGTTGCTGCTGCTCCACCCTCTCGAGCTCCGCCCGCAGTTGCTCTTGCTCGAATTCTGCACGGCGGAGACGGAAGTATGTGAAGTCCTTGTGGACTGAAGTTCTATCCACTGGCCTTGAGGGCTCACCTTCGAGCTCCTCTGGAGCTGATGATACACGTCACACACACAGGCAAAGAGAAAAGTGTGTGAGGGAGCGGGGTGTGTAGACATGCCTTCTTACTCATGTTTGTGGGCCGGAGTGTGTTATTGCCTCGCAAGACCTCCGTCACCTCGGGTGGCGCGGCGACCTCAGTCAGCCGGAATTGTCCTGCTCGCATTCACATGTCCACACATCACACTGGTGCCTCAGGCTGGTGTGTGTGCTGATCTACTCTCGCGGTGGATTAGAGCCTCGTAGTTTTGGAGGTCAAATCGGCCTGTGGTGGGCACCCAGGCCGATATCGCGAATCACAAGATTCGGTTCGCCCACTGCCAGACACATTCGGAGAAGCCCACACACAGAGGATATGGGTGTCGCTTCTCTTTTTGCTTCTCCTGACCATTTTCTTGATCCACGAAGAGCGTCATGTGGTACAGCCTGAACTCATGCGGTGTCTGGAGCTCATGCGGCCCCGTGCAGCAGCAAAGCGACACCAGCAGCAGCAGCAGCAGCAATGCACTCAGCTTTGGGATGACCGACTGCTTGATCGACATGAAGGTCAGCACGACGCCAACCAAAACACACACTGCCACAAAAAGCTGACACACATACACATGCGCACACACACACACAGAGAATGTTGTCGATGGTGACTTCCCTTGTGGTGCCTCTGACCTGCTCTGTGCTGCTGCTGCTGCTGCTGGTCGTCGGGGCCAGACGCTCAGCGAGAACTGACACACACCGAGACACACATGCAGTGAGAGTGGGTGTGAGTGTGAACCAGGCGGCTGTTCGTGTGTACTTTGTGCGGCTCGTCCTCTGGTGTGGTCGGGATCGATCACCACGGCCTGCGACTCAACATCAGCTAGCTGCACACACACACACACACACACGTGTCGTCACACAAGTGTGTCTGTGTGTGTGTGTGTCCCTCTTTGGCGTACGTCAGTGTATTGCCATCCGTTCCATCCCTTCTTGTCGACGTCACACACGCCGTAGTTGCCGCCGTCCTCAGTCAAACTCGGCGGCCGGTCGAACACTGCCGACGTCTGCCGGTACTCAGAGAGGGACTTTGGCGCGTTGATGGCAATCACGACTGGGCCGCGGTGGAACACCTCTGCCTTGATGCGATCCTCGCTCGAGTGCTCGTAGAACCCACCTCGAAGACACAAGAAAGAGCCACATCCACTGATCTGTGTGTGACGTGTGTGTGGCTTTGCTCTCTTGCTTACCGACTTCGGAGTATGACTTGGCGAACCACAGCGATCGGCAGTCGTCGCTGACTGGCGTGTGAGCGGTGGGGCAGGGGACGTTCGTGTGAGTGGCAGCGTAGCCCAGACACTTCTCCTCCTGCAGGCCCACCTCTGACGCGTGCTGCTCGACACACACACACAACAACAATAATGAGCGAGTGGATGCCACTGAGCAAAGGGGACTGACTGACCTTGCCGACGAGGAATGGGTATCCCCCGTCGCAGCCTTGGTTGTATGGCGAACAGCTCAGCACCACCGGCACGTCACGCACACCACGGCGGCTCAGCTCGATACGGAAGCGGCTCTGTAGAGCGTATGCGGATGCGATGGCGTAACAGCTGCCGCAGTCTTGTTGGTTGATGACATCGTCCCTGCCGAGCTCGCCCTCCCAGCTG